GAGATTCTGATTTATAAAATTGACCAAAGCAAGTAAAGAGGGAGACCCAGAAACCAAACAGTCGACGAATACAAGATGAGGATCACTGTCATGACCGCCGGTGAACAAATCATCACTCTCGATGTCGATTCTCAGGAGACTGTAAGTTTCTTTTCCTCGAAAAAACCTAACTTTCCTGATTCTTCGGCTTCTTAATCACAATGTACTTGTCGAATTGATCGATGAAGGTTCTTGGGTTTCACTACTTTAGCACTCATTAGTCGACGTTTTCGAAAGTTTTGTTTTTGCTGATCCTTAGTGTTACTGTCCTGTAGGTTGAGAATGTTAAAGCTTTGCTCGAGGTTGAGGTAAGAGTTTTCAGATCTCTTTCGTCGATTTGTATTTGGAATTGTGTCGCTTGCTACTGAGAAAATATTAGATATCGAAGCTTGAGTTCTGCTGAAATCTGGGGTTTAGGGTTTTTGGGACTTAAAAGTTTCTTTGTTTTTCTTGTTTGCATCAATGAGCAGTCCAATGTTCCGATTCAGCAGCAGCAGCTGTTGTATAATGGAAACGAGATGGGGAATTCGGATAAATTGAGTGCCTTGGGTGTTAAGGATGATGATTTATTGATGATGATGGTTTCCAATGCCTCATCTGGGTACGTTGGATTGATTTCCTCCTGCTTCTCTATTTTGAAATTTTGTAATTGATGTTTGTGAATATGATCCTTCGTTTGTCTCATTTGCTTGCTTTCTTCAGTAATGCCGCTAGTGCGGCAGGGAATGATTTGGGCATGAATCCTGATGGGTCAGCTTTGAACCCTGCAGCCTTTCAACAACATATTCGTGGGGATTCTAATCTTATGGGACAGCTATTTCAGGTGTGAATTTATGGTAACTTGAAGTAAGAAATTCTTCTTGGCCTTCGTTTTATGACTCTGTTTCCTTGGCTTTGATGTTGTGAATTGTAGAATGATCCTGAGCTTGCACAAGTCATTTCTGGAAGCGATTTAAATAAGTTACAGGATGTTTTGCGCGCTCGGCATCGTCAGCGATCTGTTTTACAGCGTCAGAAGGAAGAGGAACTTGTAAGCCTTTTTTTACGAAATAAATGAGTTTCAAAATAACTAGCTTTGAAAGAGTTGCTAGCTTCTCAGTTTTTCCACACATTAAGTTACATCTACCACTATCAAAGAATTCTGCTTATGTATTCCCTCCTTGCAGGCTCTTCTGTATGCAGATCCTTTTGATGTTGAAGCACAGAAGAAAATTGAAGCTGCAATTCGACAGGTTAATTGTTCTTACTTAAGTTACATGTACTGGACTCTTGTATTACTTTAGTTGCTAATAACTCTTTTGTGATTCCTTGATGCAATCCTTCACTTTAGTTAGGTTCTTGTGTTCTCCTAATTTGCTTGTTACGTTTTTGTGTTGTTTCTGATTTTTGGTGCTGTCTTGATACATTTGAGCAGAAAGGAATTGATGAGAACTGGGAAGCTGCCCTTGAACATAATCCTGAAGGTTTTGCTCGGGTGGTATGTATGCTCGTGTTTTAGTTTATGCTTCTGAAATTCCTTAACCTTTTTCGTACACAGACTTGATTTCATTTATTTTTTGTTTTTATCATTTCCTTAGATTATGCTGTACGTGGATATGGAGGTCAATGGCGTACCTTTGAAGGTAGAATTTGGCAACCAGATTATAACCTCTTTTCACCTTACTATCTGTTTTCAAATTTTATCAGTCTATCAGTGCGCTTAGACGCATTATTGAGCACTCCTTAGATCATCTTTTTTGTTCTAAACCCATATTATACACCATCTCCAGGCTTTTGTTGATAGTGGTGCGCAGTCGACAATTATATCCAAGAGTTGTGCTGAGAGATGCGGGTAACTTGCATTTTTTTTTCCTCTGGTACTTCTTTTAAACTAGAACGATGTGATAACTCACGAGTCTTGATGAATGCTTACTTTCAGATTGCTGAGACTTATGGATCAACGCTATAAAGGTATTGCCCATGGTGTTGGCCAGTCAGAGATATTGGGCCGCATTCATGTTGCTCCTATCAAGGTAAACACCACCAATCTTTTTCTTATAATGTTTTCCCCTTTGTTTTTCTATTTCATTATTCTTTGCATCAGAAACTGAAAATCTCGAACCTTGCAGATTGGAAATAACTTTTACCCGTGTTCATTCGTGGTGTTGGACTCACCTAACATGGAATTTCTATTTGGCCTGGATATGCTGCGTAAGCATCAGGTAACATCTCCATAGTTTGACTTTGAATTTATTGGATCTGTTTCAACCAAATGCAAAGGCGTTACTCTCTTTCTTGCTATGTGTAGTGCACTATAGATTTGAAGGAAAACGTCATGACTGTTGGAGGAGGAGAGGTCTCAGTTCCCTTTTTGCAGGGTTAGTTCTCTACTACCATCTCAATCTTGATAATGATGATCCCTTTTATATTCGTTGTCTTTGTTTTCAATGAACCTGACAAAAACCGTACTTTCTTCAGAGAAAGACATCCCTTCCCGATTTCTGGATGAAGAACGTGTTCTGAATGATGCATCTAGCTCTGGAGCAACAGTAAGAATTTTTGCATACTATCTTGTTCGGTTTTGATGAACTATATTACAAAAAATTGGTTAAGATCAAAAACTTTTGGTCCCCATAGGTTCCTTCTGGGTTTACAGAGAAGAAGAATAACACGGTTTCAAACCCAACGAGTCAACAACCGAAAAGGCAGAACACATCAGAGGTAAAAAATCTGTGTTTAAAGTTTCAGTCTCACTTCTTTTGATTCCTTTTCAATCTCCATAAATCATTTCATCACATAATCCACAGGGACCTGAATTTGAAGCCAAGATTGCAAAGCTTGTGGAATTAGGGTTCTCCCGCGACGCAGTGATACAAGCTCTCAGATTGTTTGAAGGAAATGAAGAACAAGCTGCTGGGTTTCTCTTTGGCGGCTGAAGATTAAATTAAACTGGTCCCATATACCAAAGGCCAACAAATTGTGATTTAAAGAGACTCGTTTTTTCTTGTCTTTTTTTTTTTTGTATTTTATAGCTCTTCTTTACAAAACATAGGAAAGGTGCATCTGCAAGAACATGTCTTTCAAGTCACCTCTCCAGTTGTTTATGCTGTCGAATAAGCAGACTTAAGGATTTATAGAAATGCAATTCTTATTTCTTTTAATTCAACTGCTCTATCAGTCTTCCTTTTTTATAAAGGGATACAATCTTCAAAAGAATCCATAGCAACATCAGCATTCAAATAACAATTTTCATCCCACAACAAATTTTATAAAGAACACCATAACATTTGTTTCTTCAAAATTTCATTACAAAGATCACTCGAACAAAATCAAGTTAATAATGTTCCAAAATATCACCATTCAAAACTATTCGTTCAATCTAGCAGAGACAGATCTGAGCTTAGAGTAAACTTTCCCAGCAGGAGATCCCATAATAAGACTGCAAAGTGAACCCCTTGCGACTTTAATATTAGAGAAAGCTCCCAAAATATGAATCCTAGTGTCTGCAATCACAATCCTCGTCTTGGTCGAGTTCTCAATAGCAAACTTTGTCTTCCCTCCTTTCCCAGACAATCTCCCGATAGCTCGAGACAAATGCTCACCTTTAAGAGTCTTCACATCCTTGATCTCAAAAGACTCAACATAAAGCTCGTCCATTCTCAAAAGAGAGATAGCATCAGGGATATCAAAACCCAGCATGAAAGCGTGTACAAAATCTGCAGACTTCTGGAGATTACTGATGTCGGGAGTGTCGGCTCGCGTTTTAAGCTCGACTTTGCGGGCTTTGAGATTCATCCTAATGTCAACCTTCATCTGATCGTAAATGGGTGTGTAGATATCCAACCAAGCTTTCTTGAGAGGCGAGTATCGGTTTGGTGGTACAGATATCTTCCTGAATTGAACTTTACCATCAGACATTTCATGAGCTTTCAAAGGCTTGAAGGTTGGTTTAGGCGGTAATGGCACAGTTCCTCCTGTTGCAGTCTCAACATCCATCTGAGTAGACTCTGCCATTTCTTCAATGGTAAATTATTACCTACAAGCTATACATAAAACATCCATAAGCATCCACAGTATGAATTACACTCTTAATCTGAAAATCGTGTGTTGTCACTAGTTATCAATCAAAGTCGCACAAAGAAAAGCTAGATCAGATTTGATACCTTAAATACAAGTAATCTGAATTAAAAATTGTAGAAATTACGGGTCGATAAATCTCTATAATAACACAGATATATGAAATTGAAAACATGGAGAAATTCTGATGCAATTAGAATTCTAATTGAGCTCGTAGAGAGTTTTCAATAGATAAATCAATCGGAAATTATGAGGAAATCAAAACAAATTATTGATAATTGAAAGAGTACCCGAAATCTTTGATTGGGATCTGATGGCGGGACGACGGCACAACAACTGAAGAAGAGCTGCTGCTTCGGAGGAAGTTTTTTGTTTTTGTTTTATGAAGGTTTTAAGCTTAGGGTTTATCTATGTCGCCGTCTAAAAACGACACCGTTTTACAAACTCATTTAAATTTACCGATTGGGTTTATGAAGCCCATAAAAGTTTTGGGTCAAACTTTGGCCCTTATATTCATTAGATGATAACTTCTTTTTTTATTACAAATTTGCAACTACTGTGTAAAAAGAAATAAAAAAATGAAGAGGACATAACAACATGTAAAACACACTTTAGCATAACAGATAGGTGATTACAAGAATATTCTCTAATAAGCTCTGATTGGGACTACTAAAGATAGGTAAGGTCATAATTATGGGTCTAGACACATGAAAATCCAAATTTAGAAGCAATCTATTAATAGTAAATCACAAACAAACAAAAACCTTCGGTTTAGTTCGTTTCACCAAACAAATTCAGGTCGGCAAGATTTTCTCTTGAGAAAAAATCAAGAGTTCTTAAATCTCCAAAATCAACAATTCAATGACAATTATAAACCTGAGGCCAAGCCTGTGGGTTTTGTTCATGCCTCATTCTGACCGATAAAGATTTCAAGAAACAACAACGTACGAGAAATGTTTAACCAATCCAGCTCTGTCTCGTTACTATACGTAGTTGAAATCGCCAAAACTACACAAAACGTAGACGTCACTTGGTCCAAAACCAAGTCATCACATTCCTTGACCATCAAAATCGAGAATCTCAAAGACGAGCAACAGAATCATCATCAACCGGTGAAGATAGATCTTTCAGGTTCTTCGTTTTGGGCCAAAAAAGGTCTCAAGAGTTTAGAAGCTAACGGGGCTAGGGTCGACGTATACTGGGATTTTCGTCAAGCCAAATTCTCAAACTTCCCTGAACCTTCTTCTGGCTTCTACGTCTCTCTCGTATCCCAAAACGCAACCATTTTAACGATCGGGGATTTAAAGAACGAAGCTTTGAAGAGGACAAAGAAGAACCCTTCGGCCACAGAAGCTGCCTTGGTCTCCAAGCAAGAACACGTCCACGGAAAACGCGTTTTCTACACGCGGACGGCGTTTGGTGGTGGAGAGTCGCGTCGGGAGAACGAGGTGGTGATCGAGACATCTCTGTCGGGTCCTAGCGATCCAGAGATGTGGATCACGGTGGACGGCGTGCCAGCGATTAGGATAATGAATTTGAATTGGAGATTTAGAGGGAATGAGGTTGTGACTGTGAGTGATGGTGTTTCTTTGGAGATCTTTTGGGACGTTCATGATTGGCTGTTTGAAACCTCTGGTTCGTCTAGTGGTTTGTTTGTTTTCAAGCCTAAAGCTGGATTCGAATCTAAAAGTCTTAGCTTTAATGGTCGCTATGGTGATGGTGAAGGTGAGGATCATGATGTGGAAGATGACGATTCGTCGCCCAAGTATTGTCATGTTCTGTATGCCGTCAAAGTTTAAATAAAAAATTTGGGGAAGAGTTTTTTTTTTTTTTAAATATGTTTCAAAGAACTAGAATTTCCATGTCAAATTTTTTAGTTTCGTCAGCTAGTTAATTATATAGCATATAGTTGGACTTGTTTCTATATGCCGGTTAGTTATACAAAACAAATTGAACTTTTGTAATTTCTAGTCCGAAGCATTAAGGATCACAAAAATTATCGAAAGAGGTTATTGTTAAAACTTTTGTTGTAGAATGATTAGAAGAAACCAGAAAATCTCGTAATAGTCTGAAAAAAAAAAAAAAAACTAGAAAATTAAGCTCGTAAAAATTCTATCATAGTTTTAAAGACTAGTTTCATCATTGATCTTCTTCACATGGCAACTCGTAACGACATAGTGGACAAACGTGATTGGTCTCAAACCACTTTACGGCACACTCATCGTCAAAGTCATGTCCACAAGGTAAAGCCACAAGTCTTCCTCCATTGTTAAACTCTTCCAGACAAATTGTGCATCTTTCGCCTGTATAATTAATCTTGTCGTATATTTTCCTGGTTAAGGACTTGACCACGAGCTTGCTTGCGGGTCCCAAACAGATATCAGCTGTCTCGTCAAACGAGACTTGAACCACTTCTTCGATATGAGGCTCGTCGCGAAGAAAAATATCCAACGACACTTGTAAAGCACACCCTGGAGAATACCCATTACTTGGTGAAGAAGTTATCTGAGCAACATAGTCAATTTGATACATGGCAAGTGCAATACCGTTGTCGCTAATCCCTGCTTCTTTCAAGAAATCATTCAAGTCTACTTTGCTTTGACACTCGTCACGATCATCGATTATGAATTCGTTGGCAGAGGACAAAGTCGTGAAAGTCAAGATATCATCTTCACAGAAGATCAATGCATCGACTCTGATTGTGCCGGCATCTTCTGGTTCAAGATCCTGTTTGATTTCGTACTCTAACGAGACTTTTACCGCTTCTTCAATATAACTCTCATCGATAAGAAGAAGATCCAACGACACTTCTAAAGCACACCCTGGAGAATACCCTTCACTTGCGGAAGAAGTTATTTCAGCAACATAACCAATAAAGTGATACATCATATGTGCAGTATCGTAGTCGCTCATCCCAGCTTCCTTCAAGAGATGAATCAAAACCACTTTGCTTTGACATTCATCGTTGACGAGTTCGTCGGGAAACGACAACGTCGTGTATGTCAAGATATCAGCTTCACGGAAGACCCTTGCATTGATTCTAATTGTGCCCGCATCTTCTGGTTCAGGATCGTTTTTGATTTTGTGATTGTAATCCAAGCGTATAGGTTTAGACATGATTATAAAACAAAACAAAAAAAAATCAAATCTGGTGGTTTCTGTTTTTCTCTCTTTGTTGTTGTGAAAGAAATTGTATCGATGATTTAAGGGTCTAGTCTCATATATTTATAGTAGAGACTCTTTGTCGGTCCCTAATTCTAGTGGGATTTTTTAGATTACAGTTTCCATTTTTAAACAATCCATTATGATTTCCATTTATGACTTTTCTTTTCGTCTGATTGATTTCCATTTATCCTTTTTAAATTACACAAACCTGTGACTGTGAAGTAAAATTTATTTTTGAGATAACAGTTTCCATTTTTTTTTTCGTTTTTAAAAAATCCACAGTTTCCAATTTTTTTCGTTTTAAATAAATACACAATTTCTTCTAATCTCAAACTTAATTACTCTTAATTTAGGCCTGGGCAAAATACCCGGAACCGAATACCCGAACCGAAAAACCCGAACAATATCTGAACCGAACCCGAACCCGATTTTTAAAAATACCCGAATGGGTCCTAACCTCCTACCCGAAAAAAACCCGAACCGAACCCGAACCGAATCCAATACCCGAATGTACCCGAATACAAATATACACCTAAAAATATTAGTTATATTTATATTTATAATACCCGAAATACCTAAAATTACAATCATAAATCCGAATATATTAGGTATTTTAGATATTTTTGGTTATATTTGGGTAAGAGTAACCAATGTATTTTCGAGAAATCGGGTATTTCGGTTAGATTTGGGTATACAGTAAAACCTCTATAAATTAATACTCTATAAATTAATAACCTCTCTAAATTAATAAATTCTTCCGGTCCCGAGTTGGGACCAGTGTAAAATATGACATAAATCGATAAATTAATAAGATAATAATTTTTTTGAAAATCTTATATAAACATATGTTCCCATCTATATTATAAATTAATAATTGTATAAAGTTATCAATATATATATATATATGTATATTTAACTTAATATATATATATATATATATGATGTAAATTTATATATGAATTACTATGATATATATTTAAAATATTATACGTAAAAAAATTAATGAAATATGAATCTATTATTCGAAAAAAGTTTTTGTTGTATTTAAACTTCATAATTGCTTCTCTAGTTGTAATTAATTTTTTAAAGATATTCCTTATAAACCAAAAAAAAAATTGATATAAAATTTTTAAGAAATTACAAAATTAGTAAAATCTCTCTATAAATTAATAATTATTAATTTATCGATAAATTAATACCTCTCTAAATTAATAAAATTTCGTGGTCCCAACATTATTAATTTATAGAGGTTTTACTGTATATGAGTTAAAAACCCGAACCCGACCCGAACCCGAAAATATTTCGGGTATTTTTGGTTATTTTCGGGTATTTTGCTTTTTTTATTAAAATACCCGAACCGACCCGAACCCGAACCCGAACCAAACCCGAATTTTTAAAATACCCGAATGGGTCTTGACCCCCTACCCGAATAGATCCGATACCCGAAAAAAAAGAACCGAACCCGAACGGGTACCCGAATGCCCAGGCCTAACTCTTATCACTCGCCGCAATGAAAGAATTAGGCGCAGTCTAGCAGCTAGATGTCCCACGCGCACTCTAGCAGCTAGAAACTTTGAATGTTGGAACAAACTAGCTAGGGTTTGTACCAGAACGGCTGGGAGATTTCAATTGGGAAATGCTGAAACTAGGGTTTCGTTTATCGATTGCCATTCAACATCGCGTCTTCGTTATTCCATGGTCAGTCAATTATTTTTGTTCAATTCGTAATACAAAATAGCCGAAATGAAATTAAAATCCCATAAATCTGGTTTTTTCTTCTTCTGCTCTTTGAATCTTATTCGATGTATTGTCACAATTGAATTTTGCATCTGTTTCAAAGTTTATCTCTTTGAGAGAGTTTAATTAATTGGCTGTTGAGGAAGTTCCAAGTGCTTATCTTCTTCACTGTTATTGATTGTTTTGTATCTGTTATGTGATCATCTACTTTCATGGTGATTGTTACTAGTGTGGATCATCTTTAAGTAAAGCATAGTTTTAATCCAAAGTGTTTTCACTTCTGATATTGTGTAGGGTGAAGAGACACTCTGCACCTAGAATCTTGTGTTCAGACCAGCGGGACTACACTTCGTCGGGTCTGATTAAGTATGTTCCAAACAAGTCTCGGAAGATTACTCAAGATTTGACATCTCAGCCTCTTGATGTTACTAGATTGGATCATAGTGTGTTGGGATCTCAAGTTAAGGGTAACAGCAAAGAGGCTAGAGATGGCACATTTTTGGATCTGCAAGAGAAGAATGATACTGGAAGTTACATGAATGTGTCTTGTGATGACTCTGATGAAGGTATTTTGAGTTTGGACAAGGGTATAAATGCTAGTAGATGGGATCATAGTGTATTGGGGTCTAAAGTGAAGGAAGAGACTGGAGAGGGTACTGTTTTACATCTGCGAGTTAAAAATGATGCTGAAATGTACTCTGATGCTTCTTGTGATGACTCTAATGAAGGTATTTGCTTTATGCAAGCTCGGTTATGGCACTGCAATATATTATTTCTCGAGAGTAACAAGTAACAACTAACTCTTTGGGGATAATGAGGTTTAAAACCTAAATTAAAATTCAGTTTGATTTAAATATGTTTTCTTGGGTAAGGTTTTGTCTTCAAACCAAGCGTAATTGAGACCCACGTTTCTCTCATCCTTTTGCAGAGTTGGAAGAAAGCAGCAACGAAGTTAGATCTACAGGCTATAAGTCTACGAGACAACACAAACAAGCTTATGATAAAGTCAAACTACATATGGAAGCTGAGCAGGCCAAGAGTAGCAAAGAAGCCTGCAAAACCACGCAAGAGGCAGAGCACATGGCTATGCGCTATCTCGGTTTAAGGTTTGCTTGCAACTTTGAGTTTGTGTAGCTTCAGTTTAAAATGTTGCAGAAGGGTTTTTTTGTTTCATCTTCACTCTTCTCTGTGTATATGATTTCTTATCATCTTATTCTGCTTTGCATGTCTCCAGAGCATATTCAGCAGCTGACCTGAAAAAGAAGCTCATGGGAAAGAAATTTCCTCTTGAAGTCGTTGACAGAGTGATCAATGATTTCCAGATTCGGTAAGGTTCCTCTTGATTTCTTTTTCAATCATGATCCATAGCATCATGTGTTCTTTGATACATCAGGCAGGGTCTAGGTTGCTTTTGTTGTAACATTATCCGCTTTACCTAAAAACTGAGTAAGAAAATGTCTCACTTTCAACATTTTGTCGTGTGTTTCAGAGGCTTTATCAATGATAGCTTGTACGCGGAGTCATTCACTCGATCTAGATGGTCTTCCTTAAGTTGGGGACCAAGGCGGATCAAGCAAGTAAGAATTGCCATTCACATTTTTTTTCCGTGAGATAACAATTTTGTCTGATCTTTCACTACTAAAGAGAAGTGAGTATTTTGCGTGTGGATCAGGCATTGTTTAAGAAAGGCATAAGCAACAAAGACTCAGAGACAGCCATAAAGCTGGTTTTTGAGAAACGCCAATGCAAGGAAGGAGATGAAGAAGCAGAACTAAACCACGGGCTGTCCAAGGAAGCAGTGGATCAGCTTTATGTTCAGGCATCTAAGCGGTGGCTCCAAGGTCGAGACTTGCCTATAGAAACTCGTAAAGCTAGAGTCATCCGGTGGCTTCAGTACCGAGGATTCAACTGGGGTGTTGTTTCCCAGCTTCTAAAGAGGTTAGAGTCTACTCATGAGTCGTGATCTTATTTTACACATGTATCGTTTTGGCCCTTAGGTTTTATATTTGTTAGGAATTGCCCCCATAAGCTATGTTCCATTTTGTAATATGGTCAACTAATGGTTAATGATTGCTCAATGAAAACTTTTTCACAATTTGTTAATGATTGCTTAATACCAAGCTTTGGTGATTTTGATTCATAATTTTTTTGTATTTTGTATTTTGGAATGTGTGTAATGGACAATATGGTATATACAGAGTCATCATCATCATTGAGCAATGAGTAATTGCTCATATAGGGCTGATAGTGTTTAAGAACCCTAAAGTTTATGCCATTAGGGATTTTTCACGTGGTTGTTGTTCAATTGACATAAAACTCAGCTCGAGAACGAACACGAAACTTGTATGAAATTACTTCCACAACCAGGTGGGAAATCTCTAACCTCGTAAACTTTACGGTTCTTGAACTTTAATAGCCCTATACGAGCCATTACTCCTAGATTCTCTTCAGTAACATCACCATTGCTCAACGATGTTTGATGACTCTGCATGAACCATGTTCTCCATGACACCCATTTCAAAACTCATACAAGTAATATAGACGAAGAACTTACGAATCAAAAAATCACCAATGTCATGGTAATGAAGTCATGATAGATTGTAAAAAACTTCATCACTTTCTAAATACAATATGATCCAAAACGTCATTGAAATGATATAAACACAAATGTTCAAATCTTAGCACAAAAAATCTACTAAGTTACTGTATGTAAATAGTTTTTCTTGGTCACGAAACCAAGTATGAACTATTCGATTTCATCAAAAATGTATTATCTCGTCTAAATTATAGACTTATAGTGCACGTATTCACTTGTGATAGTTTCACTCACTTAATCACCAGATTCACCACTGAGTGATTAAGTATCCATCTAGTTAAATTGTTTACATTTTTCTTAATGTGAGTGAAATCCGTGATTTAATAACGTAATAAAAGTGATTTTCTGTTTCTCGTTTTTTCTTCCATAATTTTGAATGTTTTATTTTATATAGGAAAGAAAAACTAAAATAATTTTTTTTATATCTCGAAAATGTAAATTTAGATAGAAAGAAACAATTTATTTCCAAAATATAAATCATTGTACAAATCTAGCTAAAAAACAGTTATATGGTAAGGATGGAGAAAGATATATATATAGAAACAACGATGCATAGAAGATTTGCCCCCCCAAAATAAAAAAAAAAAACCATGAATAGAGGAAGAGTTGGAAAAGGGACGAAGAGAAGGGCCATGGAAACCCAAAAAGAAGATGGCACCAAATTGTCTTCATGGATTCCTCTTGATGTGACCATAGAAATACTCTTAAGACTGCCAGCTAAATCCGTGGTGAGGTTCCGTTGCGTGTCGAAACTCTGGTCCTCTATGACCTCCACTCCAAATTTCATCAAATCGTTTGCAATTCACTCGTCGGCTCGGCCGTCTATTCTTTCTTGTTCCGTCAAGAAAGAAGAGGGCAAGCGAGTCTTCTTCTCGTTTCCGCATCAACAGGATCCCAAAAATCCTTATACTAGTATATTGGACAAGTATGATATGATGCTCCCAAAAAAAGACGCTTGCCCAATTTTCTCTGATCTGGGGTACGTCTTTGACGTTCATGACTCCATCCGGGGCTTGATCTCTTTTGAAAATTCCAAGAGCATCATAATTTGGAATCCTACCTTGAGACAACATGTCACATTACCGAAGCCTCGTGTCTCTAAACCCTGGACAAGCCTTTTGGGATACGATCCAATCGCCGATGAACACAAAGTGTTGTGTATGTCACTTTGTGAAGATGCGAGGAAACATGGGGAAGACCCTATGATATTCACACTGGGAGCTAAAGAGAAATGGAGAATAGCCAAAACCAGCCCTATTCATCCCTCAATGAAAACTTGGAGATGCATCAACGGAGTTCTTTACTACTACGGGGTTGATTGTTCTGTAGTGAGCTTTGATGTGAAGTCCGAAAAATTCTTAACGATAAAGAAACCAGAAGGCTGTGTCTGTGATATGATTGATGATCTACCTAATCCGAAACATAGTTTGATAAGCTACAAGGGAAGATTAGCTTGGATTTATGATGGGTTTTCAAGATATTCAAGACTATGGATTTTAGAGGATGCCGAAAAACAAGAATGGTCAACTAGTGAATTTGAAGTTCCTTTGGGGAGGAGCCCCAAAAACGTTAACTACGGGTTTCTGCTATTATGTGGTGACACTGGTGATGATGAATTGATTTATGCACCAACGTCCACAGAAGGAGAGTTTTGTGCTTTTTTTTTATGATTTGAAGAGGAATATCACAAGAAAAGTCACATACGAAGGAATCAAGGATAGGTGGTACAAATATGTATGGTTTCCGAATCATATTGAGAGTCTCAAGTCTCTGTACTAAGATAATTGATTGAATATGACTGACTAAATTCAAGTTTTTGTGTCATTATTATTATTGTTTTATTGGCATTTGTAATTGTTTTTTCAAAACTTTAAATTACATGATTGGAGTAATTGATCGAATGTATGTTTTACATATTTTGCTGTGGCAATGTTCGGAATTTTACGTGATAATTCATTAGTTGATTGAGCAATCTGAGAGTCTCAACTCTCAAGTCTCTGAACTAAAGAAACTAATTGAATATGAATGAATTCAAGTTCTTTTATGATTCTAGTGTTATTCTTATATGTATATTTATAAGATTCTAGTGTTATTCTATATGAACTGAAATATACTTACCTACAGTATCTATCTTATTGGTTAACTATTAAAAATGAAACTGCTTGGACACAATTTAAGGTTTTAGTTTTATGTGTAATCGGACTGAATGTGGATCGGTCTGATTTACAAACCTTAATCGATTATTTAAACGACATGCAATGAACAATGTAAAAACTAAAACGGCACGACGTCTAAGGCAGTAAGGCGGCTATTGCGGGAAAACGGTGTCGTTTGATTCGAATATAAAGTTTTAACCTTCGACGCGACGCGAAAGCTATTTCTGTTTTTTTTTTTTTTATTAATTGGCTTGGTTAGAGTCTGAAGAGAGAGTAAGAAATCTGATGGGGAAGAGAAAAGAGCGTCGTTTCGCCGCCATGAATAGCACCGGCCGTCGTGTCAAGCTTGATCTCTTTGCGGAACCCTCCTCTGGTATGCCTTTTTTTTGTCTTCTTCTAAACTTGTCTAATCGATTTCTGCTCTTTTGTTGGATTAATTCTATTAGATTGACGGATTTGTGGATTCGATCTCGTTTCTCTATTGAGGAAAGCCAGTTAATGAATTGACTTAGGCTACCTGACAGAGAGTCTGATAATTTTAACTTAGATTTTTTTGTAGAAATTTTCGAATTTGCGTTTCTCGGCCTTTTTTTAGTATATGTTTTTGATATTTTGTAGGAGATTTGGGTGGCTCAGATGTGCGTGATGGAGCTGAGCGGGAACAAACAGAGCTTAATGAGTTACCCAATTCACCTTCTTCTTCAGGTGGGTTCCATCAGCTATCTTCAAAATCCGCTATGTAGCCAAGCCCCATAAGTGCTCGACATGTTAATGGTGCAAAATTGGGAAATTTTTGTTTTTTTGTTGTTTGTCACCAAAAATTTCTTCTCAGAGTATTAGAGTGGTTGTGGTCTTGAGGACACATCTTATGACATCAGTTCAGGCCAAGACACAGTGATATTTTCAATGAGTTGCTCTATTTTGCAGCTTCAAGCTCTCTGGGGGACTTTCTTCTGGAAAGAGCTCCTAGCGGTTCGTATGTCTCTGGCTGTTTTGGCTTTCTACGCTTAACTGACAGCTTTGTCGTTATTTGTGACAGGTCGCTGATAAATCTTCCCCGACGCTATTCTCTATCCTTTTTAATTTCTAATGCAACCTAAAATATCACATTGCTATTATTTTAGCAGTTCATATAACTGAAGTCTAGGTATGGAGTTAGTACGGCTTCCAAATTTTGACGCTTTATTTTTTTTATTTTCAGGTAAGAAAACAGGAAACCCTTTGCTTTTACTTGGGCAGTATAGTGATGATGAGGTGGAAGAAGATTCGGATAAGAAAGCAGATGATGCCTCTGCTGATAGTTCCTTAACCAATAAAAATGAGCAGGTAACAACAACTAACTTATATAAAACGCAGTAATGATGATGTCTCTGTTAGTCTTGATGAGTTTTATTTATACCAGGTCGATGGATTAATTCAAGAAGGTCACAAAGATACAAATATCAAATCAGGTGCAGTTACCACAATGCAGATGGCTGACGAACAGCAGGCTGGGGAGAATTCTTCTGCACTTGATTCTAGAGCTGAAGGAGAAAGTGGTTTTGTCACAGTGAGTAGCTCAACAATCTTGGATGGACTAAACAAGCATACAGATCCCTCAGTTCAAGCATCTGGCAGCGTGTCTTTGGAGCACCATGCTCCCACAGATGTTACTTCGCAGTGGAAGATGATTTTGCATGAGGAGAGCAATCAGTATTACTACTGGAATACAGAAACTGGGGAAACTTCGTGGGAAATTCCTACAGTTTTGACTCAAACTGCCTGTGCATATGGGACCGGGTACAATGAGTCTGGGCCCATGGTTACAGATGAGTCCACCTTGATTGCTGGTGTTGAACCAAGCTATTTCCTACCTGTGCAAAATAGTTTCACAGGAGCTGACTATTCGACTTTTCCAACTGTTGAGCTGGATGAGAGAAACAAAAGTGAAGATCTATATGTCAAAAGTTTAGGAACAGATGGTCATCAAGTTGAATGTCGGATAGACTCTGTTGTTAATAGTCAGAAGGACCTTTCAAGGCCAGGAAATTCAGATCATGTGCATACTAATTTTGATGCAGGAGCGGCTACTGAGCTCCCATCTCGCTTGTTGAGTCAAATCGAAGGCTTACTGGAGAAGCTGAGGTCTCTGAAGAGGTAACATATTCTAGTCTGCATCTTCTTGTTTACGTATGTTATATTGTTAGGTAAAAAGATCACAGTTCCTTATCTTCTCTAAAATATGTTTATCTCTAATTTCAAAAAATTGATAGGTCGCATGGGAACTTTCACAGCAATGAGCAGATAACAAAGTACATTCTGGAGGTTGAAGTCAGACATTCTGATGTAAAGGCGCTCATATTGGATAGCTCACCTTTACTTTCTTTTTGGCTTCACACTGAGAAACAACTTAAGCGTCTGGAAGATAGTGTTAACGATGAGATTTACCAGCTTGCAAAATCTGCAGTAATGGATGAAATTGCAGAAACTAACAAAAGCCCTCCTGAAGAAAAGTTGGTAGCAGATGCTAATACAGAGAGTGAATCCGAGGACAGTGAAAGAGATGGAGAGCTAGCTCAATCTCAAAAATCTCTTCATTCAGATGAATCAGCTGATGTGAGCGGCGATGGATCTCCTAAACACTCCCGAAGTCATCCAGCTGGGCAGTCTGATATTACTCCTTCAACTGAGATGCGTCAGAAGGCTGGCTCCCCAGATGTGGAAGATATTGACATGGATGTGGATATGGAGGTTGAAGAATCAGTTCCAGTGTCTTCTGTTCAAGTGATAGATACTTCTGATGGTAAGATGTTCAGCCAAACAGAGCCATCCAACCTCCATGCAGATGTTCCAATACCTCCGGGTGAGGAATGGATTCCACCACCGCCGTCTGAGAGTGAAGATGTTCCTCCACCGCCACCAGACAGTTATAGCGAACCAATTCCTCCACCACCTGAAAATGGCCATGTCCCTTCATCTTTGTCCAGTGACTCTCTCGGAGTTCCCTATACTGTACCTCAATCTTATATGCAGCAATCTGTTGATTATGCAACACAATACAACTTACCCTATCCAGAGTCCAATTATCAATATACCAATTCTGTTGCTCTAGATCCTAATACTCAGTTCTATGGCCATGTCGATGGATCTCAAGTTTCTCTTCCCCAGTCGACATTTTATTATGAAACTGTTCCTGGTACAAGTGAAGTTGCTCCCACAGCAGCCAGTGCTGGTGAAGCTTATTACGATTTCAATGGTGCAGCTCCACTTTTTCCTGTCATTAGCTCCACGGAGTCATCGCTACATCACGGTGGAGTTGGTTCTGCTAATCACTACATCTCAAGCAATTCTTCTACAGTTGTAGTGCCTAGTTCGAGATCCAATGACTTTGCTGAGATTGCATCTTCGGCAACTACTTCTCAATCCACAGATGTTACAGGTGGATCGTCTCTATTAGCAAAGGGTCAAACGAAAGGTATGATATTTCTTAATCGAATTTCGTTTTTCACATTCATAGTTTGAGCGTACCTGAGTTTTGCTTATAAGTCCTTGGCTTTGGTAACAGTGAAACGGTTAAAAAAGCGGACAGTTGCTGCTACATCCACATTGAGGTCAAATAAAAAGGTTTCGAGTTTGGTTGACAAGGTATGTTATTTATTTCTTGAATCTCCTTATATACAACCCTTTTCTAGATTCCCTTAGATCCAAAACTTAAAGGTGTCTCCACTTATGGTCAGTGGAAAGCTGCGAAAGAGGAGCTAAACGATAGTGAAGAAGAAGAAGATGATTCCGGAATCCTAGATAGAAAAAGAAAACGAGAAATCGAAGAATGGAAATCTCGACAAATCGCAAGTGGAGAGGCTAAAGACAATGCAAATTTCCAACCTCTCGGTGGTGACTGGTTAGTTACTCTCTAATGCCAACATTTATTTATCTCCTCCCCAGTAAAACATTATTTAATTTACTTAATGTGGTTGTATGATGTGATTAGGCGTGAGAAAGTGAAGCGGAAGAGAGAACGAGCCGAGAAGTCTCAGAAGAAAGACCCCGAAAAGCAGCAAAAACCTGATCTAACCAAACTCTCAGCAAATCTCCCGTCGGGATGGCAGGTATTAAATTTTCACCATTTCACTAGCGTTTGATTTGTAAATGAGAACTCAGTCGCTAAAACATTGTCACTTGACTATCTCTCTCTCGCAGGCATATTGGGACGAATCTACCAAAAAAGTTTACTATGGGAATACAAGTACATCTCAAACCAGTTGGACCCGACCCACTACCTGAACCTCAATTACTTCCTCGACCCATTTTTTTACTATTTCTTCTGTGATACATTTGTTTTAGATTTCTTTCTTCTCTTATCTTTATGTAAATTTATTACAGAGCTAGTGTTATATGTCCCGGATGCACATTTTGTTTATCCGAGAAGATCATTGTACCATTTCCCAATTTTAATGTAATCTTATAATTTGTTCTCTTCCCAATACTCTCGACTCTTGAGCCTAAAAACTTGTATGTTTTGTCATTAATCTTCAAGCCTATTCCCTCAAACGTGACTTTTATTGAGAGACAAGATTTGGAACTCAATTTTTCCATCTGTCCAAAACAAAATGTTTTAAACGAGCGAGTAGCGTCGACTGGGTGGTCATAGACGTTGTACAAATCCAACCTTGCCGGCCGAACTATATGGTTTATGATTTTTCTCTAGTATCCCTGTCTAGGCGGATCTCGGCGTGCGGGGATCAGAGTCGCATTTTGTACTTTTAATTGATGCAAACAAAAATCACGATCACTTGAATTTATTTCATTTGTGCAAACAGCAAAGTGAATATCCAGAGATTTCTCTACTTATGCATTTTTGTATATACACACACACATACGAGAATTTTAAATTGATGAGAAGAAACACATTAATATATGAATCACTTGGGAGAGCCAGAGATAGAGTCTCCACCACCCAACATGGAAAGGTTAGAGGGAACGGATATGCCACGAGACATGCCAAGTCCAGCGTTGCGACGGTGGTAACGGCACCTGAAGGAGCCAGGGTGTGTCGTTGGTGCGCATAAACAGTTTTGCCTCACGCTCGATGACTTGCTCATACCTACCGAGCCACCACCACCACCACCACGACGTACACGTGGAGACATATTGTAAGCTTCTTGTCTTTTAATATCATCTTGGTTTATCTCTGTTTCTGTCTCCTTAAGTTTGATCTTCATCATCATCCTCCTCTTTGCTTCTTCCTCTTTCCCTTCCATTTGTTTTCTCCTTTTCTTTCTCGTGTGTTTCTTTCTCTACCTTTTTACGAATAGAGAAAAGTCTAAAAATAGTCGGAATTGCGAAACTGAAAAAAAAGAAAAGAATTTGTAGAGTTAAAAAAGAGAAGTTTATGTAAAAGTTATGTATCTAAAAATAGTGATTTTCCTTTGTGTCCCTTCTTTGCGGTTCTGAATATCCGAGATTGTCGTTTTCTTTGCAGTAAAATCGTCCATTAAATAGAGATTTTGGAATCGACCAAAAATATATATAGAGATTTTGGAAAATGGTTTTCGCGTTTCAAAAATAGGTAAGACGGAGGAAGAAAGTGTAAAAACAATATAGAACTTTTTTTTGTTAACAAAAATGCGAACTTGCAATGCACTATACTGATAAGATTGGCCTTTAATCTATTGAGATTTTAAAAAATATGTCTTCCCCGTCATTTATGTTATCAACTTTGGTTGGGTAGACCTTCTTCTGTTTGATGTATTTTGTCAACTTTACTTGGGTACACCGTACACCTTTTTCTGTTTAATGTATTTTGTCAACTCTGATTTTGTAACAGTAACACATTTAGAGGTCATAATCTTTTGTTCACTTTGTCTTAGAATTGTCACTTTGCTGTTTGTTCACCTTTCCTTCCACATTTGTATCAATCAATAATACTTGTACAGTTGTACTTATAACTTAATAAAGTTAGAATTTTATATTAACTTCTAGAAGCATGTACAATGTGTACTGTATTACATAAGTGATATTTATTTAAAGATACAAACTAAAATGTAAATCATTTTGATGAGAAATAGATAACAAAATCCACATTATTAGAACAACAAATCTCAAACAAAATATCCGTGGCCCTTACCCGAAAAAATAAGGAAACAAAAACCAAATAACAATCTTATATAGTAATTTTCAAAAACATTATAATTGATTTTAAAATTCGTTTTTAAACATATACAATTCCAATTTGTAGCTAGAACCTACGTACGCAGCTGACAAAAATATGCCTACTTACTTACTTACACATGCACTAACTGCCCTCGAACCTTTGTTCGGAACAACAAAATCTACAGAGATAAGAAGAGACCACATAAAGTTCAACTTGAGCTCTAACGAATAGATGAATGCACATTTTGCAGAGCTTCTTAAGCTAATTCGTATGATTGTGCAAAGCTAAGCTAAGCGAGTGATTGATCATCTAACAAGACTACCAAATGATAAATAGGCTTACTCTAAATCATTCTTGTGCCAGTGAGAAACAAACTCCAAACCCAAATATTCTAAAGTCTACATAACACAATCTAAGTTAAAGAAGATAAGACAACACTTAAATTAGGTAAACACACTAAAAGATATCTAATAAAAGTTTTTTGATGCTCTTCCTGTCCTTAGCAATCCTTCCTGATGTTGGCGCTACATGATAACTCTAGAATGCACCTAGAGCGATTGGAACAATCTAGAGAAACCTGTGAGAGAAGCTTCTATTGATTGCTATTACCTCGACCCTATCTTGCATACGGATGGTATCGACTACTGCTACTATAACCCCTCCCATATGGACCACCTGCTCCTTCATAACTGCCACCTGGGACACCAGATTCATATGCACCACCGTAACCAGGCCCATCATATCCCCCATAGCCTTCCCCACCTCCACGACCATATCCTCCACCACCATATGCCCCATAGCCTTCCCCTCCTCCACGACCATATCCCTCGCCACCAAACCCACTCCCATAGGGTCCAAAACGACTAGAATAGCCAAGGGGTGGTTCATTCCGGTAACCTCCTAAACTACCACCCCCATAATTACCATATCCTCCTCCAAATTCAGGGCCGCCACGACCATACCCATATCCCCCAGCAAACCTACTAGGAGGACCTCCATGTGACCTAATGGGACCTGGAGGACCATAACCTCCATGAAAACCTCCGTAAGGTCCACCATAACCGCCATAACTATCGTTAGAAGAACGACCTCTAGGTTGACTACCGTAAGAAGGAGGTGAACGGTTTAGAGATTTCTTTGGTTCAGCTTTCTTGATCTCCACCTACAACAAAGCAACTTAATTAACCTAGCTATGCTAAGGATCCAAACTATAGCAGGGACTTCCTAGCTTACTGTGACAACCTCCTTACATTTGGTAAGCTAGAGGGTAGAATTCTAACTAAGTTAAACGTGTATAATGAAAGATACAAGCAGAAAATTTCAAAATGAAACCAAGATAAATATGTGTGCATGTACCACAATTCTAGGCCCCATTTGTACAAGCTTACCTGAGTGTCTGCCATATCGATCATGTTTCCTTTGGACAATAATTCATCTACGACTTCTTCGCTGTCAAAAATTACAAAACCAAAACCTCTGGACCTGTTTGTTTCATGGTCTCGGATAACCTGGTGCTCCACCACGTTCCCATACTTGGCAAAGAAGTCCTTAAGTTCATCTGATCAACAGAAAAAAGCAACTTCAATAAGCACAGAAAACCAGCATTCTCATAAAAAGTAATAACCTCAAGATGCCAAGAGGAAGGTATACCTTCTGTAACAGTGGAGGGTATACCACCAACGAAAATCTTCTTTGTTTTGAAATCCTTTGACTGATTGCCGCCAGCACCTTTGGGAATAGTCCTTTTGATCTCAACCTGTTCCATCAAAAACAAGGAAAAAGTATTTGACCAAGAACCCACAAAATAATTAATCAAATCCACACTAAGACTTAGTGTAGGAAGAAAAGAGAAGTGGGCATAGAGAGACCTGTTTGCCATTGATGATATGATTATCTTCGATAACTTTGTCAACGACAGAAGGGTCAGCAAAGGTGATGAAACCGAAACCCCTAGGTTGTCCAGTATGTCGATCACGCATAATGACAGAATCTGTAATCTCCCCGTACTTGCCAAAGTGCTTATTGAACACAGCTGCAATCAAAAATCAAAGTGAGCAACCAGAATCAACATCCCAAACAAGTCTAACATCACACACACACACTCCTACCATATCGAAACTTAGAAACACGATTTCTAAAACAAAACAAGCAGAAGAGAAGAGACTTACTATTAGTCGTATCTTTGTGCAATCCTCCAATGAATATTTTCCTGCGACACACAAATTCCAAGCAAAACATAAATTAAACATTGAACCAAAACTATAAACAAAGTTTCAAAGCCACAGATTAGGAGATATTCGCTAATTACATCGTTAATCCTCTGGATTTAAACATGCAAGAGGTATGATGAGAAGAAGTAAACGTACCCAGGACTAGCGCCATCGCCGGACTGGAAATTATCATTACGAGATCTGGAACCCATGGCAGCTCCTAATTAAGTTTTCGATTGAGAAATCCTCCGAGATAAGGATCGAGAGAGAAACCGAAAGCTAGGGTTTTGATAAGATCTGATATATATCTTCGTCTTCTAATTAGAGGAGATAGCTAAATCGTGTAATATATATTCTTAAATTTGGACATCGACTCGCGGAAAAGAAAACAAGTAAATATTATATTTTTTAGATTTTCCACAGCTGTCTATTTTTCCTCTTTTTTTTAATTAAAAAAAAAAGACAACAAAAAAAGGAAATGTTGACAGTGGGATTTTAACCCACGCCCTTTCGGACCAGAACCTTAATCTGGCGCCTTAGACCATCTCGGCCATATCAACTTTGTTGTCGGCCTTACCAGTATTATTTTATTCAACAATACAAAATAATAAAAGTTTCAAGAGTGACGTCAGCGTATAAAAATACGGAGAGAAAGACATTTAGCGGTAGTTTTACGGAAATAAATGAAGTCTTCTCTATGTTCAAGTCCGGGCTCTGATCCATATTTTCTCTCTCCTCTCCCTCCGCTTCTCTCTCTCTATATATCAACATGAGCAGCATCAGCGGCGATGGCGGCGATGGCGGCTCTAGGGTTTCGATTCCGGCCGATTTGCTTGAAACCATTCAAAACATCAGAGAGGTTACCGGTAAACAACATTCCGACGAGGATATCTTCTCCGTCTTTAAGGAGTGTTTCAATGATCCACATGAGACCACTCAAAAGCTCCTCTTTTTAGGTTGTTTTTCCTGACAAAGTTTCAGCATTTCTTTGTTTTCTTTTACTGTTTCTGCTTCTCCTAGGGTTTTGTTTGATCTTTGTTTTGGATGTTGCTATTTAATGCTCTTTGTCGATTTTGGTTTTGTCTTTTTTTTCTCTGTTTTAGAAGAAGTGTTGTGCTTAGAATCTGAAGTTTTTATGAGATTTCCATTTGGTATAATATGTCTAGGAATGTTCAAATAAGGAATCTTTTTTACTGAAATGGAATATGCAAAATTTGGGTTCATGACTAGAAACTGTCGTTTGAAAAAATCTTTACCAATCTAGCTGGACTGTGGAAAGAGAATTTTTGTTTTGCTTTGATTGAGATTGGGCATCTGGGTTATGATTAAGTTTGGATTCTGTCTACTGTTTCAAGATCAACATAATGATGTAGTTTGATAGCAGGCGTGTACTCATATATTATTACTGATACTTTGAAATGTTTCAGATACATTTCATGAGGTGAGAAGCAAACGGGAGAGAAAGAAAGAGGTAGCTTTCCTTTTTTTTCTTTCTTTTGAATCCTCTCTTTTGCGGTTTAAGTGTTGTCTTGAGTTCTCTGTTTAATAATTTTTTATTAAGATTCATGATTTTTGAATTAACTTAGCAACCCTCACATTTCTGTGTATCACTTCCACTAGTAGCTTATATCATCCGTTTCTCTTATTACCTGTTGCAGAATTTAGTGCCAAATACACAAGGAAGGGGCCGGACTGGACGGAGGAACTTTCCTTCAAGTTACACAGGTCATTGTGGTTTATGTTCTTTTACTTCTAAACTTGTGCACTATATTTTCCTTCCTTGAAGCTCTTCGTTGATTTGCAGATACCAGTAATGGAAGAACTGCAGCTTTTAAAAAGCAGAGTGGAGCTAATCACATAATAGGAGGTTCTGGAACTGCTTCTTCTGCTCCTAACAATGCAAGAAACGACACAAAACCTTCTTCCATAATGTATCCATACTTATAATTCTGTCCATGTCTTTAATACCCTGTTTGGATATGGGCTTCCTAACGCATTGTATTCTTTTTCAGGGCCCCTAACCCTATAAGTCTTCCAAGTGGACTCAGTAACCATAAACTTCAAGATGCTATCATCTCCCCTGTGAACAAGGGAGTCACAGAGGAACAGTCTCTCCCCAAGTCTACTTCTTTGTCTGAAGATGTTGTTGAGCCGGATAAGTCTAAAGCAAGTACTGTACCAGTGGCTGTATCAGATTCTGTTGTAGAGAACGATGTATATGGAACTTCTCAGATCCCACAACCGTCAGAGCGAGGTATAAATTATACTGGATAAATGCTCTTCATCCATGTAGCTTTAAGTGCATTCTGTTTTCTTTTAGTAAGTTGTTCCTGAGTTTGATTACAGCCCCTTATGTGATTCGACCTATGGCTTTTTTTAATTGGAACAGTCATTAAGAGTGAGGTTGCAGCCAATAAAGGCAAGAATCAGTCGCTTCTCAAGTCAGATGTTGGTGAACGGCCACACGTAACATTTCCTGTCCACCTTCAGGTTGCCAAAATGCTGGAAAATGGTCTGACATTTGGGAGCTTCGATTCTAATTTTGTGAGAGAGACATCTTCTGACAATTGTACTATTGGGTGTGATGACTCCAATAGTGAGTCTTCTCATGGGACAGCGGCCTATGGGGCATCAGTTAGGTTGGTGACTAATAGATACTTTGATTAAATCTTACAGTGTTACTTGCTTCAATATTCTTATGAATTGATCTAGAGTCTCAGATGAATGAGTTTCTGATATGATATACCTTTATATGAAACTTGATTTGCAGGAAAGATGTATCAACTTTTTCTCAGGATAAGAATCATGAGATTTCAAATTCAGCAGCTCAGAACGAGCTAACATTGCAGCCAGATCAAACTGTTCTCCCTGTAGAAGGTTCAGAAGGAGATGAAGTAAAGGACGAGTTTTTACCAATCACAGACACTCATCAGGTTGGTTATTATCAAGATGCCCCACACAATGTCTTTTTAGTCTTGTGCATTCATTGTCAGCATCAGGCCAACCACGTGGTTTTTCTTGCCTGGAAATTTGAATACAATGCTTAATCACTGTCTTTTCTATTCTGTTGATAATTTCAGGCTGCAAAGTGTGATGCTCCACCGATCTCCTACCCTGACCAGTATTCCATAGCTGCCGCTCAACAGGCAATGCACCTTAGGCAACAATACTCTCTAAACTTTTTCCCTTATGGTCCATATTTCCCCCCCTATTATATGCCGCAACCATACATTCACCAGTACTTGAGCCCAAACGGGTTCCAACAACTGTCTTACTTACCGCCCAGAGATGATGCTTCAGCACCTCCAGGGGCTGAACTACCTCTCACTCACATCAAACCAGGAAGCGACATTGGCAACTCTCCACCTACCACAATTCCATTCCCATATGCTTCATACGCCTTCATCCCATCAGCAGCCACCGTAAACACCACCCACAAGGAAGAAAAGAAGGAAAACATTTATACAACTGGACCACTGGTTAGTTTTTCTCTGACTCTCCCTACTGTTATTGCATGTTATGCTATACCTTTTTTAACAGGGCTCAATGTATATATTGGCTGGGCAGAGTCTAGCCAATCTGCAGGCCAGTCCCATGTACAACTTTTCCCTTCAAGGTCACCCAATAGCTTTCCCAACCATTCAGCCTGGGATCCCGGGAATATACCAACAAACACAGCCCGTACTGGCGCCTCCTACTATATCTACGAGGACTGAACCCATAGGACCCTCACACATAACTAATCAGCAACCTCAAGCCGCACTAACAAATCTGGGGAACAACTACTAGGTCAAGGAGTATTACTAGAAAGATGCATATTCAGATTGGTAAGAGATGTTCAAGTCTGGAATTTTGAGTGATTTTGTGTACATACTTAGGATACATCACCCCCCAAGAAGAAATTAGTATGTGGCAATTTGACAAGGGGACGAGAATTGGTGCCTTTTGTTTTTTCAATTTTTGTGAGTACCACAAACAGCTTCAAGGATCTCGTTTATCTGTAATTCTTCCGAATCTTACAATATAAACAAGTGATCAGTTTATATGAGCAAGTGAGCATTTATTCTCATACGTGATCGCCAAAGAGCAAGCCAAAGTCGATAATTGTAAATGACTTTAATCTACCATATAAGACTTATAAGTAAAGAAACTGATTTTATTTCATTTTCTCCTTCTGCAAGTCAATTCCATATAATACAAAAACATTGAAAGAATGTGGTCTACCAAACTAACACCCTGATAAACAGAGAGAAAAAGAGAACACAAAAAGCAAGAAAGTTTCAGGTTTGACACAGTTGATCCACACACTTCTTCCGTTATATAATACAAGCCTACATTCATATCAATTTTCTTGTGGTACAAGAATAAGGAAAATAACATGGAGATCAGAAGATCAACAGAAGAAGTTGAAGAGAACCATGTAATGCAGATTACAGGAAGCAACGGCATAGTTCACAACATGGAGTTCATGCCGCAAGCTTACCTCAGAAACCAATACTCATCCGAGATTGACATTGATGAAGAGTTTGTTTCCTCTTATCCTCTCGAAGATGCCCCACTTCCCATCTTTCTCAAGGTTTCTCTTTCTCTCTTGCTTCCGATTTTCCTTCTTCGAGACAAAGCTCATTGGTTTCGCCGCTTTTCTTTATATGTAGTTTGAAGATGTGGAGTATAAGGTGAGAAACAGTCAAGCCAGCTCAGCAAACCTGGTGAAAACAATGGTGTCAAAGGTAGTAACACATACAAATCCGGATCCAGATGGGTACAAACACATTTTGAAAGGCATAACAGGAAGCACAGGTCCCGGCGAAATCCTTGCGCTGATGGGTCCTTCGGGTAGTGGCAAAACAACTCTCTTGAAGATAATGGGAGGAAGATTAACAGATAATGTCAAGGGGAAGCTTACCTATAATGACATTCCTTACAGTCCATCTGTTAAGAGGAGGTTAGATACCAGAGTTGGATATTTCTCGTACCTGAATCATACAATTATGTACTAATCTTTCACTGTTCTCCAGAATTGGTTTTGTGACGCAAGACGATGTTCTGTTGCCACAACTTACTGTGGAAGAGACCTTGGCATTTGCTGCGTTTTTGAGACTTCCAAGTAGCATGAGCAAGGAACAGAAATACGCCAAAATAGAGATGATCATTAAAGAGCTTGGCCTTGAAAGGTACAACTTATAGTGAGAACTCGTAGACTTGCTTCAAACATGTATTTGATGATCTTTAGACGCATTTCATGTAAACACTTGCTTCAAACCTTTGGTTTTTCTTTGTCCCGTTGCTGTTCTGAACTAATTTTTGTTGAAAACAAAAATGAAAGATGCCGTCGGACAAGAGTTGGAGGAGGTTTTGTCAAAGGAATATCAGGTGGAGAAAGAAAAAGAGCAAGTATAGCTTACGAGATTCTCGTAGATCCTTCTCTGTTGCTTTTAGACGAGCCAACTTCTGGACTTGACTCCACTTCTGCCACCAAACTTCTTCATATTCTGCAAGGAGTGGCTAAGGTATCAGCATTTCTTTTACATGCAAATAGATTACTAACAAAGTTCTTGAAAGATACAGAAGAACAAGATTCAGTTTTTCTTTCTCAGGCAGGAAGGACCGTTATTACGACAATTCACCAACCATCAAGCAGAATGTTTCACATGTTCGATAAGCTCTTACTGATTTCGGAAGGGCACCCTGCCTTTTACGGCAAAGCCAAAGAATCTATGGAGTATTTCTCGTCTTTGAGAATCTTACCTGAGATTGCAATGAACCCAGCAGAGTTCTTGCTAGACTTGGCAACCGGACAAGTGTCAGACATTAGTCTACCGGACGAACTGTTGTCTGCCAAAACCGCACAACCTGATTCTGAGGAAGTAATAGTGAAAGTAAGGAGCACACGAAGTCATAGACTATATACTAAGAGTTATAATGGGACTCAATTCTAGTGTTTATGTTTTGCAGTACTTGCAACAAAGGTACAAGACAGACTTGGAGCCAAAAGAAAAGGAAGAAAACCATAGAAATAGAAAGGCCCCAGAGCATCTTCAAATAGCAATCCAAGTGAAGAAGGACTGGACTCTTTCATGGTGGGATCAGTTCTTGATTCTTTCAAGAAGAACATTCAGAGAGCGGCGTAGAGATTACTTTGATAAGCTAAGGCTAGTTCAATCACTTGGTGTGGCCGTTGTGTTGGGTCTTCTCTGGTGGAAGTCAAAAACGGATACAGAGGCGCACCTTAGAGACCAAGTATGGAAACTATATATATAAATTTTGTGATTATAGCAAAGTTATAAGCCTCCTATTTATCTGGTAAGCTTAAGTGCAGGTTGGTTTGATGTTCTATATCTGCATCTTTTGGACATCTTCATCACTCTTTGGAGCGGTATATGTGTTCCCCTTCGAGAAGATCTACCTGGTGAAAGAACGAAAAGCAGAAATGTACAGACTAAGTGTGTATTACGTATGCAGTACACTATGTGATATGGTGGCACACGTTTTGTACCCGACATTCTTCATGATCATTGTTTACTTCATGGCTGGGTTCAATAGGACGATACCCTGCTTCCTTTTCACCGTGTTGACAATACTACTGATAGCCATCACTAGCCAAGTAAGCAGAGAAAATATCGAGAACTTGTCTCTTTTACGAACTTGAACATTTTTTTCTTTTCCAATGTAACTGCAGGGTGCAGGAGAGTTCTTGGGAGCTTCCGTTTTGAGCATTAAGAGAGCTGGTATGATCGCCTCTTTGGTACTAATGCTGTTTCTTCTAACCGGAGGTTACTATGTTCAGGTACCACAACTTAGATACCTTGGATGGATTACTCTTTCTAGTGAATCATAACAAAAAGTGACGCACTCTTTTTGAACTCGAAATGCAGCACATACCCAAATTCATGCAGTGGTTGAAGTACTTGTCCTTCATGCACTACGGCTTCAGGCTGCTATTGAAAGTTCAATACTCAGCGGACCAACTTTTCGAATGTGGGAGCAAAGGCGGGTGCAGAACACTGCAAAGCTCATCGTCCTTTGACACAGTCAACTTGAATGGCGGCTTGCAAGAACTGTGGGTTCTGCTTGCCATGGCATTCGGCTACCGTCTTTGTGCATACTTCTGCCTTCGCAAGAAAATAAGTATTTGTCATCTTTGATAACAAGATGTAAACAAGAAAATGACAAAACAAGTTCATACAGCTATTTCCAATTTTGAAAGATGAATAAGAGCAAATCAGGAATCTGGGATATAAAGCATTAAAGCCAAATGCATAAGCTTTACCATAAAACAGTTGTTTGAGTACAGAGACTCAGACATCATAATCCCAGACGGAATAAAAGCTTTAGTTCATAAGTCATAACCATCATACAAACAATATTTTGAAACAAAAACTAAACTCTCATATTATGAAACATACGCAGTATATAAAAAGGAGAAATTATCTGAAATGGTCTAAAAATTAGATTTTAGTGTCACTCTCACGTTCGGTGCTTACATTATTGATTGAAATTCAGGAGAGAAGAGAGTGGCTAAACCTTGATCGACTGTTAATGTACTAATGTATAACTAAATCTATAAATTTCATTATAATATCAACACCGCAAGAGACATAATCACCTATGTAAGTACATTATGATATTTTTTTTAAGCTGGAAGAGTATTGCATAACACCATTATTTTAACCGCTCTAGACGCATTCCCCAGCTTTAACAACCTTCTGCTTCTTCCATTTATAAGCAGCTTCAAGAATCTTAAGATTCGTCGTCTGTGATTCTTCTGGAAACAAATAATCAATGTATTCTTCATACCTGCAAAACATTCAAACAATTTTTTCACATTAAGCTTTAGCATTCGATTCTCACATTTCAACGATAATAAATCGGGAAATTATATGTATGCAAATATGCAATGCGTACTCTGTAGAGCCATCTTCTCTACTGCTCAGCTTTCTCTTCTTGAGCTTCTTCGGGAGCTTCGATTGAACGACACTAACATCCCCGAGCATACCAAAGCCCGTCTCCATGTTAAGCCAATCCTCCAAAAGCATAGCACGCTCTTCTTTCAGCTCTGGTGTGGAGTCTTTGTAGTATGTGTTGGCTCTATCGAAGATCGCTGAGTAGAAGAACGAAAACACAACAGTTAAAATTTGTCACAAGGAATCATCAAAACGCATAATATACCATGTAGCTTCAAACCTCTGGCGCGTCTGATGCCGTCTTTTTTGCGTTCAATAGCATCTTCTTCTTCCTCGTCTTTTTTGTGTTCCACAGCAGAAGCTTCAAACTTTGCAAAGCTAACCCACACCTTGCAATGCTTTGTACGGTCCAAGAGTCTCTCATATAAAGCCCGTGTCCTCTCTAATTCCCCTTCTGATATCTCAAAATCAATGTACGTCTGCCACAAACAATATAGAGAATTTAATGATCAATCGGTTCAAAAGTCCGAGAAATGTCTTTCACTTCTTTGGATGCATTAGACTGAAAAAGTTTACCTTCCATAGCAGCTCGGGCCTGTCTAGAGCAGGCTGAGATATTGCAAGTTCAAAGATAGCTCTAGCTCGTTCTGTTTCAGCAAGAGACATCTCAAACTCAGCATAGTTTCTCCAAGCATAGCAATTCTCAGGAGACCATTCAAGATACCGCTCGTATAACTTTCTACATCTATCTATATTTCCCAACTGGAGTTCGATCTCAATGTATTTCTTGAATATCTGTTTTGCAGAAGAAAAAGAATCACCGCAGTAAGTAAAACATGCGCAATAATGTAAACCATTTCCAAATCAACCGTCATCAGGCTTACCTTATCTTTTGGAGCTTTCCCAATCGCATTTCCTAATATCTGCCGTGCACCGTTGAGATTCAATTGCCTGATTTCATGTTGTGCAGCGAGCAACCATATTTTGGCAAAAGAAAATTTGGTGTGGGGGATAAGCTTGAGGCATGCTCTGTAATGTTTGGTAAGACAAATGCAAACAGTTAGTCTAATCTACCACGAGTGAAGTAGTTGAATGTAACTTCAAAAGTTTCAGAATACCTGTAAACATCTCGCGTACGCTCCACATCTTCAGTTTCAATCTCTTCATACAAAGCATAATTAATCCTACACCAATTAGTCACATCAGTGTCAGTGGTTGAGAAAACCGCAGATGTATGCTACAATAGAAAAACTACAAAAGCTTTCCAGTTTCCACAGTATGCAAGAATCTGTTTTAGTAGATTTACTTAGTGACATTAATGTGCTAAAAATCAACAAAGATGATAGAACTAATACCTGCCTAAGACAGTTGAGTTACACGAAACAAAACTTAACCTTGTTATGCAAACCATGATCAACATAAGGAGTGATTATCGAAATCTATAAAAGGATATGGATAGAATAAACTCACCAGAGATATATGTATCTTTGCCAGTATCGTTTCTCTTGAGCAGGTGGAACATTAGCAATAGCCTTCTCATAGATTTCTCTTATCCTATCTTTGTTCCCAACAGTCTCTTCTAACCTAAGGTAATCGAACCACGAATCATAGTTCAAAGGGTTCTTACTCACTTCATCTTCATACTGAAACCTCCTCTTCCCAATAATGGCATCCTCAATCCCTTCCTTATCCCCATTCTGTTTCTCAAACGCCACAAACTTGCTGTACAAATTTTCAGCTCTTCCTTTAGGAATCTGATCAAGAGCAAACTTGTAGATAAACCTAGCTCGCTCTACTTCCTTGCATTGTTTTTCAAATTCAGCAAACGCCACAAAGAGAATCTCAGCTTCTTCATCGTCTGCAAGCTCCTTCTGGGCGCGTACGAACACTTTCCTAGCAAGCTCAACTTGACCATGCTTCATCTCAAACTTTGCATATCGAATATAAGCAGAAACATTTGGATGACAAAGAACAAATCTCTCGTAAATGGATCTAGCACGTTCGATTTCATTATACTTAAGTTCGAATTTGATAAAGCAGAGCCAAGCTTGTTGATCCGGTGACCGATCCATCCACCGCTCGAATATCTCTCTAACTCCGGCAATATTCCCAAGTTTCTCTTCCATGTGAATATAATTGCGCCAAAGCTGGTCCACTCGAGGGAGGATCGTAACAGCACGATCCCAAACGTTCCTCGCTTCGTTGACAAACTTGTTCTTCATCTCAAACTCGGCGAACTTGACCCAGAGCGTGTGGTTCCGGTAAGCTTCTCCTTCTAAGGCTCGTTCCCACACGCTTCGAGCACGCTCGTATTCCATCTGCGACTCTTCCCACTGCGCATATCTGACCCAAACTTGGGTATTCAATCTCGCACGGCGGATCTGGTCTTCAAACTCCTTCCGACGTCGGAGTCTGAAGTCGGAAAGCTCAGTCGAATCAGTGATTGTCTGATTAGGCGGACGGATCTCAGCCTCTTGCCTCTCTCGAGCCTCCCTTAGAATCTGCTCGGCGGTGATTTGGACCGGCGCCGGAGTCTTGTTCTTGACCCGGGTCGTCCGTGGAAGCTTCAATTCCGCATCCTTCAGGGTCATGTACCCTAGGTTACGGTCGGAATCTTTGCCGGAGGCCATGGAATCGCGTTCTGATTTTGGAAAAGAGGGAAGAAAAGGGATTTTGAACACCGCGTGACATAGGCGCACCAAATATAATGCTGTTAATGGGCCTCAAAGGCCCAAAACCTAATACAAAACTTTTGGAAACTGGATTATCCATGTCTTGTGATATGATGATGATTAGCTACATTCATTTATTAACTTGGTATTATTGATTTTGAACTTGATACATCTCTTCAGTTTTTAAAAGATAGAGGTCAAGTTATGGAACGATAAGCATGAGAGAGAAATGTATGAGAATTTCGTAGAGCTATACGCTAACATCAAAGCTACTGAGAAGCTTGACAAGGTCACAAGGCTTTGTATATCAGTGATCTGATCTCCCAATCTGAATATGAAACCGAGTACATCTTCCACTCAAGACACTTTCAGCAACGATCAAAGACATGGTCCCAAACATTGAGAGATTCGCAGAAACATACAGACGGATTGCTACTGTGGAACATCGAGGTGCTACAATGGCTTCTACTTCAAGCTCTAAACTAAAGTTTTGTTGGACAACATGAAAGATGCAAGCAAGTTCACACTTCACACAGCTGTTTCCAGTTTTGAAGTTTCGTGGTGTGAGTGATGAATAAGATATAAGCAGGAATCTGTGAGATAAAACATTAAAATCAAATGCATAAGCTTTTGACATAAAGCTTAAAACTGTTGTTGTTTGAGTACAGAGACATCATAATTCCAGACAGAATAAAAGCTTTTAGTTCATAATCATCACACAGACAAGTAGCAATAACACATTGTTCAACAATCACTTCATGTATCTGTGCAGGAATTTTCTGTGGAAGTCATTCCTGATTGTATCATTGATGAAGCGCTTAGGTGCTTTCATTTCACCACGTGCCTGGTTCTTGAATACAACATCATCATCCCACCTGAAAAGAGACGAGTAATTTTCAGTATCTGCTTCCAACAGTTAATATAATCCTAAGATACAAAAAGAAACAGGATTTCAAAAGCTGCTAACCTCCTTTTGACATTAAAGGACGTTGGAGTATTAAGCAATGGGTTTCCTTTGAGAAGTTCCTCTTCCTTAGCGTTTAGCTCTTCCATCTGCTGCTGCTTTTCCTGCATGATACATATGTTACCAAAAATTAGTACATTAACTCAACCAAAAAAAGTTCCTTATGTCAAATATGTTTTAAAAAAAAACCTATCCTATCCATTTTTAATAGCAATCTGAGCAGAAACATCGCAGACAATAGCAATATTACCTTCCTGAGCCTCTCTTCCACTCTTTCTTTCTTTATCTGGTCGAGTTCAGCCATAAGAGCTTCAGTGTCGTCCTCGTCATCATCGTCACTTTCGTCATCACTAACAAAGATAAACAGATTGTAAGATAATTTTGAAGGAACTAGAGTATTGAAGTCAACAAAAACTCGACAAGAGAACAGAAAGCCAGGAGTTAACATCTTCTCCAATATCAACTATAGTCTAGATGAAAAGTAATGAGGTACAGTTAGGCTAGTATCAGCCCCAACCTTGACACTCTTAGCCAAATATAAATCACATCATAAAGAACTGCAAAGAGGAAGACACGAGTAGACGAAATGAAGAATAGATACCTTTCATCGTCACTTTTGATATCAACATCAGAATCATCAGCATCTACACTGCGAGGAATTATCCGATCTTCAGGATCCCTTTTAGAGCCTAAAAAGAGGGCATCCAGGTTAGAAAACATATGATCAAACTATCTAATGTGACCCAAATAACCGATCATAAATAAATAAATGAGTTTCTCTAACCTTCCAGTAAAAGCTGACTTCCTCTTCTGCGCTCTCTATCATCTAATGATTAAAAAATTCCTCATTAGTTTAAAAGAAGGTAGAACCTTAGCAAAATCATAGTGAAAAGGCTTGAAATTTATTATCTTACCACTGTAAGATTTGTCTTTGGATGAGAAATGTCTCCTCTCACGCTCTTCAAGCTCCTCACGAAGATTTATCTTCTGGAGTTCCTCTTGAGTGTGTTGCCCTTCCCTCCTGCCAAACAACAAAAAGTAGGAGACGTACGTGAGTATGGAATCCCATAAACAACGAGACAGATGTGCTTAAATAGAAACCAATATCTTTCAAATATCAAGCACAACAAATAAGCCCCGAGAAAGATCAAATATCTTACACAGCAGCATAATTTAAAACTATTGATCCTTTTCTGAATCTCCGTCTTAAAAATCCCTAGCAATAAACCCTAGATTTCGGGACAATCTCATCAATCTCAGCTAAAATTTCGATTGAATTCACAGATAGTCTAATCCGCGTCGAATCAAAGGAAGAGAACCCAGTTTCGAAAGCTTACCTTGGCTTTAAAGTTGTGTGAGCGGCGACATCACGAGACGAATACTTTTGAGATGGACCAAAGATCCGAGCACCACCTTGCTCGTTACCTCCCTTAGCTGGAGCCCAGGTAGGTCGTGCTGCAGTCGTCATCTTTCGAAAAAAATAACCCTAATTTCCGATCAGAGAGCGAATCAACCAAGATCGAGATAAGGACGACGAGAGGACTCTCAGGCGCGTTACGAGAGAGAGAGAAAGAGAAAAATAAAAACAAGCCTTCTATTTTATATTTACTAACCGACCTTAAGTACTACTCTTAATCCTTTTTCCTTTTGTTCATCGACCTTAATTAACTTTTTTTAACTCTATAAATTTCAAAATCATCATCAATTTGTTTTTTGTGTAGTTACACGATTGCTGATAGTGAATGATTACATATATATCAAACCCACAAATGGTCGCACCACAACCTTATTAAATCTTCCAACTTTGAACACGAGTACACGACCAACAAAGTGACATTTCTTTTAGTTATATAAGTTAAAGATTTTCACAATTACAAAAGAAACCAAAGATTCTTCTAACACTTGACCAAACAACCTTCTTTTGAAGCTGATCTTGGTTTTGACTTGAGCACTTCCTTTGTTGATTTGGCACACATTTTGGATTCTGCCAAGATCTTACTCGCTGCTTTACGCCGTCGTTTAAGCTCAACATCCACCACAATTGTAGCTTCTTGAGCCATCTCAGCTTTCTTCAAGGCATCTTGTGTTGCAGCTTTTATATCTTCAATCTCTCTCTCACTCATTTCTAGTGTCTTGAGTGTTTCGTCTCTGCAAGCTCTTAGAGCTTCTGTCTCAGTTAATTCTTCAGCACCACTTTCTTTCACCTCAACTGATGATCTGAAATCAGATTCCAAAACTGCAACATTTAGCCGTTCTCTGGCGTGTTCCTCTGCATCTTTTGCTTCTCGAGCCTCGAAAAGAGCAATCTTGAGCTCTTCTTCTAACAGCGAGAGTTCTGCCTTTGCATCTTTGGTTTCCTTATCCAGATCCTCAATGGCTTCTAGATCCCTCTCTCTTTGCTCAATCTCTTTAAGCTCTGAATGTTCTTTCTCCACGTTTTGAAGCTCGAGCTTAAGAGACTCCATTAACATACACAACTCACTCTCCTCTTCAGCTACTCTATGGAGCGATTCCTTAGCAACACCTAGCTCAGAAGTCACAACTCTTACATTACTATTCAAATCCAAATCATTCTCATCATTTATCATGTTCTGCTTAATTCCCAGCTTCTGACTAAGATGCTCAACTGTCTTCTTGGCTTCCTCAAGCTCTAACAAAGCCTCAATCTTGGTCTTCTCAGCATTCTTTATCTTTTCTTTCAACTTGTTAACCTCTTTATTCCAGAGACAGAGATTTGTCTCCTCCACCAACACTCCCTGCAACCATAACCAAATTTTCAGAAAATCTTGCAGAATAATATCACACCAAGAAAACACAAAAATGTTACAGAGAGTGAAAGAAACACAAAAAGTATAATACCTGTTCTTGTCTCTTGTTGAGATGTTTTCCTCTAGAAATACCAGCGTCAAAGAGCTTCACCGCATCTTTAACGGTATGAAAACTAGCCATTCACTCCCAAACTTCACTGACAAAAAAGATTTGAGTGTCTCTTAATAATACAGACAAAGGAAGAGACGAAATAAAAACACTGATCCTTTTATTTGTCAATGGGAAGAACTTTAAGAAGTAGCAATGCCCTGAAGAGAAAGTATCCTTTTTTCTTTATTAGACCAAATCCCCAAGAAAGAAAAGAAACTGTGCATTAGGAAGTTGTTGTACCTTAAGAACACTGTAATGGAAGGAGGAAAGAGGGCAGCTTCGTCTCTAATGTACAATCATGCTCACGTGTCACGTCCGTGCAAGGAGAGGTCACGGGTCTCTATACTTTCCTTTTTTTTTACTTTATCTCTGTCGCTGCACGTGAAATGACTATTCCGAACCACATGACTTCCTAGTTAATCCTACAGAAACACAGTGAAAGTTTTAGTTTTTATAATATTTGAACACGTTTCAAACAAAAGATTACCTTTTCGATAGTGAATGGAGATATTTTGACAATATTTGAACATTTTTGCATTAAAATTGTGATATTTTAACAAAAAAGAGTGAATAAACGCTTACTAATCGGAAAAATGGAGACGAGAGACCCGAGCAGCAACAGCCGCCTGCAACAAGGGTTACCAAATTAAGAAAACTGGGGAAGAAGACTTTGCACGTAATTACGTTTTTACCCTTGAGTAAAGATTTGAAAAGAAAAAAAAAAGTAGAAAGGCCGAAATTGAACAAAAATCAGATCCGCAAAGTGTGGGCTTTAGGCCCATTAATCGTTGCTTCGATACTCGAGAGGAACCCTCTATTCGAAAAAGAGTGTTTTGTTCAGAAAGTACGATAAAGTTTTATAATCCCAGGTTTAGCTAGCTCTAGCAGTAGAGTATATCCATGGCGCAATTGCTCTCATTTCGCGTTTATCTATCTGCTGAAACGCAGAAAGCTTCTCCAGGGTCGTTTAAGCGAACCCAAAAGACTCAAAAACCCTTTTCGCCTGATAGAAGAGGTAAAAATGCTTCTCTACTGTTTTTGGTTTCCTTATGAAAATAGTATAATAATGGCAGTATCGACGTTGTTGTGCCTGGTTCTGTCTTCAATCTCTGTTCTTTACTTGGAAATTTCTTATTTTTCAGGTCCAGTGGCTCCTTCGTCGCGGAAGCCTCAGAATCTGAATTTGGAGGTTTCTCCACATAGAGCTGGTAGAGTAATCCATTGCTTTAGTTACCACTAGATGTGTAGTGATATTGTTACACTGAAGATCTAGCGAGTACTTACAAGTTTAGTCTTTTGGAGTCTTTGTATCAATATTGTTGAGTTTTCCCATTTTCTTATATCACTTCTGTTTGTGGAGCTTAAACAGTATCTGCAGTCAGATTGATGAGAATTGAGTATGGCGGTGCCTTTGCTGATCTTTTGAATGAGAAAGGAAAAGGTTCTGGGAGCAATGAGATGGGTTACGTCGAAAGGACAATCGGTTTTCGGACTCGCGATTTGGATGACCGGGATCTTAGACTGGTTAGTGTTGCCACTCTTATCTTGTTCTAGACCATTTACTTTAAATCTTGGAAACTGATGATAACTACTCGAAAATACTTCTTACGATTTGGAAATACTGTGATTTCCTAAAACTCAGTTATTTGCAAACAATTAGGTTACTGATGTTGTTGGAGGAACAATACGGTGGAGAAGGTATCTTGATCATTTGATTGGTTCCCTTTGCCACAACGAAAGAACATTTCGAAATATGGAACCTCTTCTATTGCAGGTTCAACTCCATTTGTGAATTTTGTTTGTGGCTGTCAGACTTTGCAGACTACCAGCGATGTCGTCAAACTTATCGTGCCTCTCAAACCTTAGACCTTGTTTTCTGTTGTAGATTCTCCGCATTGGTGTATATGAGATCATTAAGCGTGATATGCCGCCATATGCTGTTGTTGATGAGGTATAAGTAGCACTAGTTTCTACGTATTTTCTTTCTCAGTTTACTCTATAAATGGTTACAAAGGTAGATTTGGTCACTGAAATGAGTGCCAAATAGCCTTAATCATATTCTGCATAATTTCTTCCTACTAACTTAATGAGGTCAAAGATTTTTTCTGATTGTCGTTCTTATTCTTTATCTTTATTGTTACTTGCTCATTTTCAGAACGTAAGGCTTGCAAAGGTTGCCCTCAGACCTGGTGCTGGAGATTTTGTCAATGGGATTCTTCGTAAGCTAGTCTCTCTTAAGGTTTCTCTTTCTTACTTTTTCCATTTTTCTTTTTAGTTGAACTTAATCAAACAAACTTAAGCTTCTATGAATTCTGACGTAGGGATCTGCAGGAAAAAGACGCCCTTCCATTACCCAAAGTGGAAGGGGATGATCGTGCACAAGCACGTGCACTTGCTACTCTTCATTCACATCCTGTTGTAAGTTTGTATAGCTATAAACTCATCTTTTGCTTGCGGTTTTACTATGAAGCTAGAGCAATTCGATGTTGTGAGATCGAACTTTGAACTTGTGATTCTCTTAGATTAGTGGGTTTTAACTGTGAGGATAATTATGTAATGCTGAACAACCGCAATGGAGCCTTATTCCTGTTTGATGAAATATACTCTCATTTTCTTTCCTTTCCTTACCCAGTGGATGGTTAGGCGATGGGTAAAGTATCTTGGGTTGGATGAAGCCACAAAGCTGATGACATGGAACAACAATGATCCTGGATTTAGCTTAAGGTTTATCTCCAGAATTTATTTTGCTTTCAAAAGGAAAGATAAGCTATCAACTGTCAGGCAGATAATACTTTTCTAATGATATCAGGGCCAATACGGGAAGGGGCATTGCAAGATCAGACCTTGTGGAGCGTCTAAACAGTTTAAAGGTGTCTTTCACGTTCTTTTCTTATCCGAGGTGGATCATTGTGTTGGTGTAAACCAGGCACATGATTGTTTTTAATGCTTTGTTTTACTTCAGTTATGGCTTTCCTATGCTGCAGGTTCCACACGAGTTGTCCTTACATTTGGAAGAATTTGTCCGCATCAAAACAGGCTTGCAGGTGTTTATAATGTAACCGTGAATCGTCCTCTTGTTGACAATTTGCTTAAATCCTCATTTTTTCTGGCTCCACTCCTTGCTTTTGTTGCTGATAAGTTTCAAAATTGATCATTGTTCTTTTATTTTTAACAGATCGTTGTGCAAGCTGGTTTACTGAAAGAAGGTATCTGTTCTGTTCAGGATGAGAGTGCAGGTCAGTTTGGTCTTGTAATTATTTGGACTGCTACTGAGAAAGAATACAGTCTTCTCTTCACTAGTTCTTCATGCTGTAAACAGATTCAAGTTTATACAAATCCTTTTGTTCTTTTGATATCTAAATATCTCCCCACATCTGGTACTGCAGGACTAATAGTCTCAGTGGTGAAACCTCAGCCAGGCGAGAGGATAATGGATGCATGTGCAGCTCCTGGAGGAAAGACCCTATTCATGGCATCTTGCTTGAAAGGCCAAGGTAACATTACAAAGGCTCGCTGTTCTTATAGCTTACCCCTTATTTTCCTTTATTGTACATCAATGTTGAATTAAATCATCTATTTTGAGAAATTTGTCTACTATACTTGACTGATTCCATCCTTAAACTGGAAAACTCGCATCGGTTATAGGTATGATATATGCTATGGATGTGAATGAAGGACGGCTAAGAATTCTTGGCGAGACAGCAAAATCACACCAAGTTGATGGACTTATCACAACCATTCATTCTGATCTTCGTGTCTTTGCTGTAAGTCAACATTATTTGAGTAACTGAACTTTCCAAGTTTGTAAGCTACTCACATCACATGGTTGCTTCCAACTTAATGTGTTTTAGGAAACCAATGAGGTACAATATGATAAAGTTTTGCTCGATGCCCCGTGTTCTGGACTCGGCGTCCTCTCCAAGGTTAACATGAGAAAAGTTTTATCTAAAAGTTTCGCCAGCAAGATTTTCCATTGCTAGTTGAATTGACCTGATCTGATTTTCCTGTTCCATTAATCTATGTTTTGTAGAGAGCAGACTTGCGATGGAACCGTAAACTTGAGGACATGGTAGAGCTCACAAAACTGCAGGATGAGCTTCTTGATTCTGCCTCCAAGTATGCACTCTGTACATACATTTTGATCAGTCATTCGATTAATTCAGAAAAACTATTATGCGACTTATCTGATACTCTTCTCTGTGACGCTCCTGAATGAAAATCCAAAAGACTGGTGAAGCACGGTGGAGTCTTGATATACAGTACTTGCTCTATAGACCCTGAAGAAAATGAAGGAAGGGTCGAAGCATTTCTCGAAAGACATCCTGTAAGAATCTTTATAGCCCATTTGCTTTCGTTTAGATGTTGATATAAACAAATAGTCTCTCTGCTTTCACAGGAATTCTCCATAGATCCAGTAACCAGTTTGGTACCGTCGAGTTTTGTAACCTCGCAAGGCTTCTTTTTATCAAACCCAGTGAAACACTCATTAGATGGAGCATTTGCAGCTCGTCTGGTTCGAGCCTTGTGACGTTAAAGGCTAAGCAACAGCAAACTTGTAGAGATGCTAATTGTTTGTTGATATGTAAACACATATGTTACGAACAATATAAAGGGAGGGAATGCCTCAGCGTTTGCGAGCTTAATACTTTCCCAAGAAGAACAAATCGGGCTATAAAGGCCCATATCGTAGTTTGGTAGGCCTAAATCTAAAGTTGATAAATCAATCATACAAAACGGACAAAATTATAATTGAATTGAAATATCTCTCTTATCATTATTTTATCTTCGTACGATTTACTATTTAGTATGTCAGAAAATGTTTCATTCTTTGACTTTTACGACAACTTTACAAAAAAATGTTCATACATGAAGTCACTGAACCAAAAGTTTGAAGCAAAACAGTATAATTTTCAAACGCGTTTAAAAACAAAATCACTATGACATAAAAAAATTAACTTCAGATTTTGACGTTATCCTTGTCAGCAGAGAATCTTTCCTATTTCTTTACGTATAGACACACTCAGAGGAGAGACAGAGAGAGAGAGAGAGTTAGCATTGTATCTCTCTTTTAGTTATCTCTATCTCTCTTCACTCTTATCTTTCTCGTGTTAACACAAGTCAACAGTCACAGATCTTTGTCGGTGATCGGAGATGGAGTTCCGGGAGAAGCTTTTGAAGTTTAAGTTCCAAATCGTCTTTGCCTTTGTTTTATTACTCCTCACCGTAGCTCTCGTCACTTATTCTCCCGGTTTCCTCACCGTTTTATCTTACTTCTGGCCGCTTTTTCTCTCCACCGCTCTCTTTCTCGCAGCTGTTTTCTTCTTCGCACGCACCTCCGACCTTCCGGCTTCATCTACCATCATCCCAGGCGAAGGCGCCGGCTTAAAAGTGGCGGCCGAAGGGATTCTTGACTATGTCGTCGGCGGACAACACGAAGACATTCTCTTTGATAGCTTCACCAAACTTGACTAATGTATGAGATCTCTCTGTTTTTAATTCCTTTTAGTATTTCGGTTAATTAGTCGTTCCTTTTTAATACTAGAGAAAACAAAATTACAAATGTAATATTTCACGAGGAATAAGAATAAATCTTGCTTTACACACTGTTTTTTTTGTTATTTTAATCGATGTTTCTTTCTAAGCAGAAAAATCATATCATTTGTTTATACGTTACATTATACACAGTGGCGGACCCAGAAATGATTTTTACCTGGGTCAAAAAAAAAAAATCAATCAAATGTGTCATATTGGAAAATCGAACTCAAGACATGGGGTGTCATTGAGGAAGGAATTGCCGACTTTGCTGCAGATTCTTTTAGAAATACAATACAAAACGACATATATATTTATTTTACATGGGTCAAGTGACACCCCTACCTTGTACATGGGTCCGCCAGTGATTATACATTGCATTGATATGATTTACTTAAAAAAAAAAAAAAATGTTGAACGACCTTAAAATCCGTGCATGGTTTTACTTTTAAAATCTTTCCGAATGAAATCCAACCACCGACGCGACAGCTTTTCATTTGTTTACTAATTAAACGGAAGAAAACAATTTAAATGTTATCACTGTTGTATTTTAGTTAGAAATACTCAAATACACAGAATGCCTCTTTTATTTTAGTATTTTTTTGTATTGAATAATCATCATTAATTCGTTATCAGATAAAATATGTGAAAGTAGTATATTCTTAGATTCTATAAAAAATGTAGATGAAGCTATCATAGAGAAGAAATGATTAAAATAAGGGATTGTATAGCATAGATTCGAACATTTTGGTACGTCCCTCACGTGCCCGAGCATAAAATTTATGAACAAATCTCGACGACTCGACCACTAGAACTAATTCTAATCTAATTTACCATATGTACATTAACTATTTCAAATCTATTAGTGCATATATAGGACTCATATCATAGGCTGCCCAAAAAAAAAGACTCCCAAGTAGTATATTGGCATCAGTATGCAGTATCACTAATAGTCTAATAAGCACATTTCAACAAAAATGATACGTCAGTTAAGGATCGGGCCTAAACGCCAACGGCCCAACATCATGAAAACAAAACGACACGCATGTTTTAGTTTTAAGTTTATAACGGCAAGCTTTTCGCACCCCTCCCTCACTTCTTGTCGTCTACAAAAAATTAGTCGGCCATTGCATTCATTTTTCGGTTTTGAAAAAATTATACACGAAAGAGATGGAGGGAAAATTTCAGATTTCCGAAACGACTAATTTGCTTCAAAGGATCAAAGGTATCAGAAAATCCCAAATTTTTGACTAGAATTGAGTAATTTTTCCTCTATCTAGGTTGAAATTTCTAGTCGATGATTTGGCTGGCTCTTTCGTTGTTTGAGCAGAGTTTACTCAATCGATCGTTGAAGATCTGGCCGAAGGAAGATCTCCAAAAATTTCCATCAATCGATTCAGGAACTATTGCATGAATCCAGAAGCGGATTGGTTTGTCTCTCTTGGATCTCGAATTTTCAATTTTTCCCTTCAATGTTGTTTTCTCCTTCTTTCTTCTATGTAGAGAGACGACCACGTTTCGTAGCCTTTAGATTGAGAAATCAGACGTGTTTGGTCTTGGTTCGAGTAAATTTTGAAGGATTTAAGCAAAACGGGTATTGAAAACTAAGAGTCTGGACTAATTCATCGATTTGTCTGTTGTCTATATATAGCTTATGCAGCTCTGATACACCAAAGGGTCAGGAAATTCTCACTCTTAAGAGAGAACCCCAAACCTACAGAATCGGTGAGTCAGGTTTCACAGAATTCTACAAGTCCATCATCAGTGTTATCTTGGTTTAGAGTATCACAGTATGCAATTTCTTGCGGTGTTTTTACTTTCAGATATGTTGCTAAGAGTATTGTTGATTGTCCAACAACTTCTTCAAGAAAATAGACATGCATCCAAAAGAGATATCTACTACATGCATCCATCAGCATTCAAAGGTATATTTAAAAGGAACAGAAATGTTTTAGTTATGGATGTCTCTGGTTAATTGTTCTGGATAATTCACATTCACATATATTAGCTATGCATCACTCTTGTTGTGTTCTTGGCCTTTTCTAGTAACACTGTTTTCGTCTGCTACACAGCACAATCCATTGTGGACCGTGCAGTTGGTGATATATGCATTCTTTTTCAGTGTAGTCGCTACAACTTGAATGTGGTTAGTACTTGAATACTTTCACCTTCAATGTTCCTTCTGAAGATTTATAATCCGCAATTGAGGATGTGATTCATGTGATATTTTTGTAGGTTTCTGTTGGCAACGGGTGGGTACTCTTGATAACAAGTACAGTGTTTCTATCTTGAGGCATGTCTTTATTTTAGGATCCACCTCATCATTCTTGTGTTGTAGGTTGGTGATGGGATGGTTAAAATTTAGGGAAGCTGGAAGAAAGTTTGATTGTTTAAACAGCTTGAACACTGTAAGAATTGGAACATAAGATTCACTTTTTATGTTTGCATCAGGAAGTATAACTCTGCAAATGACTTCATTTCAGGCATATCCCGTTCCTGTTCTTGTAGAGGAAGTCGAAGGTATCATATATTTGCAATCATTTTAAATGATGCTTTATGCTCTCTGGAGAAGTCAAATTCTTATCTCAGCTGACATCAGGAAATATAAGATTCACTTTTTATGTTGGCGTCAGGAAGTATAATTGTATGTCATCTTCCTGCTTGCAGTTTTTGTTAGCTTAGCAGAGTACATACTGGTTGTGGAAAAAGAAACAGGTAAAACCCTCTATCTGTATAGTAACCAAGAATATGGTTTTTCTTCTTCATGACTACCAACTGATCAATCACGTCATCCCTGGTTTATAGTATTCCAGCGTTTAGCAAATGACATGTTTTGCAAGACGAACCGCTGCATTGTTATCACAGTAAGCACTGCATTTGATTCATTCTTACTGATTTCAGTTTTGACTAGTTTTCCTTTCCATTTTTTGTTTCACATCAAAGGTACGATTGTTTTTTGCAGGGAAGAGGATATCCAGATGTCTCAACAAGAAGGTACATAACTTAATCTCAGGTTCTTGGAATACTATTTTATCAGACATAATCTTCTGTTGATATATATATATCAGCGAATAACACAGATTCTTTCCAGGTTCTTGCGACTCCTCATGGAGAAGTTGCATCTACCTGTGCATTGTCTAGTCGACTGTGATCCATATGGCTTTGAGATCCTAGCCACATACCGTTTTGGCTCCATGGTTAGATTCTGTTACAAAATATAGATGACTGAACTCGAAAAATATCACCCCTTGCATTGTTTTTGTCGAGAGTGATCCATATGGCATTGACCCATTTTCCTTATGTTACTTGTTTTCTTTCTGTAAGCAAATGGCCTATGATATTGAATCATTACGAGCACCAGATATGAAATGGTTGGGAGCTTTTCCTTCAGACTCTGAGATATACAGTGTTCCCAAACAGTGTCTTTTGCCTTTGACAGAAGAAGGTAAGAGATCATTAAACACCTTATCGCCTTAATCTTTAGATTTTCCTTTTTTCACTGCTTCCTTTTTTGAGACTGTAACAATTTTCACTAACAGATAAGAAACGAACTGAAGCAATGTTGCTTAGATGCTACCTGAAGCGTGAAATGCCACAATGGAGGTATCAACAAACTTCCCTATCTTTTTGTTTTTACATTTCATCCAAACCTACAAAAACTAGTCTTGATCAAAACGATTTTGGTCCGTCTAAGGTTGGAACTTGAAACGATGCTGAAAAGAGGAGTGAAGTTTGAGATCGAAGCACTCTCAGTTCACTCACTGTCCTTTCTGTCAGAGGTTTATATTCCTTCTAAAATTCGTCGTGAGGTAAGTTCACCTTGAGCTTTATGCGAGTCTCTAACTCAAGGTATGCTCGTCTTTGGTTCTGACACTTTCTAAGCTTTTTAGTGACAAACACCAAATGAACATAAGTTTAATGGAAAATATACAAATTATAAAAATAATTCTGAGTATTAAATTTTTGATGAGTAATTATTACTAAAGTAATTCACCAATGAGTGAGTTTGAATAATACAAAAGTAATTTAGGGTTCATTTGCTTTCTATTCTTACCAAACCTAATTTGAAGAATTAAAGCCGTTCCCCCTGACTAAAACCTTGGAACACTCCGATCCAAAAAAAAAGAGAAAAACCTTTGCACACAGCTAAAAACGATGTCGTCTCTCTCTCGCTTTCTCCTTCGTGGCAACTTCAGCTTCAGCACCCCCACGAATCGCCGCTTCTTCTCCGCCGTTACCGCTGCTGCAGCCACACCCTCGCCACCAAGACCATCCCTCATCACCCTCGTTAATGACGAACGCGACCCCAAATTCATCATGGAGAAGTTCAAGAAAGCCTGCCAAGCAGAGTGGTTCCGGAAGAATATAGCCGTCTATGAGAAGACCGTTCGCCGTCTCGCTGCAGCCAAGAAGTTTGAGTGGGTCGAGGAGATCCTGGAAGAGCAGAATAAGTATCCAAACATGTCAAAGGAAGGATTCGTGGCGAGGATTATTAATCTCTATGGACGAGTCGGTATGTTTGAGAATGCACAGAAAGTGTTCGACGAAATGTCTGAGAGAAACTGCAAAAGAACAGTGTTGTCTTTCAACGCATTACTGAATGCGTGTGTGAACTCCAAGAAGTTCGATTTGGTTGAAAGTATCTTCAAGGAGTTGCCAGGTAAGCTCTCGATTGAACCAGATGTTGCATCTTACAATACTTTGATCAAGGGATTGTGTGGAAAAGGTTCCTTCACTGAAGCTGTTGCGTTGATTGATGAGATTGAGAACAAGGGTTTGAAACCTGATCATATCACCTTCAATATACTTTTACATGAGTCGTATACAAAAGGGAAGTTTGAGGAAGGAGAAAAGATATGGGCTAGAATGGTAGAGAAAAATGTTAAGCAAGACATCCGTAGTTACAATGCGCGGTTGTTAGGACTAGCCATGGAGACGAAATCAGAAGAGATGGTTAGTCTCTTTGACGAACTTAAGGTTAATGGGATCAAACCTGATGTATTCACATTCACTGCCATGATTAAAGGATTTGTCGGTGAAGGAAGATTGGATGAAGCCATAACGTGGTACAAGGAAATCGAGAAGAATGGTTGTCGCCCAATGAAATTTGTCTTTAACTCATTGCTTCCTGCAATATGTAAGGCAGGCGATTTAGAGTCTGCTTATGAGCTCTGCAAGGAGATATTCGCTAAGCGTCTGCTAGTTGATGAGGCTGTCTTGCAGGAGGTAGTTGATGCATTGGTGAAAGGGTCCAAGCGAGACGAAGCTGAAGAGATTGTCGAGCTCGCAAAGACGAATGACTATTTGCAGTGCAAGCTACGTATCTCTCCCAAAGAGTAGTTCATTGGCAAGGCTTATAACTAGTTTTTATAGTTTATGTGTTGTCTCTTTAGTGTCTTTTTGCAAACTGCGAGAGGGTGATTGAATAATTGAACTATCTGTATTGTGTTTGTGTTGCTTTCAATTCTCAAAGTTAAAAGAAGTTTTCTTATTTCCTTTTCTGGTTGGAAAAAAACGACATGTATTTGATAGTTATACACAAAACGCTGCGTAGTCCAAAAGGAGAGAACGGCACGCTGTTCTATTTTGTTTAAACAAGACGCATTCATATTTCCTGCATTAGACCTAGCCGGAGCCACCAAGTCCAAAACCCTAAACCCTCACACTCAACTCTGACATTTCTACCTGCACGAAGCTATGAGCAAGGTGGGCTCGTCGCTGTACAGTCGCCTCCATGGAATCTTCAAAGATTCTTCAATCGCCACAGCTAAGTCGGCAAAACCTAAAAGCCAAACCAAATCCAACAAATTCCCTAGTAAATTGAAGGCATCCACCGCTTCTTCCACCTCTGTAGGAGACGGAGGCAATTTGTCGAATGACGCCAAGGAATCGAAAAATTCGAAATTGACGAAGAAAGTAGAGAAGTTCAAGAGATCTTGTGAGTCGGAGGGTTTCCGGCAAGTCCATGGACTCTACAGTGCGTTTATTCGCCGTCTCAGGGAAGCAAAGAAGTTCTCAACAATCCATGAAGTTCTTCAATACCAGAAGAAGTTCGATGACATAAAGTCGGAGGATTTCGTTATCCGTATAATGCTTCTTTATGGATACTCAGGAATGGCGGAACATGCTCACAAGTTGTTCGATGAAATGCCTGAGCTAAACTGTGAACGAACTGTCAAGTCGTTCAATGCGCTTTTATCTGCTTATGTTAATTCAAGGAAGCTGGATGAGGCCATGAAGGCCTTCAAGGAGTTGCCAGAGAAGCTAGGTATTACTCCTGATTTGGTTACTTATAATACCATGATCAAGGCACTTTGCCGTAAAGGCTCTATGGATGATATATTATCTATCTTTGAGGAATTGGAGAAGAACGGGTTTGAGCCTGACCTGATCTCTTTCAACACTCTGTTAGAAGAGTTTTATAGGAGGGAATTGTTTGTTGAAGGAGATAGGATTTGGGATTTGATGAAATCCAAGAATCTTGCTCCCAACATTAGGAGTTATAACTCTAGAGTGAGAGGTCTGACCCGGAACAAGAAGTTCACTGATGCAATTGACTTGATCAATGTTATGAAAACTGAAGGGATCTCCCCAGATGTTCATACATACAATGCTTTCATCACGGCTTACCGCGGTGATAACAACCTTGAGGAGGTTATGAAATGGTACAATGAGATGAAGGAGAAGGGTCTGACTCCTGATACAGTGACTTACTGTTTGTTAATCCCTCTTCTCTGCAAGAAAGGTGATCTAGATAGAGCGGTTGAGATATCCGAAGAGGCCATCAAACACAAGGTCCTGTCTCGCCCGAACATGTACAAACCCGTGGTCGAGCGTTTGATGGGTGCAGGCAAGATTGATGAAGCAACACAGCTAGTGAAGAATGGCAAGCTACAGAGTTACTTTCGGTACCTACCAGACTTGTCCGCTGGTATGAAGAAGACCACTTCCAGTCCGGTCTCTTCAAGTTCAAAGACCACTTCCAGTCAGGTCTCTTCAAGTTCGGATACCTCTTCATTTCTGCTCTCTTTAAGTCTGGCGTCGGACTCTTCAAATCCGGACTCTTCCAGCTCGGACTCTTCCAGCCCGGTCTCTTCGAATCCGGACTCTTCCAGCCCGGTCTCTTCGAATCCGGACTCTTCCAGCTCGGTCTCTTCGAGTCTGTACTCTTCCAGCCCGGTCTCTTCGAGTCTGTACTCTTCCAGCCCGGTCTCTTCGAGTCTGTACTCTTCCAGCCCGGTCTCTTCGAGTTCGGACTATTCCAGCTCGGTCTCTTCGAGTTCGGACTATTCCAGCTCCGTTTCTTCGAGATCGGACAATTCCAGCTCGGTCTCTTCGTCTGGCTTGTTTGACGATTAAGAGTGCTTGATGAGTGTTTAGCAACTTGTTTAACTGTCTTAATGCGTTATTATGTTGGGTCTCGTATCTTGTTATCACTACCAGTGAGTCCACTTGCAAGGAACATGGTTATATTGGTCTCTCTTGTGATTTTTTTCAATTTTTATTATTTCGAACTTTGCTTTCCTTTCTAAATGTTAGAGATTTTATGTCTTGAATAAAGTTTGAATTTTCATATTGCGAAGATGAATATGCATTATTTTATTCTCATTTCTTCAATCACCTATTTCCAAAATACAGAGTATAAAAATGATTTGTTTTCTCATTTTCATCCTAATCTCGCAATCTTTGTAATAAATTAGCATATACGGTAGGTTTCATTACAAGATTGTCAATCAGATATCAAATGAACGATTTCGGAATACGATATCCTACAAAAATGCCATTTTAGGCAAAGACAATATTCATCTTCGATCAAATATCAGATACACTTGCCGTAAAACTATAACAATCTATATGTTTACCCATTTAACTTCTTTAGCTTTAGCTGTTAGACCAAGCAACCCAAACAAAAACAAAAAAGAATTCACAAGCTTCATCAATGGATTACACTGTCGATATGGTTAGCCAAACGATTCTGATTTGATTCATGTTTATATGTGTGTGTTTTTTTCTTCCTTAATAAGAAATGTTGTTTAATAACTCTGTAGAGCTGTGTGATGAAAGTGAACAGAAGCTGCGAGCTTTGTCGGCAAAAAGTGTCAGAAGTGATGCATTGTGTCAACGGTACGTGTCTGTCTACGTTTGTTTGTGTGTATTGTTTTGTTGATGATTCTTGTTGATATTCAAAATTTCCAATATTACTTACAGGAGTTTACTCTGTGGATTTCGTGAGTGACGACAACTCAATGAAACTCAAGGCGAGAGTTAACCCTAATATATTGTTGGCTGTTATTGAACGGTACGGTGAACATGGAAAGATCACTAATCTCAGTTTCCACGGCGAAGTGATGACTCCTCGTGGCGGTGGCGGTTATTACGGTCAATCAGGATATTACATTCCTTCCACCGCCCGTGGTAATTATGCATATCCCTCGTTGTACCCATACCCTCCTCCGCCGTATGTTTATGGCGGAAACTATGCTCACCCTGCGTCTAATCCGCCGCGCCATACGGAGGCACCACGGCAGGTGACTAACCCGCATACAACACCGCCGTCTTATAGTCTACCGGCGCCACCGTCAAGACCGGTGCATAGTTACGCTTACGTAGAACCGCAGTATCGGACGTCGGGTTCGTCGGGTAAAGGATGCGTGATCATGTAATGTCTCATTGAGGAAGATGAAGTTTCTTTTTTTTTTTGTCTCATAACCACGTTTTGGTTTATATTCTTGATCGCTGGTTTTTAAAGCGATTGCGTCATAGACGTGGATTCTGATTTTTTATAAGAACCAAGAACACAAATTGTTGATTAATGGACTGGATGGATACTAGGGCCAGTCCAACTTTTATGAAAGTCCTTGACACATTTCTCTTTGTATTATGGTCATTATTTTAGTAGAATGAGTACAATTTTCATTATATTTCATTCAACATAAATGATTTTACCAAAATGTTGATGAATGGTTCATTCAACCAACCATGTTTTATCTCTTCAACTAGACATGTGTTTTCACATGAATTGTTTTTTGTCCACAACAATAACTATGTGTTCATTTTCATTTCAATGTTGTTGATTTAGCAATGAAATGATGTTTAGGACTTTAACTTTGTTGCTATCGCCATATATATGAAACAAACATGAAATTACCGGAGATTAGATCTAAAACCCAAAAATAAAACATTTTGATCGGATAGAATGAGCCTTAAACTTATATACTTTTAACACATAGTTATGTCTTCTTCCAAGGTTTAGTGATGAGTATGAGTACTGTTGGGTCCATCCACCTCCCCGTACACAACCACCCGCAGGGCCTAGTGAACAAAGTACTGATTACTTCTTACTTCAAACTTGACCGCTCATTCACTCATCATTTTGCCTTTTGTGGTTGCAAAATTAAAGTAGCGAACAAATTTATTAGTTTTTGAGCTTCGTAGTTCGTGCCATAGTTTCCTTTCCTTTTACATACTTGAAAATGGTTACATCTATTTACTCTACTGTTCCATATAAACTCAAACAATAGCATCTGAAATGCATTATTATCTTTCCCACAAAATACTGATTTGTTTTAGACTTTAGTCTTATAACATCTTACCAAGTTTTTTTTTCAGTAACTTACGAATATTGTTATGGTTTTTTTTTTTTTTTTTGGCTTTAGCTTTGAACATTATTGAGCATATTATTGTATACATGAATGTGGTTTAATCAGTTTTCCTCTCAATAGGAATTGGACCCACTTAATTTTAGTTGTTATATTATTATAATTATCAACGAATAATCGAATCTGTATTAAAAATAAAAAGTAATTTAAGTTTGCTTAAAAGACTCCATAGATTCTCTGCTCTCCGCTTTTAGTTTTAGACCTCCATACTTTGTTTTTCAGTTCCCCACTATCCTACCTATATATCCATCACTAGTCTCCATTAGATAATTTTTATTTGAATATTAAAAAATGGAGTTACTGTGAACTTTGTTTAGAATCTTCTAGTCGATCGTTTGGTTGGTTTTCACTTTTTTTTTTCTTTTTCTTTTCTGAAACTGTTCAACTATACTAGCGTCATGTTCCATTTATTGTGATTTATCTTTTCTCTAGTCCTTTCGAGAGGTTGGTAATTAAAAGGAAAACGTTTGATACGACTAATTCAATTGATCAACCTGAAAACCTCAAAAAGAAATAACCAAACCATAAAGAAGAGTTTAGTAATGAATGTAACATGTATCAAACAAGCACGAATGAGACCGTTTGAATGGATACTGAAGATTGCGTTATCTGTTAATTATATGTATATATTATTACAAACACCCGTAAATTTTCTTGGTTAACTAGTTTGAGAAAAAGACTGAGAGCGAAAGATCTGTGGAATAGTGATAGACTATACGATTTTGACACAGCAGAGTACATGTCCACTTCCGTTCATATATTTAAAATGGACTCACTTATACAACTAAATATGATAAAAGAAAATAAGATAATAAATGGGTCAGCTTATTTCATGTTATATAAAATGATATTAGGCTTTGATTGCAACAAGTTTGGCATGTAAGTATACTAAACGAACGACTTTATGCATCTTCGTTTTTATCATCCGATATGTATACTTTTCAATTTTGGCGATCATATAAGATAATAGCGGTTCCAAAATAAGCCGTAAATACCTAACAAGAAATGAATGGTAGTGTATAGAGCAATCATGGAGCTATCTACACATACCAGAATCCAAAATAAAAAAAAATAAAGTAGAACCGAAAGACATGGAAAAGGAACAGTAAACTCAATCGATGAACAAAGAAACGGAACAAAAAGAATCAATTCTACTAGTTGCACATATAGATTGATGGATCATGGGATAACATTACATCATTTTGACGTAACGTATAACATTATTAATTTTGTAATGAGTCTCAAAATCTCTATAGTTAATTATCATTTTAGGGCTCGCAACTATTTTACCAAATCCATGTATAGCACAATCATTAGGTGTGCCCGTGAGTCCATGACTTAAAAAGATTTAACGATTCAAGGCTTAAGCTAGCTTCGGAATCATGGTAAACATGTTTTTTCTATGTTCTGTTGTCGACGGAAGCAAAAGTTATCGGGTCAAGAAAATTAAACATTCAACAAAAATCAGAAATGGATTAATCCATCAAATATCGTGTTTATATGAAAGCACATGTCATTCTCCCATAACAAACATATCGATCGAATTAGGAATATCCATTTTTTTTTCAACATTGAAAATTCATTTATACAAAGGTATACACGTGTGCATGCACGGACAGCATTATTCCCCCGAAACTATCGGGTGCAGACAACACACCGCTAAAAACATGTAGTACATCATCAGTCTAGGCTATAGAACTAATAATGGAGTTCAATATGAAATATGTATACATATAATTTTGTTTGTATATGTGTGTATAGGATCATATGTTAGATTAATCGTATTTGATGAGCTTCTTTTTTGCATATTATATAATCTAAGAGGGAATTTTTTTAATAAAAAGTGTAACGCGAGAGAATTACTTTGATATAAAAAGGATTCCATTAAAAGATATGCTTACAAAGGATAGGAGGAAGTACGTAGAAGAAGCTAGAAAACGTAACTCGCAAACCTGGTGCGATTAAACTTAAACAAAACTGATTAACTATAAAGTACTCAAACAAGTATTAAATGCCGTTTAGCTTCTATTCTAAGCTCTTCCTTCATCTTTCTGATGAACTCGTCGAACTTCTTATTCATCTCCTCCTCCGTCGATGCCATCACTCCTACGTTCTCTTCTTCTTCTTCTTCCTCGTTTATAGATCCGTCACGAAGATCACACTCTTCCTCTCCTTCGTTATCTGCTAATGTGTTGTCTTCGTCATCTTCTTCGGTTTCTTGATGTTTTGTATCCTCCTCCACAGTAACTTCCTCTGCAAGAAAGGACTCTGTTCCTATTCTATTAACAGAATTATACTTCACCTCCAATATCGCATTGTAACTCTCGAAATCTCCATAATCAAAGGTTTTATCGGTATTACTCCAAATTTTCTCTATCGGTTTTGACGAAGCGACCAAGCCAGAGCACTTCGCAACAACCACTAAGAGACCATTGCAGAGGAGGAACATGTAGTTTTTATCTACTGCGTGTGTTACGAGTTGAATCATGAATCTATATACATAGAAGTTGTGAGTGGTTAAAAGCGAGAAAATCCATATCGAAACTGCTATAAACTTCGTCAATTTCTTCAGAAACTCCGGTTTTATTTGATCCATCTCTCTGGTTTCTTTTTTTTTTTTTGCTTTTGTGAGTGAATGATGAAGACTAGTATAAGAAGAAGAAGAAGAAGAAGGAATAAACAGGTTTAAGTGTAATTGTGCAAAGCGTTACACTCAACGGCTTTGGTATTTATAGTAGGTATTGAGGGAAGTTGTGCCCATGGGCATATGTGGATGATTTTACCAAAACTACCCCCTTGGTTTGAAGCTGCATGACTGCATGCCACGTGTGAAGTTTGATTTCCCAGTGGTGTGGATCAAAACTAATAATCTGAGTGTTTCTTATTTTGTTTGTTTGTCAACTAATCCATGTTTTCTTTTGGCATATTATTGGTTCGATTTTATGGAAACGAAACAACAACCTTTGGTATTAGTGTTCCAAAACTTCCGAATCTGTTATGAGAGCTTTGATGTAATTCGGATTTATATGTTTAAATCATCAAGCTATACATGACTTTTATGGTATGTTAAATTATGGATATTTAATTAGCTTGTAAGTGATTGATATAAATTTGCTCATGATTGAGACAAATATAAAGGGAATAGTGATACCAAAAAAAAAATATAAACGGAATAGTGAGGGATGATTGGTCTTTGAATAGTGTGAGAGCGTGTGTGGACAATAATTTTTAGAAGATGTCATTGTCTTTTTGTCTTTTATTGGTTTAAGTCATTTTCTTTAAATTGCATGGCGATATCATTATGTTAATTGTTAGGCTTCTATATGTATTTTTCTTTCTAAATAATTATATTCTAGCACTACGCCAATACCTTGCATTTCCGTGTGAGATTATGGATCACATATTTTAAGGTATACGGATAAAAGAACAATGCATTCAATAGTGGTGATTGAATAATGGTTGTAGAATACTTTATAAATCACCATAGCCTTTCCTTGATATTGTCTTTTGGATTTAAATTGAAATTATATTTTTGAGTTAGTATTATTTCATCGAATATTTATCTGAGACTTGATTGTCGTATATATCCATTTTTTTTCCACATTCATTGCATATATTCATGGGGTTTTGTTTGTCAAGTAGTAGTTAATTTTGTATTCCACTTTTTTTCCCATCTACTTAACGAATTTTTGTGAGTTGAATTTTCCAAAAGATATTTATGAGATACAAAAGAATCTTCTAAAGACATTGTTAGATAACAACAATCGACGAGAAAGAAATACCGAAAGACAGATGAATCATAATATTTTACTATTGTAGGTTAGAATATTTTGGTCCCCAAAAGAAACAACGTATAAGATAACAAAAATATGCAATGCAATATTAAGTTAGTTTGATGGATTCCAATTCTACTGGGCCAAATGGGTAATATATTTATATTAAGCGTAGGCCTTTTGATTTATTAATGGGCTTCGAATAAATAATATCTCATCGTTTAAAAAAGACAGAAAAAGGTTTTGGATAAAATGGATAACCCTCGCGACGAAGCAGCTGAAGAAGAAACCTCACCCTTGGAACGTTATAGAGGAAGAAGAAGAAGAGAAATCGATTCTTGTTCAGGAAAATTTAATGGCGGTTTCTACTGTATCTTCGTTTCTATTACCCTCCTTCGTCATTCCAAGCTCTTCGCCTTCTTCTACCAGACTCAAAGTCTCTCTGCTACCTTCATCGTCTACCCATGGCGGCCTTAGTTCCTGCGTCCTTACTAAACCCTCCGTCTCTCTTACCAAGGTCTTCGCGGTTCCCGAAACCCTAGATCCAACTCCAGAAATTCTCGATGAACCCGCCTCTGAGGTACACTCTTTTCTCTGTTGGTCTCGGATTCTTCGATTGTTTGCAGAGATAATGCGAAAATTTGGGGGAAAGACATTGTTTTGCAGAATCATTTAGCATTTTGATGTTAAATCTCTTAATACTAGTCTTTGTGTCCGTGTGATTCAGGTTCCGAGCTCTTCCTCCATCAGTGTAGATGCTGATAAGGTACATTCTATTACTGTTAAAGCTCACTGCTTGAATTTGATACGCAGATTTTAATGAATATCTGTGCATTGGTGTGTTTTATGTCCGTGTCTTCGTCAAAGCTATAGACTTTTTTGGTTTACTACGTTTTCACTAGAAACTAGAAAGTGTCATGTGTACCAATCATCACGTTGATTAGTAAGAAATGCTTTCAAGTAGTTGGGTATACAGAAGAGAAGTGTGAAATAGCAATCATGATCATCTTTTGATGGGAATGTTCTTTGCCATTCTAGAGTTTTGTTTTTGGTGTTTTCTTTGTGGAGACTTGTTGTTTTTGGTTAAGATGCTTATTTGTTCTTGTTAGCAGATGGCGCCAAAGCAAAAGATTAGGATCAAGCTTAGATCATACTGGGTGCCTCTTATTGAGGACTCATGCAAGCAGATTCTTGATGCTGCTAGAAATACTAATGCAAAGACGATGGGTCCTGTTCCATTGCCAACCAAGAAGCGTATCTACTGTGTTCTTAAGTCTCCTCACGTTCACAAGGATGCTAGGTTCCATTTTGAAATCCGGACACACCAGCGTATGATTGATATTCTCTACCCGACTGCTCAAACTATCGATTCTTTGATGCAACTTGATCTTCCTGCTGGTGTCGATGTGGAAGTGAAGCTCTGAGGAACGAGCGTAACTACAATGGTAACAAACAAAAAAATGCTCTTTCCTCTTATGTGGATATGTCTTAGTTATGGAAACTGCTTCCTTTCTTAGTCCCCCTTTTTGAAATTATGCACATAGTCTCCAACACTTATCCACAAAAACAAAACTCTTCATCAAATTACAATCTTTCTCTTAGATCATCATGATCTTGATGCTTGTTCTTAACCAATGTTTTGTCTTCCTCAGATGTGATGGGCACTTTTGCATTGAATGAACAGACTGTTTCAGATCAACTACATTGCTTAGAACCGGTAAGCCTTGTATCATCTTTTTGAGAACCTCTGTAATGAAAATGTAAGTTGTATTATCTGGTCCTTAGCAAAGTTGGAATCTTTAGCGATGTTTGGTTCTTAGTTGATGAACATATCCTTAATTAAGCAAGTTCAAAGGAATTTTTTGTTTTTGTTTTACTAATTGTTAAGCAGTTGCTATTATGATTAAGTTATTTTGTTTTTGTATTTAAGTGGAATCTTTATTTGGGTTATAGTATGAGTAGAAATAAGGAGATACACAACTTGAGTTTTTTTTTTTAATATCAGGACGTTGGAATCTTGAAAGCGACTTCATTATTATAGTTAACGTATAAGTTTATCCACAAACTCAACAGGGAAATTATATTTTTTTGTCGCAGACACATTTCATTTATCAATTACCCACTAGACTCGGTTCTTTAGGGCGATATGTCTCATTTCTTAGCAGCCAAATATAAACAAAACCTGCAAGTGTTTGTTTCACCATTCTTTCCTTTCCAAGCATACGAAAAGATCCAAGGAAAAAACAGTGGTGGTTTTCGAATTTATCTGTCTGATAAGTCGATAGCGTGTTTTCTTATCTATTTTGGATGATGCAGAAATTGTCAACCCCAATATTGAAGTTGAAGAATATTCTTTCAACGTACAATCATACACACAACTATATCATTATTTTAATTAGAAAATGAAATGGTTTTTGGTGTAGTAAGAACTAAGAAGTGGTTCATTGTAGGATCACTCATCTATTGACCAAAGAAGAAAGAAAAAGAATAGTCGCCAAAATTGAATTTAAAATTTGGTTAAGTGGATGAGACAATGATGTGGCGGTTTATAATAGTCGTTAAAGTTTAGGCATATTCCCACGATATACCAACATGGACCGTCCATTATTATTTATTTTGATTATAGTTTGTTCTCAAAAACACTCGAATAATAGTATATTGCTTTTTCACAGTATTCAACAGTTTGGTTGTTTTTTTTTCTACAATTCACAAAACTAAAATATACACTGGATAAATGTTTGAGGTGATTATAACACTAATATGAACTAGTATACTATTTCTTATGATTTACTATTTCTCTCACTTTAATATAAGTGTAGCTGTGTTTTATTCGTGATGGTATCACTAATCCTGATCGAAAATACTTGGCTATATTAGAAGCATCAAACAAACAAGGTTTTGTGTTTTCCACACTCGAAGAGACAGTCCTTTCAACGGCTGAAATTGAAAGGAAACAAAATATACTCCTCAGAAAAAAAAATAATAAGTTCCATTTTTTCTTCTTTTGGTTTTAGCAAAGTATTTTGAGACTCATAATTGTCGGAAATAATTGGAGGGGTCCTCATTGATTTAGACAGCTTTGCGTTGTTTTTTTTTTGTTAGTACTAATTGTTTTAGAAAACAACACCTTTAATTTGTATTTTTCCTCTTGTTGTTTGGGATGGCAGTTACTTAAATAAAATATCTATCTTAAACCCATCGAAGAAATTGGTTTAGTTTGTTATTTCTTGCTCTGTGCTAGCCGACTTCGGGTTTGAACTTGGTAGAGGGAGTTTGCATTGTTCGCATAATTTGGTTCGTGAGGTTTCGTTTTGGGAGAGCTCATGGACGTGATTTTCGGGTCGCTCTCACATGACGCGAGGGACGTATGTATTCGAGGACCTTGAGTTATCTGCCGTTGACGGCCCAGTTTCGGACGTCCGGTGAAAGGCTTCTAGTGATTATAGTCTTTCGCATTTCGGCTCTTGTTACTTGCAGCGCCCTTCTCTTCCAACAACAAATTCGAGAAGAACATTCAAAATCGTTATCGCTTCATCACTCCTTTTGCTTCGACGCTTTAGTTGAGTGGATGGACCGAAATCTAATGTTGATTTATGCTTCCATGTTTTTTTTTTTTTGCCATGGGACCATTTATTTAGGTCTATAATCTTCGATTGTAAACCTAAACCGTTTTATTTTTTAATGAAATATTTACCTTCTTAGCAAAAAAAAAAAAAAAAAAAAAGAAATTGACTCTAAACATAACCATGGTTATTTTTTTTCACATAATCTCACTTGGATATAGTTTAGTAAGTCGCTTACAGCCAAATATCTTTGTTTAACATATAAGCTGCGAATGTCAGTCAGTATTCAATTGTAAGTTTAAGATGATTATGTTAATTGATAAGCTATTAGAGAGAAAGAGAGAGCCACATGATGACTTTGGCTTGAAAAGAGGGAGTCACACAAGAGGACGATGGCTTCACGGATCTATAGACTAACTAAGAAAGAATTCATGTGTCATTACATACGTCACTTTTTTTTTTTTTTTTTTTTTTTTTTGAATGAAAAGTTTATTTTTATTTGTATTACAAAAGCACCAAGGTTGGTTCAAATTACTCTTAAATTGATTTATGAAAGGTCTATTATACATATCTAGCAAAAAGGGTTTATATATCTCGATGTTGGCAATGAAATTAAATATATAGTTTTCAAAGGTAATGAAGATTAAATTTTACAAATACTGTATAAAATAAAAAATAAAATACTTTTTGATTGTAATAGTTTTATTTTTCTTAGTCGTTATTTTTTTTTCTATTGTAAGAAAGTAGAATAGAATAAACAAAAACAACAGAAAAGAAGAGGGTTGATTGGTAACCAAAAAAGTAGGTGTCACAAAAAAGAACATGTGATGGATGAGAGCTTCACTCCCCAAAAGAAGATATATATGTACACAAAAACTCTGACCACAATTTTTTTTAAATGATAAAAAAACATGTGGAATTTTAATTCTTTAACCAAACAAGTGCTACTTTATTACGACAGTCGACATGTCCTTGAATTTTTATTAATTCAATCCCACGAGAATTAAAAAATTGAATCGATTGCCATGCCGTTTATTTTCAATAATAAATTATACACATTTTCTAAACTAATTAATACTATTTAATCTTGTTTTTTTCTTAAATTATAATTGAGTATAAAAATTTTAAAAATTGCTAAATTGCTAAAGTAAAATGTAAGAAAAAAAGAAAAATAAAATCTAAACAAATTTATAACTTTTTTTGCGACCCAGTCTCTACACTCCCAGTGTTCAAAGTCAAAAAAACATTTTAATACGAAAAAATGGTTAAAGAAATAATTTAGGATTCGAAATTTAAAGGAAACAAATCTAAAGAAGACAGAGAGAGAAACAATCTGCAAAATACATAAATTGTTCACATCCTTCCGTTTTGGTTTCGATAAAAAAAAAGAGTTTTTTGTTTTGTTTGGCCGAGAAAATAAGCAATGTTCCCGGTCACAAGTCGCCGCCATTTCTCAATGTCCCTATATATGCTCCGTTCATCTTCTCCACACATCAATCATCACTCTTTCCTTCTTCCTTCTTTTGTTTCCTCCACCACTTTCTCTCCTATCAAAGACAAACCTTTATCTCCTCCTCCTCCTCCTATGGCTGCGTGCATCGACACCTGCCGTACTGGTAAACCCCAGATTTCTCCTCGCGATTCTTCTAAAAACCACGATGATGAATCTGGCTTCCGTTACATGAATTACTTCCGTTACCCTGATCGAGCTTCCTTCAATGGAACCCAGACGAAAACCCTCCATACTCGTCCTTTGGTTGAAGATCTCGATCGTGACGCTGAAATCGATGATGTTTGGGCCAAAATCCGAGAAGAAGCTAAATCTGATATCGCCAAAGAACCTATTGTTTCCGGCTATTATCACGCTTCGATTGTGTCACAGAGATCGTTGGAAGCTGCGTTGGCCAATACTTTATCTGTTAAACTCAGCAATTTGAATCTTCCAAGCAACACGCTTTTCGATTTGTTCTCCGGTGTTCTTCAAGAGAACCCAGAAATTGTTGAATCTGTGAAGCAAGATCTGTTAGCTGTTAAGGAAAGAGATCCAGCTTGTATAAGCTACGTTCATTGTTTCCTTCACTTTAAAGGCTTCCTCGCTTGTCAAGCGCATCGTATTGCTCATGAGCTTTGGACGCAGGACCGAAAAATCCTAGCTTTGTTGATTCAGAACAGAGTATCTGAAGCCTTCGCTGTTGATTTCCACCCTGGAGCTAAAATCGGGACCGGGATTTTGCTAGACCACGCTACGGCTATCGTGATCGGCGAGACGGCGGTTGTGGGGAACAATGTTTCGATTCTCCATAACGTTACGCTTGGAGGAACGGGGAAACAGTGTGGAGATAGGCACCCGAAGATTGGCGATGGGGTTTTGATTGGAGCTGGGACTTGTATTTTGGGGAATATTACGATTGGTGAAGGAGCTAAGATTGGTGCTGGCTCGGTGGTGCTGAAGGACGTGCCACCGCGTACGACGGCTGTTGGAAATCCGGCGAGATTGCTTGGTGGTAAAGATAATCCGAAAACGCACGACAAGATTCCTGGTTTGACTATGGACCAGACATCGCATATATCCGAGTGGTCGGATTATGTAATTTGAAAAAGTCTTTTTGTGTTTTGTTGTTGTTGTTCATGGCTTTTCATTGTTCTCTCGGCTTCTCCTGTTATTGAAGCTGGTGAAGTATATGATATGCGATGCTGTTTCCATAATCAGATCATTATAAGATAAGACTGATTAAGATGGGATTTGAAAGTAAAACTCGGAAACTCTAATCTCTGTTTAGTGGAGTTTCCTGTGGTTGGTTTCTGATTAGCAGAGACTTAAGATATGTTAAGTATGCAAGTGTTTATTTGGTTAAACCTTGATTTCTGTGATTAGACTGTTGGGAATAAACGGAAGATTCATCATTATCGTCTTGAGTTTTGTTTTGCTTTGCTACAGCTTTCTACGAAATGACAACAAGACTAGTCAGGATCCAGGATTGCTTGCTACAATCAATTAGAACTTCTACCTATTCTTCTGTAAGTGTCATCTGTTTCTGTTAAAACTTGTTGTAGAAAAAGTGGTAATCACAACTACATCGCCAAGTCTTCGTGGTGTGGGATATTAGATAGGATGGATAATTTCCATGAAATCGTCTCGGTCTTTAAAAATATTCTGTTTTCTCAGAGAAATTTCACTTGAATTTCTGCGAATTGAGGTTTGAAGCATTAAAAAAGCTCAAGGGTAGACGTTGAGACGTCAAGGAATTATAGTTTATTGCCCCACTCAAGCATTTTTCTTCGAAATAATATATTTATTGACGAGTTGTCTACATATACTGTGTCCATCGTGATAGTCTTGAACAATATTCTCGTATCCATTGCCTAATGAAACAGAGTTATGCAATGGACAGTACTATTGATTTTTTCCTCCTTGAGTCCAATTACTTTCCAATGTTCTCCATTTTCTTTAATCTTCTTTTGTTGCTAGTTATGTTTGGTTCCTGTGTTTACAAGAAAAGGTTGGGTTGGGAAAATAGTGATAATGAGAGGTTTAAGGATATGTCTTTAACATACAATAAACTGGTCGTTATATGTTGTGAGACTTTGTTTGCCTTGAATTCTGTGTTGTTGCTGTTAAGTTGCTTCCACCTGCATACAAATGGTTGGGATGGCAGCGATCTAATGAGTCTCTTAGATCTTCTATTTACAGCCCTTTCTTGGGGTGCCATCACTTTCTACCTGCGTAGTTTATCCACCGATTCTCATGATCAAAAGTTTCCTTTCTTGCTTAGAGTCTGGTGGGTTTTGTATTTTATGTTTTCTTGCTACCGTCTTTTGGTAGACATTTCTCTATACAAGAAGCAAGAACTGGTGTCAGTTCACCTTTTATTGTCTGATGTAGTGGCCGTTAGCGTGGGGTTGTTTCTCTGCTATTCATGTTTGCATAAGCAAGGAGAAGGTGAAAGGATCAACTTACTCGAAGAACCCCTCTTGAATGGAGCTGAATCTGGTGCGGCTACTAGTGTGCAGTTGGATAAGGACGAAGAGGATGATGAGGTTGTTACACCTTTTTCGAACGCTGGGTTTCTAAGCCATGTGAGTTTCTCTTGGATGAGTCCTTTGATTGTCTTAGGAAACGAGAAAATCATAGACAGCGAGGATGTTCCTCAAGTTGACAGTAGTGACAGAGCTGAGAAACTATTTTGGATATTTAGGAGTAAGCTGGAATGGGACGATGGTGAAAGAAGGATCACCACGTTTAAGCTTATTAAGGCACTCTTCTTTTCAGTGTGGCGAGATATTCTGTTGTCAACTCTGTTTGCTTTTGTCTACACGTTGTCTTGCTATGTTGCACCGTACCTCATGGATACTTTCGTTCAGTACCTGAACGGTCAACGACAATATACAAACGAAGGGTTTGTTCTAGTGACAACTTTTTTCGTTGCTAAGCTTGTAGAATGCCAAGCGCGGAGGAATTGGTACTTCAGGTTGCAGAAAGCTGGGATTGGAATGAGATCGGTCCTGGTTTCGATGATCTACGAAAAGGGCTTGACCCTTCCCTGTTATTCAAAGCAAGGACACACTAGTGGTGAGATCATAAATCTCATGACAGTGGATGCTGAGAGAATCAGTGCTTTTAGTTGGTATATGCATGATCCATGGATACTTGTCTTACAAATCAGTTTAGCTTTATTGATCTTGTACAGAAGCCTTGGGTTAGGATCAATTGCAGCTTTTGCTGCAACATTTTTGGTTATGCTTGGAAATATTCCCTTGGCAAAGTTGGAAGAGAAGTTTCAGGGAAATTTAATGGAGTCTAAAGATAACAGGATGAAGAAAACATCGGAGGTCTTACTGAACATGAGGATTCTTAAACTTCAAGGATGGGAGATGAAGTTCCTTCGTAAGATTCTTGACCTTAGACGCATTGAAGCAGGATGGCTTAAGAAATTCGTGTATAACTCGGCGGCTATCAGCTCTGTTCTTTGGGCTGCACCTTCTTTCGTTTCCGCAACAGCTTTTGGCGCTTGTATGCTTCTGAAGATTCCTCTTGAATCGGGAAAGATAATAGCTGCTCTTGCAACTTTTCGAATTCTGCAAACTCCGATATACAAACTTCCTGATACAATCTCCATGATTGTTCAGACAAAGGTATCTCTTGATAGGATTGCATCTTTTCTTTGCCTTGATGATTTGCAGCAAGATGGTGTGGAGACACTTCCTAGTGGAAGTTCAAAAATGGTTGTGGAAGTCAGCGATGGTGCTTTCTCTTGGGATGACTCTTCTCCCATCCCGACGCTGAGAGACATAAGTTTCAAAATCCCTCATGGGATGAACATCGCTATATGTGGTACTGTTGGTTCGGGGAAATCAAGCTTACTCTCGTCCATACTGGGTGAAGTACCCAAAATATCTGGAAATCTTAAGGTTTGTGGAAGAAAGGCATACATTGCACAGTCGCCTTGGATCCAGAGTGGCAAGGTCGAAGAGAACATTCTGTTTGGTAAGCCAATGCAAAGAGAATGGTACGAAAGGGTGCTTGAAGCGTGTTCTTTGAATAAGGACTTGGAGGTACTTCCGTTCCGTGATCAGACGGTTATTGGAGAAAGGGGTATCAATCTAAGCGGTGGACAGAAGCAACGGATACAGATTGCACGTGCTCTTTACCAAGATGCAGATATCTATCTGTTTGATGACCCTTTTAGTGCAGTAGACGCTCATACTGGATCACATCTCTTCAAGGTAATAATCATTTTCATTTTTTTTATTATCTTGACTTGTAGTACATAGACTCTTACCTTCTGCTTTGTGTGGCTTCTGCTATGCATATTGATATGATCTCTTACGCTTATCGTTTTCTGTAACAGGAAGTCCTGCTGGGGCTTCTGAGAAACAAGACAGTCATATATGTCACTCATCAACTTGAATTCCTGCCTGAGGCTGATCTTATACTGGTTTGGGCTTCTTCGCTCTACCATCTTTCCAATGCATTATCTAATTACATATTTATTATATCAGATAATCATTTTTGTAGGTCATGAAAGATGGGAGGATCACGCAAGCGGGAAAGTACAATGAAATTCTTGAATCAGGAACCGATTTCATGGAACTTGTAGGAGCTCACACTGATGCCTTAGCAGCAGTTGATTCATATGAAAAAGGATCTGCTTCAGCACAATCAACGACAAGCAAAGAAAGCAAAGTTTCCAACGATGAAGAAAAACAAGAGGAAGATTTGCCTAACCCGAAAGGACAACTAGTTCAAGAAGAAGAGAGGGAAAAAGGCAAAGTTGGGTTCAGTGTATACCAAAAGTACATGGCTCTGGCATACGGAGGTGCACTTGTGCCTGTAATATTGGTTGTACAGATTCTCTTTCAGGTTCTAAACATTGGGAGCAACTATTGGATGGCTTGGGTTACTCCTGTTTCTAAGGATATGAAACCTCCAGTGAGTGGCTCAACATTGATTATAGTTTATGTAGTTCTAGCCACTGCGAGCTCCTTCTGTATACTTGTCAGAGCAATGCTGGCCGCCATGACTGGTTTCAAGATAGCTACTGAACTCTTCAATCAAATGCATTTCCGCATTTTTCGTGCCTCCATGTCATTCTTTGATGCCACCCCAATTGGCCGAATTTTGAATAGAGTAAGAACCATCTATGTTTACTTATTCGATGTGTACTGACAATATCAAAACTGATCCTGCAAACTCCTTTTCTGATCACTTCGGTTTCAATCCTGATTTAGGCTTCTACAGACCAAAGTGCCGTGGATTTGAGATTACCAAGTCAATTTTCAAATCTTGCTATTACTGCTGTAAACATTTTGGGGATTATTGGAGTGATGGGACAGGTTGCTTGGCAGGTCCTTATCGTCTTCATCCCTGTCATCATTGCATGCACCTGGTATCGGGTATTCTTCATAACACTGACAAACTTAGATTAATGCTTAGCTTCATACTTTGGCTTGTATATCTCATGGAATCACGATAAGATAATATAGGAGACTTAGTGCCGTAATTGATACTACTCATACTAACTTTCTTGAAGTTCTCACTTTAGTCTTGATATTGATTTAACATATGTATGCAGCAATATTACATATCCGCGGCTCGGGAACTAGCAAGATTATCTGGAATAAGCAGATCGCCTCTGGTGCAGCATTTTTCTGAAACACTTTCAGGGATAACAACTATCAGGAGCTTTGATCAAGAACCAAGATTTCGCAGTGACATGATGAGACTTAACGATTGTTATTCTCGGCTGAGGTTCCATTCCATTTCTGCAATGGAGTGGCTCTGCTTCCGTCTTGATCTCTTATCCACTGTGGCATTTGCACTTTCGCTTGTTATCTTAGTTTCTGTGCCTGAAGGAGTCATTAATCCAAGTAAGTCAGCGCTCTTTAGTCAGTGTTTTTGTTTTGGTTCAGATTCACAGCTAAAAATCTTCTGTGTCTTTTTTGGGCGTTCTGCTTCTTTAAGGCTTTGCAGGATTGGCGGTTACATATGCACTCAATCTAAATAGCCTGCAAGCAACCTTAATATGGACGCTTTGTGATCTCGAGAACAAAATGATATCTGTGGAGAGAATGCTTCAATACATAAACATCCCCAGTGAACCACCTCTTGTGATTGAATCAACTCGGCCTGACAAAACGTGGCCATCTCGTGGGGAGATTACTATCTGTAATCTGCAAGTACGATATGGGCCACATCTGCCAATGGTGCTGCGTGGATTGACATGCACTTTTCCAGGAGGCCTGAAAACGGGGATCGTTGGAAGAACAGGATGTGGCAAATCCACTCTAATTCAAACTCTATTTAGGATTGTGGAACCTACAGCTGGAGAAATCAGAATTGACGGAATAAACATCTTGACCATTGGGCTGCACGACTTGCGTTCCAGACTAAGTATCATACCTCAAGAACCAACCATGTTTGAAGGCACGGTTCGTAGTAACTTGGACCCTCTGGAGGAATACGCTGATGACCAAATCTGGGAGGTTCGTTGGCTCTTGTTTCTTTCAATGTTTCTGCAGATAGGAAAAGGAAGGTTCTCACACGAATTTTGTTGGTCTCATTTCAGGCATTGGACAAGTGTCAACTTGGGGATGAAATAAGGAAGAAAGAACTAAAGCTAGATTCCACTGGTTAGTATGAATAAAACTATAGTGGACAAGAGTCATCTTGAATCTGTGAAAACACATCTAATGAAAGGAATCTCTTATATTGCAGTAAGTGAGAATGGACAGAACTGGAGTGTTGGTCAGAGACAACTGGTGTGCCTGGGACGAGTCTTGCTCAAGAGGAGCAAAGTATTGGTTCTTGATGAAGCCACTGCTTCTGTAGATACAGCGACTGATAATCTGATACAGGAGACACTGAGACAACATTTCTGGGACTGTACAGTGATAACAATCGCACACAGAATATCATCTGTTATAGACAGTGATATGGTCCTGCTCCTAGACCAAGGTAATGATCATACACTTTTTATTACGTTTATTCTATCAGAAAGAAGGCTTATATATTAAGATTGGTTATATATATCAAATGCAGGGCTAATAGAAGAACACGATTCACCGGCGAGATTGCTGGAAGCCAAGTCGTCGTCATTCTCAAAGCTTGTGGCAGAGTACACAGCGAGTTCGGATTCAAGATTCAAAAGAAGCTGTTAGAATCAAAGATCCAGGAAAACAAACTAGTAGTTATATTAATAATAATCTTGTCTTGTTATGTTTCTTCAACCCAAAAAAGTGAACTTTAATTTGTAAAAATATTACGAATGTTTTTCTTTCTGATGAGGAACGAATTTCTCAGTTTACTACTAGTAATTTTACAACACGTTTTGGTCTCTGTTACTCCAAGCTGTTAGTTATTGGGAACAAATGTATACTTCTTTTTTACATTTTTTTAACGTTAAATATTCAATACTGTACTGTTGTTTCACTCTGAGAGAGAGAGAGAGACGACGACGATTCTGATAAAATTCTCCGGGGATAATCTCAGCCGTTAGGTTTGTGGGCTCGTCTCCGTTCAGCAATCTAGAGAAGATGGGAGAGTATCGATCGTGTGTGACGCAGGCGGGATGTAACACTTGTCGGATTGGAGCCGATTGGAGCCAATTACCTATTTGTTCATCGTGTTGTGTCTCAGACAACTCTGAAAGATGATAAACCTGGTAATGATGAACAAGTTCCAACAACTCAAGAACAAGAGAGTACAAAAATGTTATTTGATTTTTCCCTCAAAAATTTGTTTCCTCCAGGATTTGATAGTTTTAATTGTATCCACAATCACTCTTATGGATTTCCCGATTTTAGTATCTCAGGGAACTTAGCAATGAAACTCCTTTCCAAACCACCACCTCCCATCTCTTAAGCTGATAATTTGATTCACCGTCTGATTTCTGTGATCAAATTGGTGGGAAAAATGAAAAATTTACTTGCTACCACCAGTAACTAAGTATCATCTGTTTCTGTTTAAACATGTTGCTCAAAAATGTGATTTTTCTTATCCAAATTTTGATGGATCTGCTTCTTTTCATCTGTCTATGTTCCCAGAATGGTCCTTTGTTTGCTTCGGTGGAGTTTCACACTATCATACGGGAGTTTCTGCGAAGGTGGTCCAAGGCTTTTAACATTATAAAAAACATCATGTGTGGACGAAAAAAAAAAAAAAAAAAAAAAAAAAAAAAAAAAACATCATGTGTGTTAGGTTGCTGCGTCACGGTATGTATATACTTTAATCTTGTGCTTGTCTTGGTCTTCTAAAGTAGTATTATTTATTGACTCAGTAGCCTATATATATATCTTGTCCTGAGACTGAACATTTTTGGTCAATACTCATTTTCCTGATGGAAAATCCTATCGATTTTCTCCTCTTCCAGCCCATCTACCTTTCGGTACTTTCGTTTTTCTTGAATCTGGTGTTGTTGCTAATTCTTTTTGGTTCATGGCTTTGCAAGAAGAGAGTAGCTTGTGAAGCTATCATGAATGAAGAGTTTAAACAAATGTCTTTATCGTATAATAAACTGGTTCTTATTTGTTGTGTGTCATTATCTGTGTTTTATTCTGTGTTTTCGTTGCTAAGTTGCGTTCACTGGCATACAAATGGTTGGGCTTTCTTAGATCTTCTGTTGGCTGCCCTTACTTGGGGTACCATCTCTATTTACCTGTGTGGTCGATACACTACGTCTCGTGAGCAAAATTTACTATTTTTGCTTAGAGTATGGTGGGTTTTCTATTTCGTGGTTTCTTGCTACCGTCTTGTGGTAGACTTCGTTCTATACAAGAAGCAAGAAATGGTTGTAATTTCTGATTTGGTGGGCGTCTGCGCTGGCTTGTTTCTCTGTTGTTCGTGCTTGTGGAAGAAAGGAGAAGGTGAAAGGATCAACCCTCTCAAAGAACCACTCTTGACCAGAGCTGAATCTAGTGAGAATGAAGAGGCCACTGCACCTTTTTCAAAAGCTGGGATTCTAAGCCTCATGAGTTTCTCTTGGATGAGTCCTTTGATTACCTTAGGAAATGAGAAAATCATAGACAGCAAGGATGTTCCTCAAGTTGACCGTAGTGACAGAGCTGAGAGCCTATTTTGGATATTTAGGAGTAAGCTTCAATGGGACGATGGTGAAAGAAGGATCACCACATTTAAGCTAATCAAGGCTCTCTTCCTCTCAGTGTGGCGAGATTTTGTTTTGTCAGCTCTGTTTGCTTTTGTCTACACGGTGTCTTGCTACGTTGCACCATATCTCATGGATAATTTCGTTCAGTACCTGAACGGTAACAGACAATATAAAAACCAAGGTTATGTGTTAGTAACAACTTTCTTAGTTGCTAAGCTTGTGGAATGTCAAACTCGGAGGCAATGGTTCTTTAGGGGGGAAAAAGCTGGGCTTGGGATGAGATCGGTCCTGGTTTCGATGATTTATGAAAAGGGGTTGACCCTTCCATGTCATTCGAAGCAAGGACACACTAGTGGCGAGATTATAAACCTCATGGCAGTAGATGCTGACAGGATTGGTGCTTTTAGTTGGTTTATGCATGATCCATGGATACTTGTTTTACAAGTTAGTTTGGCCTTATGGATCTTGTACAAAAGCCTCGGATTGGGATCAATTGCAGCTTTTCCTGCAACAATTTTAGTTATGCTGGCAAATTATCCCTTTGCAAAGTTGGAAGAGAAGTTTCAGAGCAGTTTGATGAAGTCCAAAGACAACAGAATGAAGAAAACATCGGAGGTCTTACTGAACATGAAGATTCTCAAACTTCAGGGATGGGAGATGAAGTTTCTTTCTAAGATTCTTGAACTTAGACATATCGAAGCAGGCTGGCTAAAACAATTTGTGTACAATTCGTCTGCTATCAGCTCTGTTTTGTGGACTGCACCTTCTTTCATATCTGCAACAGCTTTTGGCGCATGTTTATTGCTGAAGATTCCTCTTGAATCAGGGAAGATACTGGCGGCTCTCGCAACTTTCCGGATTCTGCAAGGCCCAATCTACAAACTTCCCGAAACAATCTCGATGATTGTTCAAACTAAGGTATCTCTTAACAGGATTGCATCTTTTCTCTGTCTAGATGATCTGCAGCAAGATGTTGTGGGTAGGCTTCCTAGTGGAAGTTCAGAAGTGGCTGTGGAAATCAGCAATGGTACTTTCTCCTGGGACGACTCTTCCCCAATCCCGACATTGAGAGACATGAATTTCAAAGTCTCTCAGGGTATGAATGTAGCTATTTGTGGTACTGTTGGCTCAGGGAAATCAAGCTTACTCTCATCCATACTGGGTGAAGTTCCCAAAATATCTGGAAATCTTAAAGTTTGTGGAAGAAAGGCATACATTGCACAATCACCTTGGATCCAAAGCGGCAAAGTCGAAGAGAACATTCTGTTTGGTAAGCCAATGGAAAGAGAGTGGTACGAGAGGGTGCTTGAAGCATGTTCTTTAAAGAAAGACTTGGAGATACTTCCGTTCCATGACCAGACAGTTATTGGGGAAAGAGGTATCAACTTAAGCGGTGGGCAAAAGCAGCGTATACAAATTGCCCGTGCTCTCTACCAAAACGCAGATATTTATCTGTTTGATGACCCTTTTAGTGCAGTAGACGCTCATACTGGATCACATCTCTTTAAGGTATAAAGCTCCCTTTCTTCTGATTATCTTGAAGTACAGAAAAATCATACAATATACTTTGTGCTGGCTCCTGATATTTGATTTGTTCTCTCATTTTTCTTTTAAATAGGAAGTTCTGCTGGGGCTTCTGAGACACAAGACAGTCATATATGTCACTCATCAAGTTGAATTCTTGCCTGAAGCTGATCTTATACTGGTTTGTGACTTATTCCTCTACCATCTTTCCGATGAATTTTCTAGTCATATGTTTATAAATTTAGAATTAAATTTTGTAGGTCATGAAAGATGGCAAGATAACACAAGCGGGGAAATACAATGAGATTCTCGATTCAGGAACAGATTTCATGGAACTTGTAGGAGCTCACACTGAAGCCTTAGCAACAATTGATTCATATGAAACAGGCTATGCTTCTGAAAAATCAACTACGAATACAGAAAACGAAGTACTACATCATAAAGAAAAACAAGAGAATGATTCGGATAACAAGCCAAGCGGACAACTAGTTCAAGAAGAGGAAAGGGAGAAGGGAAAAGTTGGGTTCACTGTGTACAAAAAATACATGGCATTAGCATACGGAGGAGCAGTTATTCCTTTAATATTGGTGGTACAGGTTCTCTTTCAGCTTCTAAGCATTGGGAGCAACTATTGGATGACTTGGGTGACTCCTGTTTCCAAGGACGTGGAACCTCCAGTGAGCGGCTTCACATTGATTCTAGTCTATGTAGTTCTAGCGATCGCAAGCTCCTTCTGCATACTCATCAGAGCTTTGCTGGTTGCAATGACTGGTTTCAAGATTGCTACTGAACTCTTCACCCAAATGCATCTCCGCATTTTCCGTGCCTCCATGTCATTCTTTGATGCCACCCCAATGGGGAGAATTTTGAATAGAGTAAGTAACTCCAAATATTTGGTAACTCAAAATTCAAAGTGACCATATTAAAAATAGATCCTACACGAATTCTGTTACCTGATTACTCTGTTTTCAATCTTGGTTTAGGCTTCTACAGACCAAAGTGTCGCAGATTTGAGATTACCCGGTCAATTTGCATATGTTGCTATCGCAGCTATTAACATTTTGGGGATTATGGGAGTGATGGTACAGGTCGCTTGGCAGGTCCTTATTATCTTCATCCCTGTCGTCGCTGCATGTGCCTGGTATCGGGTAATTTTCATAATACATGAGTCATAAATCAACGTTTAGCTTCTTACTTGTTAATATTAAACATACTAATGTTCTTGTGGTTCCCACACTTGTTAAATTAATCTATGGACACAGCAATATTACATATCTGCGGCTCGAGAACTTGCAAGATTAGCTGGAATAAGCAGGTCTCCTATGGTACATCATTTTTCTGAAACACTTTCAGGGATAACAACTATCAGGAGTTTTGATCAAGAACCAAGATTCCGTGGTGACATCATGAGACTTAGTGATTGTTATTCACGGCTGAGGTTCCATTCGACCGGTGCAATGGAATGGCTCTGCTTCCGCCTTGAACTTTTATCCACTTTCGCATTCGCTTGTTCACTTGTTATCTTAGTTTCTGTCCCTGAGGGAGTCATTAATCCAAGTAAGTCACCACACTTTTATTATTGATTTTCTTTTGGTTCAGTATTCACAACTAAAAATCTCCCACGTCTTTCTTGGTATTGTGCTTCTAAAAGGCTTTGCAGGACTGGCCATTACATATGCACTCAGTCTAAATACTCTGCAATCCACTTTGATATGGACGCTTTGCGATCTCGAGAACAAAATGATATCTGTGGAGAGAATGCTTCAATACATAAACATCCCCAGTGAACCACCTCTTGTGATTGAATCAACTCGGCCTGAGAAATCATGGCCTTCTCGGGGAGAGATTACTATATGTAATCTGCAAGTACGATATGGGCCACATTTGCCCATGGTGCTGCATGGACTGACATGCACTTTTCCAGGAGGCCTGAAAACGGGAATCGTTGGAAGAACAGGATGTGGCAAATCCACTCTAATTCAAACCCTTTTTAGGATTGTGGAACCTGCAGCGGGAGAAATCAGGATAGATGGGATAAACATCTTGACCATTGGGCTGCATGACCTGCGTTCCAGACTAAGTATCATACCTCAAGATCCAACCATGTTTGAAGGCACGGTTCGTAGTAACTTGGACCCTCTTGAGGAATACACTGATGACCAAATCTGGGAGGTTCGTTGGCTATTGTTTCTTTCGATGTTTCTGCAGATAGCAAAAGGAAGGTTCTAAGACGATTTTCTTTGTTCTCTTCTCAGGCACTCGACAATTGTCAACTTGGGGATGAAGTAAGGAAGAAAGAACTAAAGCTGGATTCCCCTGGTTAGTGTTAATAAAACTATTGTTGACAAGAGTCATCTTGAATCTGTTTAACACATCTAATGAAAGGAATCTCTTATATTTTAGTTAGTGAGAATGGACAGAACTGGAGTGTTGGTCAGAGACAACTGGTATGCTTGGGACGAGTCTTGCTCAAGAGAAGCAAACTATTGGTTCTTGATGAAGCCACTGCTTCTATCGATACCGCTACTGATAATCTGATCCAGGAGACTCTGAGGCACCACTTTGCGGATTGCACAGTGATAACAATCGCACACAGAATATCATCTGTTATAGACAGCGATATGGTCCTGCTCCTAGACCAAGGTCGTGACTTTGATTATGCACTTCTGTTTACATTTTATAATCATAAGACTTGTATTAAATCTGTTTATGTATCCTATTGCAGGTCTTATCAAAGAACATGATTCACCGGCGAGATTGCTAGAAGACAGGTCGTCATTATTCTCAAAGCTTGTGGCGGAGTACACAACGAGTTCTGAATCCAAATCCAGAAGAAGCTGATAGAATCAAAGATCCATAAAAATGGGACCAAACAAGTTTGTTTATCGTCTTGCCTTTGTCGTGTTTCTATGTAATTTGTGATCAGACCTTTGTGCTTGACATTTTGAGATGATGAAACTTCCATGAAAGTGGCATAATTGAAGTGGCAAAAATAAAGTATGGACAAAGACTTGTCAAAAGAAAGAAAAAAGTAGACTTTGGACTTTAGAGTCCAGTAGCTATGACCACATTAATGCACACAGGCTCCATCTCGTGGTAGACTAACGGCTTAAAGAATGATAAACATGATTATTATTAGACTATGAATTTGAATGCTGACCATATTATTAAATCATAGTTATAAAAAGTAGTCTTATGAGATGAGAATGATGTTGTGGGACAGCCATTGACTGACAAGATACAGAGACTTATCACTTCCTTGCAGCCCAATCCTCTATGAATCTTCTTGATTTTCTTCCCAAGAAATTTGTGCACTATGAGACAACTTCCCAAATATTCCAAACTTTATAATAGTTTTTTTTTCCATTTACCAAAATATCTAAACCCAAAAAAGTATGATAATTTAGTTGTTGGGCTATGCGTTGTGATTAATTATGTTAAAAAAATGTATACATTTGTTAATGGTTTCACTTTCACCTTTGAAGAGGATTAATATTTTTTTGTTTGATCTCACGATTAAATGTGATAGAAAAAAATAAAAAGTGACATAAAATGAAAATTGAAGCTTAATATGTATCTTAAATTTAGAACCACAAGCTAAGAAGACAACTTTATATAAAGGTAAATGGTACGTCATCAGACAGACATGGATCGTAGTTGAAAAGTCAGCAAGCACTTGCTTTTGTAAAAAATGCCTCTATCCCCTATCTCTTCCAATGAGACTTGTGAATAAAGAATTTCTTTTATGAAAGTTCTAACAAATCGATTTTCTCTTCTTTTCTTTTTTACAATTGATAAATCGAATTTAACAGCTGCAAAAATCAAAATAGAAGTAAAATAAAGTTTTTTTCAACTTAAAAATACGTGGAGAGGTGTTAGAAGAAAAATACATTGTTATATGAAGAATAAAAAATTCGAATAGAAAAAGCAAGAGTTCTATGGTACTATTAGCAGGTACCAACTTTATTTCTTCTTCAAAATTCGTATCAATATTTTGGCAACAAATCAGCTCATCTTAATTAAGATAGGGAAAAAAAAACAAGGTAACAAAAACAGAGAGATATTAAACGAATATCCGTTTTTTGGCTAAAAAACAGTAACCAAATTTGTTTTCTCAACATTTTAATAAATTGGAAATATAGATTGTCAAAGACCCGTGAAAGTGGTAAAAAACAAAGGAAGCCTTGCGTTACCAAAGCGCTCTGGTGGGGTTTGAGAGGAGAGGAACGGAGAGTTGTCTCTTTCTTCTTCTTCTTCCTCTTGGCTTCGTGAGCGTGCTCTCCAAGATATACTGTCTACATCATCACTCCACTCTCCTTCTATAAGTAGTCTCGCCGCTACCAAATACTAATTTAATTACGAACCTTTTTCAAATCATTGGCAAACAGAGAGAAGAGAGAGAGAAAACAGAGAGCAAAAAAGCCATGGACTTTCTCGGTTCCACGACGGGTACTGGTATGTTAGCAATGCTGTTCTCGTTTTCGGAATCTATTTTGCCTCCGGATTCTAGGTCTTTTCTTCTTAAACCTCTTTTCCTTAGATGGGTTTCTGGTTTCTTACACGCGGTTTTGTTGCTGGTCCTCTTTTGCTCATGGGTTCGTAAGAGAATTAGGGGAAATGGTGGTTATGATGTTACGGAGAGCTTAAAAGATAAGAGAGATTTTGGGTTTAAGTCGGCTCTCTTTTGTAGTTTAGCCCTGTCTCTGCTTAATCTTGTGTTGATGTCGTTGAGTGGTTTCTATTGGTACGAGAGTGGCTGGTCAGATAGTGACCAGCTAGTTTCTTCCCTTGGGTTTCTATTGGGAATGGTTTCTTGGGGGGTTTTGTCGATTTGTTTGCATCGCTGTAGGGATTTTGAGCATAAAAAGGCTCCCTTTTTACTTAGGCTATGGTTGGTTTTCTATCTCGCCGTCTCTTGCTACTCTCTTGTGGTAGATTTTGTGATGTACAAGAGACATGATACCGTACCTGTTCACCTTCTGGTGTTCGATATAGTCGCTTTTAGTGCTGCTGTGTTTCTCGGTTATGTGGCTTTCCTCAAGAAAGATAGAAGCAACAGTAATGGAGTTTTGGAAGAACCTCTATTGAACGGTGGGGATTCTCGTGTTGGTGGTGGTGACATAGAGTTGAATAAAAGCAGTGTGAGTGATGAGGCTACTCCTTACTCGAGAGCTGGCATTCTCAGGCTTTTGACTTTCTCATGGATGAGTCCATTAATAGACCTTGGAAACAAGAAAATCATTGATCTAGAAGATGTTCCGCAGCTTCATGATACTGACAGCGTAGTCGGGTTAGCTCCTAAGTTTAGGAGTATGCTTGAAGCATCAGATGGGGGCGAGAGAAGTGGCGTTACCACGTTCAAGCTTATAAAAGCGTTGTATTTTTCGGCTCAGTGGGAGATTCTATTTACAGCCTTCTTTGCTTTCATCTACACGGTTGCATCATATGTTGGACCAGCACTCATTGATACTTTCGTTCAATACCTTAATGGACGTAGACAGTACAACCACGAGGGATATGTGCTTGTCATTACTTTCTTTGTTGCTAAGCTTGTGGAGTGCCTTTCACAGAGACATTGGTTCTTTAGGCTACAGAAGGTTGGTATTAGGATGAGATCAGTCCTGGTTGCAATGATATACGAAAAGGGTCTGACCCTTTCATGCCAGTCAAAGCAAGGACGCACAAGTGGGGAGATTATCAATTTCATGACTGTGGATGCTGAGAGGATTGGTAATTTTAGTTGGTACATGCATGACCCCTGGATGGTCTTGTTACAAGTCGGTCTAGCTCTGTGGATTTTGTATAGAAATCTTGGACTAGCAGCAATAGCGGCTTTAGTTGCTACCATTATAGTAATGCTTGTGAATTTTCCATTCGGGAAAATGCAAGAGAGGTTTCAGGAGAAGTTAATGGAAGCTAAGGATAGCCGGATGAAATCAACATCTGAGATCTTAAGAAACATGAGGATTCTCAAGCTTCAAGGATGGGAAATGAAGTTTCTCTCCAAGATTTTTGATCTTCGCAAATCTGAGGAAGGATGGCTGAAAAAGTATGTGTATAACTCGGCTGTTATTAGCTTTGTTTTCTGGGGGGCTCCTACTCTGGTGTCAGTCTCCACTTTTGGTGCTTGTATACTTCTTGGAATTCCCCTTGAATCAGGAAAGATACTCTCTGCACTTGCAACCTTCAGGATTCTACAAGAGCCGATCTACAATCTTCCCGACACTATCTCCATGATTGTGCAGACAAAAGTCTCTCTTGATAGACTTGCATCCTACCTTTGTCTGGATAATTTGCAGCCTGACATTGTAGAGAGGCTTCCTAAGGGAAGTTCAGACGTGGCAGTAGAAGTGGTTAACAGCACTTTATCTTGGGATGTCTCATCCGATAACCCGACTCTAAAAGACATAAATTTCAAGGTCTTTCCTGGGATGAAGGTTGCAGTTTGTGGTACTGTTGGCTCTGGGAAATCGAGCTTACTTTCATCTTTACTAGGAGAAGTACCCAAGATATCTGGAAGTCTTAAGGTTTGTGGGACAAAAGCGTATGTTGCACAATCTCCTTGGATTCAGAGTGGTAAAATTGAGGATAACATCTTGTTTGGCAAACCTATGGAAAGAGAACGATATGATAAGGTGCTTGAAGCATGTTCTTTGAGTAAGGATCTGGAGATACTTTCATTCGGTGATCAGACCGTTATTGGAGAACGCGGCATCAATTTGAGCGGTGGACAAAAGCAAAGGATACAGATTGCACGTGCTCTCTACCAAGATGCGGATATCTATCTGTTCGATGATCCTTTTAGTGCTGTGGATGCACACACAGGGTCCCATCTCTTTAAGGTACAATCTTCTTTCTTAGCCATTAGTGTGATTGTGATGTCTCCTTCTCTAAACAATCAGGTATCAAATTGATTTTCATTCTCACACTTTTTTCAGGAAGTTCTATTGGGGCTTTTGTGTTCCAAATCGGTTATATATGTAACTCATCAAGTTGAGTTCTTACCTTCAGCTGATCTTATATTGGTACGTGAATAGTTCACTATTTTATCTCCTTATAATATATATTTTATATCACTGAGAATACAAACTCATCAAAAACCGATTTTCTTATGCCTCAGGTCATGAAAGACGGGAGAATCAGCCAAGCTGGAAAATATAATGATATCCTCAACTCTGGAACAGATTTCATGGAGCTTATAGGTGCACATCAAGAGGCTCTGGCAGTAGTTGGTTCTGTTGATGCCAATTCTGTTTCTGAGAATTCAGCTTTAGGCAAAGAAAATGGTATTGTGAAAGATGCTATCGGTTTGGATGGGAAACAAGAAAGTCAAGATCTAAAGAACGATAAATTAGATTCTGGGGAGCCCCAAAGACAACTTGTTCAAGAGGAAGAGAGGGAGAAAGGTAGCGTCGCTTTGGATGTATACTGGAAATATATCACACTGGCATACGGAGGAGCTCTTGTGCCTTTCATATTGTTGGGGCAAATTCTCTTTCAGCTTCTACAGATTGGAAGCAACTACTGGATGGCATGGGCTACTCCTATTTCTGAGGATGTGCAAGCTCCTGTGAAACTTTCCACGTTAATGATTGTGTATGTGGCTTTGGCCTTTGGAAGTTCCCTCTGCATTCTTGTTAGAGCCACGCTTCTTGTCACCGCTGGTTACAAGACTGCTACTGAACTGTTTCATAAAATGCATCACTGTATTTTCCGTTCTCCGATGTCTTTCTTTGATTCCACTCCAAGTGGAAGAATCATGAGTAGAGTACGTCGCTGGCCACTATCGTTGTTTGAGGATTTCCATATATATATATCTATTTGGTTATCATTGTGTTCTATTTTTTCTTGTATAGGCTTCTACCGACCAATCCTCAGTAGATTTGGAACTACCGTATCAATTTGGATCCGTTGCTATCACAGTCATTCAGCTTATTGGAATCATTGGAGTTATGTCTCAGGTTTCTTGGCTGGTTTTTCTCGTCTTCATCCCCGTGGTTACTGCCTCCATATGGTATCAGGTACTTTCAATAAACTTTGCAGTGTAGTCTTCCATAAGAGTTGTTGATTCTGTCAAAATTTAATCAAGTTTATTTAAGTGATGAAGTTGTGACAAAAAGCTTTCAACTTTGCAGCGGTATTACATAGCTGCAGCACGAGAACTTTCGCGATTAGTTGGAGTATGCAAAGCTCCTCTGATTCAGCATTTTTCTGAAACGATTTCAGGGGCGATAACCATTAGGAGTTTCAGCCAAGAATCTAGATTCCGTTCTGACAACATGAGGCTAAGTGATGGTTACTCTAGGCCCAAATTTTATACAGCTGGAGCAATGGAATGGCTTTGCTTTCGCCTTGATATGTTGTCATCACTTACATTTGTCTTTTCATTGGTTTTATTGGTCTCCATACCTACTGGAGTGATTGATCCAAGTCTCGCGGGATTAGCCGTGACTTATGGTCTCAGTTTGAATACCCTGCAAGCTTGGCTCATTTGGACTCTCTGTAATCTTGAAAATAAAATCATATCGGTAGAGAGGATTCTTCAGTATGCAAGTGTTCCCAGTGAACCACCTCTTGTGATAGAATCGAACCGACCTGCGCAATCATGGCCTTCACGTGGAGAAGTTGAAATCCGTGATCTTCAGGTATCTATCTATACCTTGCTCCTATTAAGATTCGTGATGCCGCACTAGTTTATTTTCCATTTTAACCATTTGGAAAATTTTGACACATTGTTAGGTCCGATATGCTCCACATATGCCTCTTGTATTGCGAGGAATAACGTGCACATTCAAAGGAGGTTTAAGAACAGGGATTGTTGGAAGGACAGGAAGCGGGAAATCGACTTTGATACAAACTCTTTTCCGCATTGTAGAACCTACAGGTGGAGAAATCAGGATAGATGGAGTGAATATTTTGACCATTGGGTTGCATGACTTGCGTTTAAGATTAAGCATTATACCCCAAGATCCAACCATGTTTGAAGGAACAGTGAGAAGTAACTTGGACCCTCTTGAAGAGTACACAGATGATCAAATCTGGGAGGTGCGTCGGTTTAAATCTCTGAAAGTCGCACGTTCTTCATCTTTAACTAGTTTAAACAATGTTCAGTCTTGACTAATGTATGCCCTGTGTTTTAGGCTCTTGATAAGTGCCAACTAGGAGACGAGGTGAGGAAAAAGGAGCAAAAGCTCGACTCATCTGTGAGCGAGAATGGAGAGAATTGGAGTATGGGTCAGAGGCAACTAGTGTGTCTGGGGAGAGTTCTTCTCAAGAGAAGCAAAATCTTGGTGCTTGATGAAGCCACTGCTTCTGTTGACACTGCAACTGACAATCTGATTCAGAAAACCTTGAGAGAACACTTCTCAGATTGTACAGTGATAACCATTGCACACAGGATATCTTCAGTTATTGACAGCGACATGGTTCTGCTTCTAAGCAATGGTTTGTCTGAAAAAAAAAACTCTAATTCATTCGCTGTAACATGTGTGCATATGAATCATTGCTGAATGTCTTGTTTTGTTCTATTTGCAGGGATCATTGAGGAGTATGATACGCCAGTGAGACTACTGGAGGACAAGTCTTCATCTTTTTCTAAACTCGTGGCAGAGTACACCTCAAGATCTAGTTCCAGTTTCGAGTGAAGTAAAAACTCTGCTATTTTCCTGGTGATGATGACGATGAAGAAAAAATTAGGATGTCTGAATCTGGTTCAGCTGCAACACTAGCTGGATTATGATTCACACAAGAAGAAACACTTATCATAGTTTTGTTAAAAGCTTTTGTTCTTAGTTTATAGCCTGTACTACTGTTTAACCCCTAAAAACGATGATTCTGCATCGCTGCTTTCAAATTAATGCAATAAAAGATGTTCATTTTGGTTGAAAATTCAGAAACGTTATCATTATTGATTTGATCACAGCTGCTTCTTTGAATAGCAAACCGGGTTAGTTTATTAAATCAAGCAAGATCACGGGTCTATCAACAAACCGGGCCGGTTTAGTGAGCGCTTTTTTCCGTGGTTGCCTGGTTGGTGGATGCGATAAGGGTATTAATGTAATTTAACCATTATCTGCCACTTGCTCACGAGCGACTTTGGTCTGAGAAAAAACAATTTTGACGGAGGAAAGGCTGCGCCTTTTTTCTCCGCAACATCACCATTTTCGGCTTTTCGCTGCCGGAGGGGTTTCCCCATTTCAGCTATGAACCCTAGTTCTCATTCTCAAACTCTCCATTTTGTTTTCACTAAACAAATAACTATCCTTTTGGTGTACCAATTTTAGACGCTTCTGGCATTTAGAGAGACATTGACTGAGTAAGGAGGAGCCGTCTTATCTTTCTTCGTACTTGAGCTCTTCACACACGTTACATACCGGAGGAATTCTTGCTTGAGGGTTCTGTTTTTGTTTGCTCTAGGGTTTTCTATTATCAGAATTTTTATGACGGGTATGGCACTTGAGTTATCTGTTCTGGGTCGATCTGTCATTGACTCTAAAACCTTAAATTTGAAGAGATATGGTCAAAAATCGAAGCTTTCAGGAAGATTTCTGCCGAGAGCTGAGCTGCACTGCCCTGTGGCGTTGAGTTCTTCTAAAAGCTCCAATTTGAGTTTTAGATTCCGACGAAGTTGTGAATTTAGCTACAGAAGTCGCTTTATGCTGTTTAGCTCCAGTCAATGTCACGAGGGTAGTCAACAAAATTCTGATTCTGGCGAGAAGGAGCTGGAGTCGATTAAGGTTTTGCTGAAACGTGGAATTGTTTTAGGAGCTGTAGTGTGTGGAGTTTTCTTGTATGGATGCCAAAAAGTGTTGGCATCGGCTGGTGTGATGGAAGCAGGCTATGAGGTGTTTGGTCAGAGCGTAGTGTTGTTTAAGAATGCTTTGCCGAAAATTTACCAGGTTCTTAGGGTTCTTAGAGAGCAAGGTCTAATTTTGGCTGCGTTGCTCAGCCTCTCAGCATTCTTCTCTATGGCTGAGACGTCCATTACCACTCTGTGGCCATGGAAGGTAAAATCAGAAAATTACTTTTGGTTAATTTAGTAGTGCCAATGCTCAAAAAATGTAGCACGCGGTTGAGTTGTTTTGATCTGTATGTTCTCTTTATTGGAAACACAAACTTGATTGTGTGGAACAACGAGATTGATTGGCAAGAATATGTTGTTTAAGTTACACAATTTGAAACTTCCATTCATTTTTTTGTCTGGTGTCCAATGTTCTTTCTTTTTTTTTGTATCTGACTGGTTTTGACATTTTGCTGTTTTATGTGCGGCTCATCTCAGGTGCGTGAGTTGGCTGAGAAAGAACCAGAGAATGGTGTATTCAGAATGCTCCGGAGTGATGTTACCAGATTCTTGACGACTATACTTATTGGAACAACGTACTGCTTTTTTCCTAGATACGAATTGTCTTTAGAGGATTGCTTTAAATATTATCTCTTATCTTAGGTCTTGTGGTTGGTCTTAGTGTTGTGAATATTGCGGCAACTGCCCTGGTCACCGAAGCAGCAACAGCTATATTTGGGGAAGCTGGTGTTAGTGCAGCCACTGGATTGATGACAGTATGTATAATTGTCTTTAACACTTTTTCATACCTGTAAACTTTTAAATCCTTTTGTTTGGTTTAGTACAATGCCTCTTATTTTTGCTTCCTAAGAATTTGCCATTCTTGATTGACTATATAGGTGGCTATTTTACTCCTGACTGAGATTACTCCAAAAAGTGTTGCTGTCCACAATGCTCAAGAAGTTGCAAGGATTGTGGTAATTTAAAATTAATTTTCATTGGTTCACTCTAAGCAAACTTTATGTGATCCATTGGCTTTGCTCATTGTGACCCTTCTGATAGGAAATAGTTCAAATCTCATATGTGGGTAGTAAAAGAAAGACATGACTTATGTTGTATGACTGTGCATAGGTCAGGCCAGTGGCATGGCTTTCCTTAATATTATATCCTGTCGGGAGGATTGTCACATATCTGTCAATGGGAATACTGAAAATTCTTGGTTTGAAAGGAAGGAGGTATGCATCAACCTAGAATTGTTTAATATTTGAATCAGTTTGCTGGATCGTCACCTAAGCAAACTAGCCTTACTCCTTGGTAAAAGTTAGCAGTTCCTACATGTAAATCTCTTGGCCTTTTTTTTTGTCAGTGAACCATATGTTACTGAAGATGAGTTGAAACTGATGCTAAGAGGTGCAGAATTAAGTGGTGCCATTGAAGAAGAGGAGCAGGTATGAGTTTTGTAATATATTAGTTTTATAAATCTATACCTGACCTATGTTTATGCTACCGATTGCCCTGCAGGATATGATTGAAAATGTGCTGGAGATTAAGGATACCCATGTTCGAGAGGTGATGACTCCTCTTGTTGATGTAGTTGCAATTGACGCCAGCGCCAGTCTAGTCGAGTTCCATAGCATGTGGGTGACCCATCAGTACTCAAGGTAAAAAAAATTACAAAGCCTTCTTTCTGAAGCCGTTTCCCTTGGATTATTCCTCACGCTCAATTAAATTTCTTCTCAGGGTGCCTGTTTTTGAGCAGCGTATTGATAATATCGTGGGAATTGCATATGCTATGGATCTCCTAGATTATGTTCAGAAGGTTTGACAGTTTCGTTTCCTATTTCTTGTTTCCAGTATATCTTAGGGTTTCTTTCTGTTAATTGTGTTTGATTTTGAAGGGTGATCTGCTCGAAAGTACTTCTGTGGGGGACATGGCACATAAACCTGCATACTTCGTCCCTGGTAATTATCAATGTGTTTGCTTTTGGATTTGTTGCCAAACCCCTAGGCATTTGAATGCTTCAGATTTTCTCCATTCAGATTAAATTAGATTGTTGTATTACAGACTTTAAACACTTATTCTTCACACTGAATTATTATACAGTGAAGAGATTCTAATGATATATGTTACACTTTGCAGATTCAATGTCTGTTTGGAATCTTCTTAGAGAATTTCGAATAAGAAAGGTTCACATGGCAGTTGTCCTTAATGAATATGGTGGAACGATTGGAGTATGTGCTGCTCTTCTTTTGTGCTTCTTTACTCTACCTTCCACAATTAGCTAATCTCTTTCTTCTAATTTGGTTCTGCAGATAGTAACTCTTGAAGATGTTGTCGAAGAGATTGTTGGTGAAATTTTTGATGAAAATGATTCCAAAGTAAGTGTCCTAGTTTCAACTCTTTCGGAAATTCGTTCTAGACCTACATTTAGAGACCTGTTGATATGATTAACCTATCTTACATAACTTATTTGCTCATTAGCAAGGCTCTATTCCATTACTTGATTTCTGGCCTCCATGATTTTGCTCAATAGGAGGAGATTCAGAAGAAAACAGGGTATATTGTCATGAGAGATGAGGGCATATATGATGTTGATGCTAATACATCAATTGACCAGCTATCTGAAGAACTGAATATGAAAATGCCAGAGGTAATGTAATAATTAGCAGGGTCTTCTATACCTCTTTATTACGTCTTCGAGCATTCCTCAGGGTTATCTTTTAACTTTGAAAACAGAACAACATCTTTAAGGTTTACTTGTAGGCAGAAACGATTTTATTTAAGCCCTTGGAACATGTTATGTTCTTTAAAAGTAAAACCCACAATGTTTGTTCACCTGGGAAGCAGGGCATTCAGTACGAGACAGTCTCAGGCTTTGTGTGTGAAGCCTTTGGGTATATCCCAAAAACTGGAGAAAGTGTGAAGGTTGTTCTTGAAAAGGAAAGCTGGGAAGAGGATGGTGACGAGGAGGAAGGGAAACAGGAGAGGCAAGAGCCAAAGGAAAAGAACCAAATCTATAGAGTAGAGGTATTGATTGGCTCATTATCGTATCTGGCACAAAGCATCGTCAATGTTTTGAACTAATCAAGGTCTTTTTTGGGTGTGCAGATACTAGCAGGGAATGCAAGAAAAGTTAGTGCTGTCCGGTTTGAAAGAGTGAACGATATGGATCAAGTGTCGGAGGCAAGGGATGTAAAAAGCATGGTTCCCAAATTCGTAAGGAAATGGAGCAGCGAAGAAGATGATGGGAACTTGTCGAACGACGACCAATCCGAGGACGCTGTCTTAGATGAACATGTACTGGCTGATAATAGCAAGAAACAAAAATGACACTGAGACACAGTTTCTTTTTTCTTTATGCTGCAATTTTCAATTCTTCTTTGAAAAGGAAAGAAGTAAGCTCGCAAATACAAGAAGCTTTCTTCTTTAGATTTAATGTAATAATCAGGATGGATAAATTAAGAAATTCGTGTTAGGTAATACTATACAAGAAAAAGAACATCATAAACAAATCAAGAGAAATATGAATATAGTAGCAAGTCTACATTTAATTAGTCGATTTCTGTTTATGAACAGACGACTCTGTTTCCGAAAACAGAGCTTTCTGGTTTAATTGTTAATATTCTTTCACAGTGATGAGAATTTTGGATTTTATTTTGCATTTTGATTTGTGTGTTTATAGATGATGGATTGTAAGAGAGGGTGTACTATGAGACACTACAAGCTTTTTTCAACTTTTCTCAATGTGTAAAAGATTAATCTAAATGTTAAGACATGATCTGAAACAAAAACCCAAATACTAGAATCTCTGTCTCTCTTTTCCTCCACCATCTTTACCACCTATATATCTCTCTATACAAACCTGAATCCAATAGCTTTTGAGTTCCTACTTGATTTTGATCAGAAGTTTCTCAGGTTTTAGCCTCAATCTCCAAAAGAGTTATTCTTCTTCTTTTAATACCTTTGGCGCATCAAAATGACTTGAGGCACTAGACTACACTAGCCTCTTCAATGCCTCCACCACATTTGACACTGGAGGCCGAAGTCCAGGCTCCGTCTGAAAACAATAAATAACGATCCATTCTCACAAACCTTGAACTTAGAAACTCTGAAAAACATAATAACACAATAGAGAATCAACAATGAGCGTACCATTACGCAGATGGAAACTATATCCGCGAATGATGATACAGATTCTGGAGCATAGAGTCCACACAACGCGGGATCCACCATTTCATCCAGAGTATCCATGTCTTTAAGCTGCGGCTTTGCCCAACGAACTAAAGACTGTTCTGCTTTTGGCCTCTCACTGAAGATTAGAGGCAAGCAAAAACCATTTCAGATACTTATATGATTCTGTATATTATATCAGAGATTACTGTTTGAGAATGGAACCTGTCATAAGGCGTTCGACCAGTTAGCAGCTCAAGCATCACCACACCAAAGCTGTACACATCGCTCTTTTGTGTGTAAGCCGAGGGATCTGTGCATTCCGGGGCATTGTATCCAACTCCAAGATTCTGACTTGTGCGCTGCAGTTTCAAGAAAGAAGACATTTTAATAGATTTGAGACATTTCTGTATCTCTCTTTAGTACTAATTATCAAAGAAGCTCACGTGGTGAAAGTTTGCCAAGCCATAGTCTGAGAGGCGGGGATTTAGCTCATTATCAAGTAAAATGTTCGATGACTTGATGTTCTTGTGAACTAGCGGAGGCGAACATGTTTCATGAAGGTACCTAACAAAAGAGAGTTTCTTGTCAGAAGAGAAAAGAAGAGCAGCAAGTAGCTAGTTCGATGATCCTCCTCAAGCAAATGGTGTAACTAATTACTCTATAGCTTGAGCAGTTCCGAGAGCGATTCGGATTCTGGTGTTCCAAGTTAATGGTTTGCTGAAATCATCAGACAGGTGAAGAAATCTGTGAAGTGATCCACTTGTGAAATACTCATAAACAAGCATATTCCTTCCTTGTTCTGAACAATAACCCACGAGTTCTGCCATATTCTTGTGGTGAATACTCGAGATACTCGACACTATGTGTGAAAACTCTTCCGGATTTCCTTTTCCTAACAGTGAGGAATCAATCTCTTTGACTGCATATTTCTGTTTTAAAAAAGGATAACAAGAAAGAGATCTAAAGTAAGTTTCTTGAGAAGAATGAAAAGTGGAATGAAAGAAAAGGAAAACAAACCCTTCCATCTTGAAATTTAGCTTTATAAACACGTCCAATGGTTCCTTCACCAAGAAAGCGATTTGGCGAGAAACAAGACGCGGAATTCTGCAAATCCGTTAATGAAAACACTTTCACACCGCGTGTATCAGGAGAGTTTTCGGGGGTGGAGGAACGATCAGGGGTTGCAGCCACTTGGGTAGAAGGTATGAGATGAAAAGTAGGAGAGTTCTTGAAACTGACAGAAGAAGTTCTTTTAACAGAAGGCTTTGTTTCAAGTGAAGTATTAGAATCAACTGTCTTCTGGCCTTTGAATTCTTCCATATTATCGAATTGAAGCATCTGAGAGGATTGTGGTGTGAAGAGTGGCTTGTTTCGGTTGGTTCCTTTCTCTTCATCGAAAAAGTGAGAAGAATGATGAGAGTTCTTTCTTCGAGAAAACAATGCAATCACTCCTGCAATTAAAATGAGTCCACCTATACAAGAAACCGCTATTATAACTCCAAGTGTCAGAGCCTTGCTGCTTCCCCCACCGCCTCCTGATGAGTTTCTGTCTATGTGACGGGTTCCGGGAGGTGGTGAAGGAGCTCTACCGCTTGACCACTTGTTTCCTCCAGTTCTAACCAAGAAATTGAAGAAAACAACATTAATGCTTTTGATCTTTTTTTTTTTGTGTTTAAGAGAGTGAGAGATAATAAAACTTACTCAAGGTTTCCAATGTTCTTCAACTCGTTTGGGATCCAACCAGTAAATTGATTGTTTGCGACGTTTCTGTCACCACAAGATTCATAAACAACATTAATGAAAGAAAGTTGTTATTTCAAGGATAAGATATGTGATATATATAGCCTGAAAAATACTAACACATCATCAATCTGAGGGAGGTCCCTGAGAGCATTTATAGAGCCTTTGAATTGGTTTTCTTGCAAGTGCCTGTTAGTAGATAGATGAGTAACAGTACAAAGGAGTTAGATTTTAACAACTACATCTAAGTTCTTTCTTCTCTTACAGTGTTTTAAGGCCTGTCAGATTGGCAAAACTCTGCGGTAGTTTTCCAGTGAGTTGATTGGAAGACAGATCACTGCGAGACATATACTCAATGAAGTTAATGAAATCTTTCCAAATTAGCTGCAAAACAAATGTATGTAGCTTACATTGTTTCAAGTTTTGGAAGCTTTTGAAACATGTCGCTGAGTTCACCATTGAGGTTGTTACGGCCAAGGTTTCTGAGTAAATACAAGGACGGGTATGACGAAAATGGCGATACGTAGGAAAAGATTATTCGAATGAGTCAATTTAAGTGTCTTTCGCTTACAGGTAACTGAGATCATTCATGAGAGATACCGAGTATGGCACATTACCGTTGAAGTCATTCTCAGAACCATCTCTGCATTATTTAAGTAAAGCTCAACTCATTGAAATTGTGTACTCATGAACATCATATATTACGGCTTTGTAATTCGAAGATACTTACAGATAAGTAAGCTTGTCAGGAAGCTGGTAGGGTAAGTTTCCGTTAAGATTGTTCTTGCTTACATCACTGTTACAATGACAAAACAGAACATGTAGCTAATATCATCAGCCTGAATTTGATCAAGAAGTAGAGATTTAGGAGATGTATTGAGAGTAGAAAAATTCTCACAGGTAAGTGAGTGATTTCAAGTTTCCAAGCTGGTAACCTAAAGATCCACTGAGTCCACGTCCTGATACTTTTCTACAGAAACAGAAAACGAAAAACAAGAAAATCAGAATCGATGAAGATGCAAACAAACCATTGATCAAGACCGGAGAGGAAGTTAACAAACATTTCAGTAACAGAAGAGCCTTTGCAAGTAATGCCATCCCATGAATCACCACAAGGATCGCCTCCGCTTGAAGACCATCCTTTGAGTTTTGATGGAGAGTTCATGCTCTTATAAGCGTCATTAAGAGCCGATACTACAAAATCCATAAATGATCAGGCATGAATAACGTTGAGCCAAAGATGAAATTTTATACCACCTCTCTGCTGATTTCAAGATCGGATCACAACTTTTTCAAATGATTCAATAAGAACCACTCACCGTCTTGGCTATCCGTTTTTGCAAGAACGATGGAGGTGAAGATTCCGAAACATGCGATGAAGACAAGTATGATCGGCTGCAGATTTGGTGCCATGATTTGAAAGTTTTAAGCACAGAAATCAAAATCTGTGAAAGAGCGAAAGCGATGATCCAGAGAGAAACCCAGGGTTGGTTCCGGGTTTCCTTGGGGATGAAGGAAACACACGAAAACCAAAGGAGAGGAAAGAAAGAAGAAGCTAGATAGGTCATGAAACAAAACTAATTTGGAAATGGTGTGGTAGTAACCAAAAATGGCAAATTCAGTTTCTTCTGTTTTTTTTTTGAATGACGTTATTGAGTGAAAAGGCGAATAAATCTGGACGTGTGAATAGAGAAATGTACAGCTAAAAATGAAGCAGACACCGAAACATTAGGAGAGAGACCACAACTGTGTCCAAGTCCGATCTAACTGCAAAACACACACATAAACAAGTTTGTTTCAACGTATATTCAATTTCAAGCACACGTGTGTGTGAACCATCAAAACAAACAACAATTTGCTTCCCGCAGAAAAGGGGTGAAATAACATTCAATTGGTCTGGACTATGGAATTTGGTCAGAAAAACAAAGGGCTTGTCTGAATAAAATACAAGTTTTTACATTCACATTAACAAAAATATAAAGTCTTCCACGAGACGTATACAAAACTTTGAAGACCCTAGAGCTCATGTGATTAGACCAATTGCAGAAATATAACTTTTCTATGACAGTATTCACACGTTTAATCACTTCTACAGACAACCCCCTATCACACAAAGCTTAATCTAAAGTTACAAGTAGCAGATGCTTCATCAAAATACAAATCTATGCATGACTTAAATACCAGCGTTTTGGGTTGTTTGACTCAGTGGAGCTCCACGTTTTCTCATCTTCGACAAGAAGTAGGCCAAGGCGACCTTTGCTCCCAAGGCGGAGTGACCACGAGACAGGCAGATTGCACCACCAACTGCACCGCCCAAAAGTAACATACCATTTGCTATCAGTTTCTTTGAAGGCTTTCTCAACAGTTTCTTCCGTTTGGCTCCTTCACCTGTGTGCAGACCACTAGTAGTTCCCGAGGAGTTTGTAATGTCATCTGTCTGACTTTCTAACTCTGATGGAATCTGTGGGATAACACAAGGGTGTGATGCCAAAGAAGGCATATTCAGTTTCAGAAAACCAAATTGAGATTTTACAAACAGATATTGCAGGGCAGAATCTTTCAAGCACTTGACCAGAGAAATGAACTCAGATCAGATCAAAAACCCCACTAACATCTCACCTTTTTCATTAAGCTTACAGCGGATAAAGTGGGCCCTTGGGGTCTATGACTGGTTCCAATGTACTTACGAAGTGCATTTTCCATCTTACAAACATAACTCCATATGCCTCTTGAGAAAGCAAGCTTTGCCATCTCAACATTTAATCCAGCATCTTCCTGATGAAACATGTGTATCTCACAAGCGTTCCTACCAGGAACTGCAGCAAGTTTAAGTTATGCATAGACAGTATGGAGGTATGAACAACCTTATTCACCACTGAAAAATCTCTTATTACAGAGATTTGTGGTATATGTTATTGATGAGACATCAAGAGAAGTTTGAGTTGAAATATGGATGATAAACCTGACATCAAGAGAAACACTTGCCTTTCCTAATTCGCCAACCAGATCTGAAATAACTTACACGTACATACTTCCTCTGTTGTGGCACCATATTGTGATCACATTCCTGAAAATAACCAAAGAGCTAAAACAATAAGTTAAGAGGCAAAGCCAACAACAGATCAAATATGACATGGTCCAGGTCTGTGTATATCTAGCATATACGAGAAATACTTAACAAATAAAAGAGGAATACGTAGGTGCAAATGAATAATGTAAAAACAGGTAATTTACAAACCATAGCATTAAAATTTAGATATAAGTGCATAATTAGCTTGTTTCAGTGCATAATTTAGTTGATTTTACCTTGATGAAACAGTAAAACTTATCCTTCCCCTCCCACAATTTCCAAGCTAATACATACTCCCTTGGTGTCAACAAGGGAAACTTTTTTATAGTGCGACCAATCTCGATTCCACTATTACTGTCAACCTGCAATTGCTCATGCTCAACCACAGTCTTGTCCCATTGTTTCCTGTAATCATTGTCCATGTAAAAGTCCCTCAAAACCTCTGGCGAGCAATCCTCAAACACTGTAGTACTCAAATACTTCATGGGACCACCATCCTACAAGAAACCAAAGAATAAACTCAGTTATCAGAGAAAACAAAATTTTACAAGACACTTGAGGGTTGAAGCTTTGTGATTACTGTTGGTTTGCAGCATTTAGCAGTGTATGAGACGCGAGGGTTGCTTTTCTGAATAACATGTTCCCATACCTGAGCATCCTCACTTCTTTCCTCCAATTTTTCAATCAGACCCTTTAGATCTTCATCAGAAACAAGTGTAGAAGATATTCTGCAAAGCGTATAGTCTATAGATGAAGTCTCAGATAATCAAAGAGTAGAATAGTAAGATCATAAAGCAGACGATTATAACTGAAAATCATACAAGGCAAAATTGAAAGATTCACACACTAAAGGAAAAGAGGCTAAAGTTTTTAAATTTACGCAACAAACAAATTCGGCAAAAAGATACCAAATTGAAAGTTTAACCCTTTACCCTGATTGGGAGCTCAGAGATTGAGAAACCGAGACGACAGGGGAAGAAGAAGAAGAAGAAGAAGCATGACTGAAGAATCGGATTTTTGGGGAAAGGACGAATTGGTAGAGAAGAATGAAGACAAGTGCAAACACGGTGGCCCAGCAATAACAAAAGCCTCCATCACCGTCAGGTCGCCGGAAAAATCTCTCGGAAGAGGAGATAAATTGAGCTAACGTCGATAAGGTATCACCACTATTCATCGAATTCCCAAAATCTCTCTCTGTTTTTCTGAGCAAAACCTTTGGAGATCGGTCCTATCAAATGGCTTTTTAAGACTTTTGTATATTCGCGCGTGGACTAGGACTAGGACTAGTCTGGTTCTTGTTGGCTGAGTGACGAAGGCAACAACGAATCCTCAAGGGTTCGAGATATGACCTGTCCGGGACTTTGGTTTGGGACTCTTCTTATTTGTCTTTCTGGCCCTTTTTGTTGTTTTGTTTTACAATTTAGCCCATTTTATTTTTAATGTTACGATTTGGCCCCAGTAATGCTACTTTTAAATCAGCTTTACATAAGGTTTACAAAAAAAAAAAAAACATTAGTAAGTAGATCAGATCTACCTATTCAGATCTAGAAATATGGCAAATTAGACTAAGGAATTACATAGACACACGTTTGTTAAATATATGAAACAATTTTATTTGTTTCTCTCACAAATGGATAATATCAAATACAAGTGATCCCTTAGCCACATTATGTTAGTGATTCATAACATCTCACAAATCTGAATCTGTTTTGCTTGCAGAAAGGGTCACGAATATATTGACATGCTATGAGTATGAACCACACAATTCAGTCTCCCTTTTGATGACAATTCATTAAAGAATAATATGCAATAATATGGATAAGGCATTGGCATTGATTGACTTTCTTGTCACCTTCACAATCAGACTCCCAAAACTAAGATATGTGTAGGAAAAAAACACAAAGAAACAAAATTTGGAGATGTGGAAAGCTGAGAGCTTTGAATTTGATTGATGGGTGTAATCTGTATTTTAGAAAAGAAAAACTGCCTGCAAAGATAAATGAGGCCAACTTTACAAGAGCAACATTATATTGTATTTCATACATTATCTTCTTCATCTTCTTTTTCTATCAACCCAGAAGAGTGAGGGTATTATAGAACATTGAAAAGAGGGAAATGAATCAAATTTTGGCTAAATACCCCTGAAGCAGAAAAGGGCAGAGGAAAGAGGCTTACTTTACACAAAAACCAGACCCGGTCAGACGTAAAATTTCATTTGAATACCTTCTTAGAACAAACAAAAGATCATATTATGGAATTTGAAAACATAGTCTTTGCTAATTGATGTCTTTTACTTACTAGTTGGATTGACCAGAAGAGACTGCTGCTGTTGTTGTAATTGCATCTGGAGGTGAACTGGCCTTGCCTGCTTCTTTGCTACCTTCGTCCAAGCGGACAACTTGCGCAAAACTCTTGGACATGTTCTTCATGAAGTCTGTGGGCAATGCAGCAGAAGCAGGTTTATGTTCATTTTCTCCTGCTACTACTCCTGCAGATGGCAAGCTTGGCTGTCTTCTTGCCTTCCGGTCCTGTATAATTTTCTCCCTCTCTTCATAAAACCCGAAATCATCCAAGATTGACGTATCAGCATCGTAGTTCTTGAAGATCTTCAGCATCTCGATGCCCTGTTCCAGTTTTACCTGTAGTTTTTGGTTGTGGTTATGGTGTGGTTTAAAAGAGGTTTCTTATGGACAAGAAAGCTTGAGAGGTGAAAATTGCTACTTACTTCTTGGGTATCTCGACTATTAGTCACAGGCTTATTGTCATTGTTTTCCAATATGATGTGGCGGAACTGACTGTTTGGAACATCTTTGATAATGTGCCACTTCACTGGGAACTGTCCACTCCATTTGTCCTGTTGCCAGTAATCAACGCTCTTCTCAAAATCAACAGGTCCAACCATCTCCGCTACACCACAGAATTGGGAACTCGCATTTACCTGAAATTACAAACCCGTAAGCAATCTGCAGAGAGAAGAAGAAAACTGAAATAAAACCAGTTTTTTCACTTGATCCAGGATTAGACTCGTACCGAGAACAGAAGAAACAGTGGACACGGTTCTTTCTCATCCTTGGCCTCACGATAAGCAGCGTCAAGCTTTTTGTTGCCATTAGGGGTGCTAGCCCATACATTGTATTTGATGCTTTTGTGAACATTGTCTTCACTGTAAGACTTGATGATGAACAACTTGGCGTTATTGTAGTCGGTGACAAAGTCCGCGTTGTTGGATTCCTCGTGTTCCTTTGCACTGCCTTTGTTATTTTTCTTAGAATCAGCAGCAGAATCAAGCTCCTCTGAGACCTGAGTCTTAGGCTTTGAAGCCCTTGGTCCTCGATTTTGCTCATTGAGGATATCAAATGTACCATTATAACCACCACCCAAAGATGGATCACTAACCCTTCCACGCCCTCGACTGTTGTCAACCCCAATCCAGCCGTGGTTTCCCATACCCACATTAGAAATTAGTCTACTTCCATAGTTAGAACCCTGGCCACGACCACCACTATGCATATAACCTCTGTTATAAGAGTTCGAACCAGATCCAAAACCGTAAAACGATCTCTGTCGCTGTGACCCCTGGACAAGTTAAAGAACAGAATCCACTTTTAGCATATAATCCAATATGCAACCATGAATAGAAGAAAGCTATCCATGTGTTGGATAAGAGTAGCTAAGAAAAGTAAACAAACCATGGGAATGTTCTGGCCATATGATCCAAATGAGCCGAGTGGCTGAGGAGATAAAGCCGGAGAAATAGAAGAAGAATGTCTGTGCATATCAGAAGGCTTGGACCAATCTGACCATATTCCCCCGTCAAAACCTTGCTGCCATTCAGGAAAACCAAGGTTTGGCTGGTTTCCATTAAACGGTCCAATGGGATGAGGATGGTAGGACGGGCGTGGTCCGATGTTATCACCTTGTTGGTCAACACCGACAAGGCTGGTGAGCTCGGGCTGAGTTGGAGAAGTAATATATTGCATGCTAGGAGGAACTACCTGCTGGTAATACGGTGATGCCCCCGAAAACGGAAACTGCTGAGGCGAATACAACTGCCCCTCAGAAGGCAAGGGACTTGCTGCAGGGGAATATGGCCCATACGGCATTTGAGGGTTGTATCCATATCCCGTTTGGTAGACCAGAGAAGCATTCTCATTGAAGCCAACCTGATGTTATCAGAGAAAGAATATGAACAATTTGGAAAGTTTCAAAAAAGAAATCCCAAAAGAGATGGTAAGGTGTACACACAGGAGATGTGATGTCCAATCCTTCAACATTGACATACGAGGAATATTCGTCCCATTCGCCTGTGGGGTTTTCATAACCTGGGTCCCCAACATAGAAAGTAATTCGGATTAGCTTCTAACAACTCCTACGCAGTTCAAGAACTAGAGAAGTAATTCATGGGTAGAGGAAGGCTTATGCTTTCCCTTTAGATGGCCACTAGTATTACACTAAAACAACCACAATAATATGAAACATCGAAACCAATACAAAAACTCCAAACTATCTGACCTCAAATGATACAGTGTAATTGGAGATCTACAATTATACTTTTGATTGCCACTAGTATTATACTTAAACCTCCATAAGAATGAAACATCTAAACTCCATGACCTCAGAAATCTGATCAGAGAAGCCAAACAAATAATACATGAATAACAAGCCAACCTCTATAGTAAAAGCCTTGCGCTTGAGGAGAGAGGATGCTGCTAGGTAAGTGTCCAGCAAAATCACCGGCTAAACCATAAGGTCCAGTTAATGGAGCAACTTTTGCTGGATGAACTACAACTGCAGCTTCCTGGGAGGACTTAAAAGAAGCTGATGTCTCGTTGTTTACCGGGACATTCTGCTAATAAAAAAAAAGGATTCAAAGAGTTAGAATTTTTTCTCTATGAATCTTCATTTCAATGGAGATATAACCAGTCAGATCAACTACCTGCTCCTTCATGATGTCCAAACTAGCAGGTTGCTCCTCTGTATTCATGCATAACCGGTAAACTCAAATAAGTCGGTGGGAATCATTCATGAACAAGATCAAGATCGGCAAAAAGAAAAGCAGATCCTAATGCAAAATGCAAAATTTGAACTTAAGGAACACAAAAATCAAAGAGCATGAATCCCAGATCTTAGCAAAAGGAGATCGAATTCTCCTAACTTTACTCTTCCATTTCAATTATACTCTAGTAAGAGTGGATTCACTACCAAAAATTTCAAAAGCAAAACTCGTAATTCTAAATCCAAATCGAAATCAACGAGCCCTAACACATGAAAAACATGAATCACGGGATTCGACACCAAACCCACTAAGAATTGAAGAAAAAGGAAAGGCAGAGATCAAACGTAAAGGAATCAAATTTAGACCAGAATCTGAAACAATTAAGGATAATTGAAAGATGGGTCAGTGAGTGACGTTACCTGAAGTAAGATCTGAGGTGTGTGATTGAGTCGTTGCCATGAATCTGATCGAAAGGTCAAGAATAAGGATCTGATTCAAAACCAAAAAAGAAAACTGGAAAAACAGAATCTTTATATGTAGGGAAGGACAGAGGATCTTTCCATATATGTATGTGTAAATTACGTATCAATAAACCAATACGTAGAAGATTATTACAGTAAAAATATTTACAAGTTTGTGTTTTTTACGAACGAAGAAGAACTTTGTTGCCATTAATGATGCAAGCAAAGTGAGAAAAGCTTATTACCTAATTTAATGTTGTTTGTTGTTGTCTTTAAAGCGCAAAGTATTTTACTACTACAAGAGAGAAAAAGTAATGAGCAATTGCCTTTGGCCTTCTTTTTTAGTGACTCTTTGTGGGAAAATGGAAATTACGATGATCTCTTCCTTTTTTTTGCCTTTTTCTCTGTTTCATTGAGAATTGAGATTGTTCCCTTGGAGACTCCGAGAATCTTTTTTCTTCTTTTTTTATTCATTATTTTTATGTAATCACTTAATAATAATCATAGAACAAATCCTGGTTTTTTTTTTATTTTGTTAATTGTTAACAAAATATGTGATCCCTAAGCTAAAATACTAGAATGGATCGAGGATCGACTGACCAAAGAATTTTTTAATCAGTATATGGACCATCAATTTACATTTATGCCCACCAACAACTTTTTTATACAGATCTATTGGTTTTTTTTTGCCCAACTATATACTTTTTCTATCAAATTTTTTTTTATAAAATATAGTTTTTAGTGTTTATGTGGCAAGTTCACAATTACAAAATTTATGTTATCTAATTATATGAATTATTAAAACAAATAAACTATGTAATAAAAAATTTTTATGTTACCTAATACATTGTAAAAAAACTGTAATAATAATTGTTTTATTTAAATTTGAATTTAGATTTAGCAAGTCTAGTCAAACTCAACAAATATATATTGTTTCACTGATTCTCTATTTATAATACATACATCAAATATATTAGTTTTAATAAATAAAAATTGAAATTTTATACTTAAAATTTAACCGGCGTATAGCATAGGTCCTTACCTAGTACTTAATTAAATAAAAGAAAAGGTAAGAAACAGTAAACCCTCTAAACTATATATTTCTCCTTTAATATATAAAGAATTTATGGTATATACAAATATATATATATATATATATATATATATATATATATATATATTTATATTTGTTAAATGGCATTCAATTTTATTAAAAACATATGTCTAATGGGCTAATATACAAATATTTGTAATCCATATTTGTGCTGATCTGGATTTGGACCCAGTCCTGGACCCTAGTAGAGAGCTGCAAAGGTATGTGATTGCCACAGTTTTCAGAAATCGGAGCAGCTGTTTTCAGAAACAATCTACCGTTTCGTTTCTCACTAAAAACACTCGTAATCTCTCTCAAGTCTCAACTTATACGTTCGTTCCTCTCTTTTCACTTGGAAGGATGACAACAATAATGTCTGATCTTCCAAGAGATTTGGTAGAGGAGATACTCTCTAGGGTTCCATTGACATCTCTAAACGCAGTGCGATCAACTTGCAAAACGTGGAACGCTTTATCTAAAACTCTGGTTTTTGGTAAAGCAGCAGCAGTAAAGAAGCAGCTTTTTGTGGGATTCATTATGATGGATTATAGGGTTTGCTCTATGAAATTCCATCTCCAAAACGAGGGGGGAGACTTGGTTGTTCCATGTATAAAGCAAGTAGGTATACTTAACCAAGTTGAGATATCTAAAGTCCTTCAATGTGACGGCTTATTGCTATGCGTCACTAAGGATAACTCAAGTCTTGTGGTATGGAATCCCTATTTGGGGCAAACTAGGTGGATCCAACCCCGAAACAATTTCCACAAGTTAGACAAGTATGCTCTCGGATATGACAAGAACCGTAATCACAAAATCTTGAGGGTTTTCAGTGTTTCAGAAAGCGGACTCCGAGTTTTTGGTTATGAAATCTACAGTTTGAGCTCTAATTCATGGAAGGTTTTTGATGCCACTCCCGACTGGGATATACACTTTTTTCAACCCGGCGTGTCTTTGAAAGGAAATACTTATTTCTTGGCTGAAAAGAAAACAAGAGGTAGAAGGGACATTCTACTCCCTTTTGACTTTACAATGGAAATTTTTGGACCGCCGCTGCCTATGCCGTTTGAATCCTATAAAACAGATAGTTTTGTGTCTTTATCTTGTGTCAGAGAAGAGCAGCTCGCGGTATTACATCAAGGCTGGAAGTTTAGTGACACAATGGAGCTTATTCAGATTTGGGTTACGAATAAGATTGATGTCGGTTCAGTGTCGTGGACCAAGTTTTTGACATCGACCTCTGGTTGTCGCGTTCATCCTCAAGGTGGGAGTTTCTTCATTGACGAGGAGAAGAAAATTGCTGTGGTTTTCGACGTAGATGCCCAATATTATGAGGTTAAGACCCATTGCAACCAAACAGCCAATATAATTGGTCAAGATGGATACTTCAAATCTCTGAATATCGGAGAGGCTCCCAATCTCGGAAAACTTAACATGTTTGGAGGAATAACGCCCAAATATTGTCGCCCACTTGTGTGCTCTTCTTATGTTCCAAGCTTAGTGAACCTGCAAATCAACCAACCTCATCTCATAAGGAAAGAAATTGATGATTATTAATCACTTCCATTTTCAATACTTTATTTGTTTTTTGCATCTTCTTTGATTCTCAAGAGTGTCAATGGTAATGTGGCGGAATTTTATGGTGATTAACAAAAATTATCATATATTTAAATGTACCGTATAGGAGACTTTGTCTTACAAAGTTACAAGTTTGTATAATGTCTTACATTCTGTGAATATCTCTATATGTAATCACTCTGTTTCTTGTTTTCTTTCCTTCAACAACTAAACAACTACAATGGTCAGAATAATTGTGCTATACGGAAGCTGAAGGTGGTTCTTTGGACGCCGAGATACTATCTGTCAGGTCACGACCACTTGTCTCGAAAGGGAAGAGACAAACGCAAATTCCTGAGACAAGAATCACAACCTCAAACAGAAGAACAGCGATCGTCTGATGACATCCGTGAACTAATCCAACGGCCACTAGTGGACACAAGATTCCTCCGATTCGTCCTACCGAGCTCGCCACTCCTACTCCGGTTGTTCTCACTGCCGTTGGATATATCTCCGGAGCATATATGTAAACCACTGTGAAAGCCGCAGAGATGCAGATACGGCCACCAAAGAGAAGAGCAGTGGTTATGAATGGAGATTGATGAGATAACAGAGGGAGAAGGAAAATGCAACAAGTGAATAACATTGATGCCATTGAAACTTTTCGTCCAAGTCTATCCACCATTGCTGCTGATATCAGTAGACCTGGAAACTCTGAGGACGCCACAGATCAAGAAACAAGGATTAGACTTTTCTTTAATTGGTTACAACTGATTTGGATTTCTTGTAACAGAAATATTGATGTACCTGCAAAACTGGCAATGAAAACGTCTTTGTAGTTAACATCGTTTGAATTTCCCAACTGTTTCTCGGTTGGATAGCAGCGGTTATGGGAATTGTTCAGCTCAGTGGTGAGAAGGACAACGCCATAATAAGCAAACGCATTTCCAAAGAACACAATCCATAGTAGCAAAGTCCGCTTGATTAGCGTTGGAGATAGAAGAGCTAGTAACGAGAAAGCTGGTTCCTTATCAGCTTTTAGTACAATCTTGGACACAGCAACAGCTTCTCCAATTTCTCCAGGCTTGAGAAGATGAGTGTTTTCTGTTGGAAGGTTTTTATTGTCTTCCAGCTCGGTCTCCAATTCTGAACTGAGAACACCCGGAGGTAGTTGGGTTCCGTTCATTCTCGCAATCTTCTCTAATATGGAAAGAGCTTCAGCTTTCCGGCCTTGTAGGATTAAGTACCGAGGAGACTCGGATGTCCACCTATAGAAGAGAAGAAGCAACGATGAAGGTACAGAAGAGAGTGCAAGTAACCACCTCCAACCCAGACTTGGCATGACCACCTGCAAAAGATTTTCATGGTGATGTGAAAAGCTAGCGACCAAATTATACTGGCAAATAAGCAAAGAAAGACATGAGTTGTACCCAAGCTAGGGAAGCCTCGAATATGGTTCCAACGGTCCAGAAAGCTGAGAAAACAACCATCCAAGTCCCTCGGCTTGGTGCAGGTATGAATTCAAGATACCAAGAAGCAAGAACAGGACCTCCTCCCAACCCAAGACCAACCAAACAGCGAAGAATGATCAACCACATGTAGTTTGGTGAAAAGGCGCTCAAGAAACCAGCTATAAAAGTCACCACCGCAGTTATGATAAATCCTTTCCTGAGGAAGACAATGCACAAACATCAAATCAAATGAAGCCACAATGCGTTATAAACAGAAGAATATGACCCAAACGAAGTCCATTTTAACATTGATTGATGACCCATTGACAAGATACACAGAAATAAAATGAACGAAGGATGGTCATAAGCTGAACAGTCTTCTGAAATACAGCATTATACAAGGTCAGAGATCATTCAATTCAAGACTCATGAGGAACCTTTACATGAACAAACGGAACGATTCAGCCCCAAGAAAGTTCTATCAAAGACAACAAGTATCAGATAAGTTACCTGCGGCCATGTTTGTCAGAAACAATGCCCCAAGAGTAAGCTCCAATGAGCATGCCAGCAAAAACGACACTGGTAATTAAGCTTTCCTCTCGTGCAGAGAGATTCCAGAGCGATTGAACAGCAGGTCCTACGAAAGAGAGAAGCATCATCTCCATGGCCTCTGCAACCCAACCCATTCCAGCGTAAGCAAGGACGTAAAGTTGGAACTTGCCAAATCCCATGGCCACAAGAGCTTCATCCACCGTGAATCTTGGGTTCCCATCTGCCATTTCAAAATCTGGCAAAACAAAAAACAAAATAAAAAAAGTGTCAACCTTTCATCAAGATTCGAGAACCCATCATCGAAGTAATCCCAATTAAATCCTAAAACCATTAACAAGGAAATCCTAATCAAGATTCGCGGATCATGGTAAGCAATTACTGGGTATGGATCAAAAGTCATGAAATTGGCAAAAGGAAATAAAAATCGAACCTGAAGGACGTTGAAGTTGAAGCAAATGCAGATCCTCTCCTCCACGGTTTCAGGAGAATGAAAATACAATTGTCAGAGAATTCACAAAGTCAACGCCATTAATCGACGGAAAAAATGGAGGTCACTGGTACATGAGGAAAAACATGTGAAAATCAAAATTCAATCTCTTTGGTCTTTCTTTGTACGTACGCTGCTGAGTGCTGAGCCAAGCTTTTTGACGCGCGTTCAAGTCTCCGTTGAATCGCTGATGATTCTCTTGACCGGGCATTTTTGTATTTGGGCTTTTTCTAACTAGCCCAAATATATAAGCTTTTGTAGAAGGCCCATTTTAATTTTGTCTCATAAAATGTGTGAACAAATTTTGTTAAGAAAAAAAAGTAAAGAATCATTTAAAAGCTCAATAATTGATCAATGAGGGGACCCAACATTTGAACAAGTCGAAAACAAACATAGGACAAAAATGGCCGCCTTTTGTGGGACTATAGATAAATTGAGCCTTGAGGTATTGGCAAAATGCAAACTAACAATTAATTTATCAACCTTTAGTGAAAATGTGAAATATATACGGGACACATTTATTCTTAGATATATATAAAGTATGATGAGATTCGATATTAAGAGAAGATATATAATACAGGGAAAAGGAAGTGACTGAAGATATACAATAACCCACCAGCCAATTATTACTTAGGAACAGTTTTGAATTATGATATGTATGTTGCCAAAAATAAATATAAATTATGCAAGGATGGAGACATTCTACCACTTGATGCCTCAAACTTGAAAGAGCCCAACTATTTTGAAGATAATAATAATCAGGTAAAAAGCATTTGCTGAGCTCATTCTCTATGATGAGCATTAAATTAACATTATCTTAATTATGTGGTAAAAAGACTAAAGACAAGAAAAAAAGTGGATCCATCTATTTGTGTGGCTAAGGCTTTAGATATGATGACCCACAAGTTAATCGATGATGCTACTTTGTCTTTCCTTTTGGAAGTTTAATGATCATTAGTTTTGCTATTAAAAGAAACTAATTCTACTAAAATGCATTACGGATCAGTCACTATCATCTTTGGCAACAATTTTCCCATTCTCACTCATTATTCGTTTCTCTCTCAATAATAAAAGTATTTTGTCTCATAAGTCATAAGTGATCTTTATAGAATCATATAATATATTGTCTCGCTCGTTTTTGAAAGTATGTACACACAAAGACTCATTATTCATATTAACTATATTTCAAGAACCGTAATATAAAAGTAAAGTTGACATTTACAAAAATACTCAGCTTCCTTGTACTACTGGAGAACTCCAATCTCTTGCAAAAGAAGTTGTGTTGAATTTAATAATTATCTATTAATATATAACGTAAGGAACATCTCCTCTTTATAAACATAAATAATATAAAGATATTTTGTTTGTTTCATAACTCCAACAAGTATATAGTTTGTTTAACAAATTAGTTTTTTTTTTTTTCTTTAAAACCAATAATTTGATTTACTAGGTATGAAATATGATTAGGAAGAGAAAATGAGAGAGCTTAAAGTGTGATGTCATCAAATAAATAAAAATGAAGATAAAATAAAATAAAAAGTATGTGGCAAAACGACGACCACTTGGCTCCTACGTGGCAAATGAACTAACGGATACAATTGGTACGTAAGTAACACGCGTTACAGGAGGGCGTGTAATAAGAAAGACGGTCCAGCAAGACGGAGACCAATCAGGCATAGCCAACAGTACACACTTCTCTCTACTCTTCGTCGACGGCGATTTCGTAGCCAAATCATCGTCTTCTTCCTTTAACCCCATCTCTTCGTCTGTTGCTCTCTCATTCGGATTAACTTCATCTTTTTGGATATGGGTTTCCTCTGATTTTATGTGTGTTTCCCAGAGAGAGTTTCCGGGAAAGTTTCAATTTTTCGGCTTCTGATGTCACATTTGGTGGTTTTCGAGGGGATAATCCCTCTCAAGTGTTAGTTTTTTTTATTCATTTGTTATGCAGCAAGTATAAAAAGGTGAAGACTTTATCATCCTCTCAGGTCCGTTTCTATTCCCTTTGGTAAGAAATAAAATTGCTTTCCATTTTCTCTGTGATTCGTACTACTTCTCAGTCTCAACATTCTGAATTTAGATTTTTTTTAATACCTCATTTCTCTTTTCGTGTCTGTCTTGTAACCATGTCTTATCATAACCTGATTTGATTCCTCTGTCCGAGTTTTAAAGTTTCCATGTGTCGGTACCTCGTTTTGCATTTCTTGAAACAATAATATTAACCACATTTAATCCTTGTATCTCTCAGTGTCTGTATATATGGTGAATCTGAATCTCGGATGTTTAAGTTTTAACTCATAAAGCCATGCACTCTTGTTGCTCCAGTTCCACAGTTTTTAGTTCCCAAGGAACATTTTAGCTTGTTAAGTTTGCTTGGATTTAGATCCACTCAAGATGGATCACTGGATGATTCTGTATGCCTTGTTCTGAAAGTTAACTACATAAACTGACTCAATCCTTGTCACTAACATGTTCATTGACCCCAACATTCTTATGTTAATCATCTTCCTCCATCAATGTTTGGTTCTCAGCGGCTTAAATGCTAACTGCAAACTTATGGCGGATTTTACCAAGGGTCAATCTTGATTGTTGATGTAAGAAACCGATTTGGCAATTTCATCAAAGCAATCATGAACAGACATAGCCTTGTGTCAACGGCAACAGATGAATGCAATAAAGGAGTTGGTCAAACTTGCTCGACTTCTCCATCTCCAGTCCATAACTTTCTGAATGTCCAGCCAGAACACCGGAAATCTCCCTTCATAAGATCACAATCTCCAGATTCAACTGCTCAGCTATGGCCAAAGAATATTTCTCAGAGCACTTTCTCTCGGTCTTCCACCTTCTGCACAGACCTCTACTTGTCATCATCTTCAACCTCTGAGACTCAAAAACATCTAGGAAACAGTCTTCCTTTCCTCCCTGATCCCTCCTCTTACACCCACTCAGCTTCTGGAGTGGAGTCTGCTAGATCTCCATCTATTTTTAGTGAGGATTTGGGCAATCAATGTGATGGAGACAACTCTGGGTCGCTTCTCAAAGATTTCCTTAATCTTTCTGGAGATGTTTGTTCCGATGGCGGTTTTCATGATTTTGGCTGTTCAAATGACAGCTTTTGCTTATCAGATCAAATGGAGTTGCAGTTCCTCTCTGATGAACTTGAGCTGGCTATCACAGACCGCGCTGAAACCCCCAGGCTTGATGTAAGTTGATCTCAGTCTTGTACATCTCTTATGAGTTTGCATCAGTTACTTTGCATGGCTGTGACAAACATTGACTTAAACTTTCACTACTTATGACTTTCGGTCTTTGCTGTTGATACATAGAGTGTGAAAAGTCATTTGCTCCTTTAACACTTAGTTTCTGTTTGATTCAGGAGATCTATGAAACGCCATTGGCTTCGTCAAATCCAGTGACCAAATTGAGTCCAAGCCAAAGCTGTGTTGCTGGAGCAATATCTATAGACGTAGTTTCATCGCACCCTTCTCCAGGATCAGCAGCCAATCACAAGACGAGAATGAGATGGACTCCTGAGCTCCACGAGTCTTTTGTAAAGTCGGTGATCAAACTTGAAGGGCCTGAAAGTGAGTTTTACCTTTATGAGATAGAGTAGGCACTTATAAATTAGAACTCTAGCTACTCTTGTGCTTGCCATTGCTTAGATATCCTTTGTTTTCTTTTCATCTTTCTGCTGATAACGCTTAACACGGTGTTGCTTCAAACATGTAGAGGCCACTCCAAAGGCTGTTATGAAGCTCATGAATGTTGAGGGTTTGACGATCTATCATGTAAAAAGCCACTTGCAGGTACTAAATCAGTTTGAGTCTGACTAAGTTTACAAGTACATAATACCAAATTAGCTGAATATCTCTGAAAATCATGAATTTGCAGAAATATAGACTAGCCAAGTATATGCCGGAGAAAAAAGAAGGTAAAGCCTCCAACTTGTTATTGTGATTACACAGATTCTCTGTTCCTGCATGATCATCAGCCATGATATTGATCTATCTGACGACTGACGGTTCCTTTATTTTTTTCGTTTATTTCACAGAGAAAAAGAATGAAAACTCCGAAGAAAAGAAACTGGCTTTGAGTAACAGTGAAGCTGACGAGAAGAAGAAAGGGTAAAGCATTGTGTTTCTCTGCTTCCATGTTCAACCCGCAGACATTTTTCAACATTATCCCTAAAGTGACTCTCTTTCTCCATGAACAGGGCCATACAATTAACTGAAGCTCTGCGTATGCAGATGGAAGTTCAGAAGCAGTTGCATGAACAGCTCGAGGTAAAACCGATTACACTTTACTTGAGCAAAAGAAATATTCAAGATTTGCTACTATAACCAGTCCCATAATTGATCAATGTGCAGGTGCAACGGGTGCTTCAGCTACGAATTGAAGAGCATGCTAAATACTTGGAAAAGATGTTGGAAGAACAACGCAAAACTGGAAGGTTGATTTGTTCTTCTTCTCAGACAGTGTTATCACCTAGTGATGACTCTATACCAGATTCTCAAAACATGTCCAAACCCGAAGCATCTTCGCCTCAGCGGTCAACATCTGCAAAGAACAAAGCTTCCGAAACTGAAGACGATAAATGTGAATCCCCTCATCAGAAACGTCGCAGGCTTGAGAACAAAGCTGAATCTGAAGATCCTAAGAGGTAGCAAGATTCTTTAAGTATGTAAATATGGTATGTTTGTGTAATTTGGTGAGAGAGATGGTGGTGATCACTCAAAGTATATGTTTGTAATGTAGATCTTTGTCGGAAACTTGTAAACTTATTACGGATCTTGAGGATGTTCCTTTCATTTGCTTGTTATTAAGGATCACTCAAAGTAGATGATGTTGTTTTGAGGTTTCTTTCATTTTAGTTATATGAATTTTTTTGAAAGTTTGGCTTCGATGAGAAACCTATGATAGAACCCGAAATCCCTGATTGACTGATTCTGTGTGTGTGTAGATCACTGGTTAGTGTGAAAATTGAAGGATTCACTTTTGCAATCTTCATATAGTTTGCTAATATCGAAAGTGGAAGTCACTTTCCATAAGAAGCCTTTCATTAATGCGTTTAAATTTTCTGGTCAATGAGCAAAAAGAGAGAGAGAGTACGACAAGTAAATAGATCTTCATGCATACAATTAGTCAATTACTTACGGGAAGCAAAACAACTTGAGCAAGATTCTTCACTCTCATCTCTCTCTCTCTCTCTCGGAAAAATCAAAATCAAGGGTTTCGTCGTCTCTTGTTAACCGACCACTCGCTTTGACTGGCTTGGACTCTCTTGGTGGGTTTTTCTGTAAAAAAGTTGTTTGCTTTGATCTTCTGTGTTACAATGGAGAAGATTTCTCTGAATGATGATGAATAGTTTCGATAATTCTTGAAATAATTTATATGGGTCTACCATTTCGTTAGCTAGCTGTATGAGCATTGTAGCTGTTTTGGTTTTTCTTCATTGTAGAGATTAAAGTTTCGTTTTTTCTTCTGTTTCTCCATGAACATTAATGATTTCGATCTCTGAGATCAAGTTAGTGAATTCTGTGTCAAATTAAACCCATTCAAAATTCGATTTTGATGCTTGTTCCTGTTTGTTTCACTAACTCTTATATGGGGTTGTAGTACATGTAACGGCTGGAATCTGAGTTGTGAGAAGCGAAAAATGCTTCTAAATTTGATTCATTCTCTGTGTTTTCGTTGACTAAGAAGATTTTTTTGAATTTTACATGATTCCGAATTTTACTTTAGATCTTGACGTTTTCGTTGCTAATGAGGTGATTCTTTTGTTTCCACTTTATCGTGCCTGTAAAGTCTCACTGGAATTGCTTTTATGGTATTAGTTTGGTGTGACTATTGATTATTGAGCTGGCTTTATCTGGTGGGGTTGTGTGTCTTAAGCTTTTGGTGTCCAGATTTCTCAAACGAGCGCAATAATCATTTTCAAGATATCAAGATAGAAAAAGGTGAAAAAGAAAACTGCTTCTAAGTTACTGACACTGTTAAAGACAATATACAACATTCACTAGTTTTAGACCAGATATTGAGCAATTCTTACCAGACTCATGGCTTGTTTAATAAATATGTTGAGACATATAGTGTAATATCTGCCTAGGAATCTTATCTTTTCTATCTTTGAACGGATATGGTTAACATTTTGGCCGATTCAAACCTATTTCTCTCTAATGAATGCATGGTTGTTGACAGACTTTGGCTGAAGTTAAAGAGGAAGAGATTATGCTCTTGAAGGAAAGTAAAGGCCTGGAAAATGTATAACCTCAATTTGGTTTTCTTCTTTATTTCTTTCTATAGGAAGTCTATGTGCTAATCCTAGGTATGGTTACTCCTTTTCTTGAATCAGACATTGGCAAGTATGCATGATTTGGTCGAGAAACAGAGAGCAAGAACCAATGATCTAAAGAAGATGAAGGTGCGCCTATTCACTCTCTTCCTCTCTCTCTCTCACTAGACATTCACTCATAAATCATGTGGAATATAACTCAAGTAGATCATATAACTGATCAGGCTGTACATAAAGATGTAATTCCCTGTGATTCAAGTTCCATTTACTGTTAGAGAGACGTTTCAAAAGATAGTGATGGAGGAAAGATCTGGTCATTCTGCTAACAGAGTTGGGGAAGTCCAAACGGGTAATGGTCATAAGCGTGGAAGAAGTGAAGATTCATCCAGCAAAAATGTTAATATAGGTGTGGTGACTGATAAACAAGATCTGTTGTCAAACAAAGCCCAAAAGAAGTGGGGATTTCAAAAATGTGTCAATCTTTCAGCTGTGGATTCCCCATGTTTCAAAGCAACGATGACTGTAGGTGGTGGTCAGATGGGGCTTAAGAGCCCTGATTCTCATGATTCAAACAGATGGAGGCTTCAAGATGCATTAGAGGAAGTGCAAGATCGTGTGAAGAAGATTAAAGATTCGTGGGCAATCACAGGATGCAGCATTTTGTTAGATGCTTGGGTTGACCAGAAAGGCCGCGATCTGGTTGCTTTTGTTGCAGATTGTCCAGCGGGTCCAGTGTATCTGATATCATTTGATGTTTCAGATTTTAAAGACGATATCACTGCCTTACTATCGCTAGTAAATGGGCTTATTGAGGAAGTTGGAGTGCGTAATGTGACTCAAATTATTGCATGTTCAACCTCTGGTTGGGTTGGTGAATTGGGCAAGCTATTTGCAGGTCATGACAGGGAAGTTTTCTGGTCTGTGAGTCTATCCCATTGTTTCGAGCTTATGCTGGTGAAGATTGGGAAAATGCGTTCCTTTGGAGACATACTTGACAAAGTCAATAACATCTGGGAGTTCATCAACAACAATCCCTCGGTTCTGAAAATTTTCAGAGATCACAGTCATGGAATAGACATAACAGTCTCCTCGGAGTTTGAGTTTGTGACGCCATATCTAATTCTAGAGAGTATTTTCAAGGCGAAGAAAAACTTGGCAGCCATGTTTGCTTCATCTAATTGGAATAAAGAAGAGGGCATAACAATATCAAATTTGGTGAATGATTCCTCTTTTTGGGAAACAGTTGGAAGTGTTCTGAAATGCACATCTCCTCTGATTCGCGGTCTGCTCTTGTTTTCAACTGCCAACGATCAGCATCTTGGATATATTTATGACACTGTGGACAGCATAAAGGAGAGTATCGCGAGAGAATTCAATCACAAGCCACAACTTTACAAGCCGTTATGGGATGTTATAGATGATGTTTGGAACAAACATCTTCACAATCCTCTACATGCTGCTGGTTACTTTCTGAACCCGACTGCTTTCTACTCAACTGATTTCCATCTTGATCTAGAAGTTGCCACTGGTCTTATCTCCTCTCTGATTCATATGGTAGAAGATTGTCACGTTCAATATAAAATTTCCGAACAGATTGATATGTACAGACTCGGTAAAGATTGTTTTAACGAGGCGAGTCGAGCTGATCAGATCACTGGAGTCTCTCCAAGTGAGTGAACTTGTTGAATTTCGATATAGTTGTTTTGTTTGCAGACACTTGAGTGGTTGAAGTTGAATCGGTGATCTAAAGGTTCTGTCGTTTTTAAATCTCTTTGCAGCTGAGTGGTGGGCTCATAAGGCGAGCCAGTACCCAGAACTGCAGAGCTTCGCCGTTAAGATTCTGAGCCAGACATGTGAAGGTGCGTCAAAGTACAAGCTGAAGAGAAGCTTAGCAGAGAAGCTATTGCTCACTGAAGGAATGAGCCACAGTGAACAACAGCATCTGGATGAGTTGGTATTCGTTCATTACAATCTTCATCTACAAAGCTGCAAAGCCAAAATAAGTGAAGAGATTGTGGTGCAAGACGTTTATATGGACTGACCCGTTCAGAGTTTAGGTAGTATATTCATTAAAGTTCACACCTTTAGAATCGATACTGGACCAGTATTACTGGTGAATCAAGCAGCTATACTCATCATTTATTCCTGTGTGCTTCAGTGAGAAACATATCATAATCCCCAGAATCTCTGGATTTTTTAGATCCATTCTGAGAAATTTCGGTCGTCTTTTGTAATCACTGAATCGTATGGCTTTGTCTTATATATTAACAAAGTTTGGATTAACTTAGCTTCTTCATTAACTTTTAATTTTTATGGGCCACAACGAGATGATGGCCCAATAGCCCAATTATTAGAATATGAGAAAGAGGGAGACTACAATAAGGAATTGGACCTTCATGTACACAAACACAATTATATACAAGTTCGTCTTCCTCATTCCCTCTCTTTTGGTGGAAGAAGGAGAAACAAGGGTTTCGTTGTTTCCTATTTTCCGACCCGACTTTGTTGACTCAGGTAATTTACTCATCGCCTTCCAAGCAAGCAGCAAACGAGCAATGGGTTTTGTTTTTACTTTTCGGTGGGTTCTTCTGTAAAAAAGTCGTTTGCTTTGATCTTTTTGTGTCACTATGGAGGCGATTCTCTTAAAGATGATGATTCATTTCGATAATTCTTATATGGTCGGTTTTTTGGTCAATTTTAGGGTTTAAAGTTTCGTTTTTTCTTCTGTCCATGAACTTGGAATGATTTCAATTACTCTGATGTCAAGTTAGTGAATTCTGTGTCGAATTAAAGCCTTTCAAATTTTGATTTTGATGTTTGTTTCTCTAATTTTGATATTGGTTTTCTGTGCAGGTAATCTCTGAGTTGTGAGAATCGACAAATGCTTCCAAGTCTGATTCATTATCTGTGTTTTGTCAATTAAAGGAAGCTTTAAAATGTCTGCTACTGTCATTGATATTCATGAGCATGGAATTCGTGTGGACAAGAAGAAATCTCGGGTTAAGTGCAATCACTGTGGGAAAGAAATGAATTCCTTTAATCGTCTTAAATACCACTTGGGTGCTGTTGGTACAGACGTAACTCACTGTGACCAAGTTTCACTTACTCTTAGAGAGACGTTTCGAACTATGCTTATCGAGGAAAAATCTGGTCATACTACTCCTAAGAGAGTTGGGAAATTCCAAATGGGTAATTCTCATAAGCGTCGGAAGAGTGAAGATTCATCAAGCGAAGGTGTTTCTCCTGAGAACGGGAATGTAGCTGTGGAAGCTGACAAACAGAATTTGTTGTCGAACAAAGCCCACAAGTGCATTGGTCGTTTCTTTTATGAACATTGTGTCGACCTTTCAGCTGTGGATTCCCCATGTTTCAAAGAAATGATGATGGCAGTAGGTGGTGGTCAGAAGATCCCTGATTCTCATGATTTAAACGGCTGGATGCTTCAAGAAGCATTGAAGGAAGCGCATGTTTATGTGAAGAAGATTAAAGATTCCTGGAAGATCACCGGGTGCAGCATCTTGTTGGATGCTTGGATTGACCCGAAAGGCCACGATCTGGTTGCCTTTGTTGCAGACTGTCCAGCGGGTCCAGTGTATCTTAAATCCATCGATGTTTCGGTTATAAAAAATGATATCACTGCCTTACTATCGCTAGTAAATGGGCTCGTTGAGGAAGTTGGTGTGCGTAACGTGACTCAAATTATTGCATGTTCGACCTCTGATTGGGTTGGTGAATTGGGGAAGCTTTTTTCGGGTCACGACAGGGAAGTTTTCTGGTCTGTGAGTCTATCCCATTGTTTCGAGCTTATGCTGGTGAACATTCGGAAAACGCGTTCCTTCGGAGACATACTTGATAAGGTCAATACCATTTGGGAGTTCATCAACAACAATCCCTCAGTTTTGAAAATTTTCAGAGATCACAGTCATGGAAAAGACATAACAGTCTCCTCCTCCGAGTTTGAGTTTGTTAGGCCATATCTAATTCTAAAGAGTATTTTCAAGGCGAAGAAATACTTGGCAGCCATGTTTGCTTCATCTGACTGGAATAAAGAAGAGGGCGTAGCAATATCAAATTTGGTGAATGATTCCTCATTTTGGGAAACAGTTGAAAATATTCTGAATTGTACATATCCTCTGATTCACGGTCTGCTCTTGTTTTCAAATGCCGACAACAATCAGCATGTCGGATATATCTATGACACTTTGGACGGCATAAAAGAGAGTATCGCGGAGAAATTCAATCACGAGAAACAACATTACATTACATTATGGGATGTGATAGATGATGTCTGGAACAAGCACCTTCACAATCCTCTTCATGCTGCTGGTTACTATCTGAATCCGACTTCTTTCTACTCAACTGATTTCCATCTTGATCCAGAAGTTTCCAGCGGTCTTACCCACTCTCTGGTTCATGTGGCAAAAGAAGGTCAAATTAAAATTGCCGCACAGCTTGATAGGTACAGACTCGGTAAAGATTGCTTTAATGAGGCCAGTCAACCTGATCAGATCTCTGGAATAATATCTCCAAGTGAGTGAACTTCTTGACTTTCGATATAGTTGTTTTGTTTGTAGAGGTACTTGTGTTGTTGAATCAGTGAGCAAAAGATTTTGTTGTTTTAAAATCTCTTTGCAGTTGATTGGTGGACTGAAAAGGCGAGCCAACACCCAGAGCTGCAGAGTTTCGCCATTAAGATTCTGAGCCAGACATGTGAAGGCGCTTCAAGGTACAAGCTGAAGAGAAGCTTAGCAGAGAAGCTGTTGCTAACTGAAGGAATGAGCCACTGTGAACGAAAGCATCTGGAAGAGTTGGCGTTCGTTCATTACAATCTTCATCTACAAAGCTGCAAAGCCAAACTAAGCGAAGAGCGGTGAAGAGATTGTGATGCAAATGTTTATATGGACTGACCCGTTCAGCTTTTAGTCATTGTGCAGATTTAGTTTTGCAGTTTGTATTTTTTTTGTTCATTACAATCTTCATCAATGCTGGTGAATCGAGCAAATGTATGGAAATGTTGCTGTGCTTATTTTGGTTAATTATAATGAGACTTGTCCTTATAATAAGATGTGCACAGTTTTAGCAGTGTCTTCTCATGCCGTTTCATCTTTTACTTAAACTCCATGTGCTGAGAAAAACCATTGTCAAATCTCCAAATTCTTGCGTTTAGTAGACAACAACATTGGTGTTTTCTTCTAAATGTTATCCTATTTTTATTTATTATGTGAATTGGATCTGTGCAGGGATTATGTAATTTAGATGTTTTGTACTTAGGAGAAGAAAGCTGAAGTACATTTGTTGGAGAAGTTCATCATTTGTTTTATGGTAATAACTGCCAAACTTCTGAGGATGTATGAATCTCAAGTTTTGAAATCTAAGTTAGGATTGCATCTCTGTTTCAGCTGGTCGTTGTGTTATCTCGAACGAGTAACTGATTAACCTGACAAAACCTTTTCAATGTGAACTTTTGACCATGTGATTGGTTTTGCTGTCTGGTGGTTTTGGAAAGGACATGTTGCTGCCCTTATTTTGTGTAATTACAATTAGGTTTGTCCTCATTAGATGTTTATAGGTGTAATTGAACTCTTTTGTACTTGAGAGAAGATGCTGAATTACTAAGTAAGGATTACCATTTCTTCTTCCTTTTCAACTTCTGGATATTGTTTCAGCATCTCCTTACTAGTTAACTGAATGTTCTCAGACGTTCCCATTCTAGAAAAAAATCGAGGGCACATATATGAACCATGTCAGAGATCGTGAACAAACATTGTATTGTTTTCATTTCAGAAACTAACTGTTGAATGAATATAGGAGCTTGCTTGCGTAATTTGTACAAGGCATAGAAAGTTGTCAAGAGTCTACAAGTGGTGAAATTATCAGTTTTAAGATTGTTTAAAGAGTCCAAAGGCATAGAAAACAAGCAGTTCTGAAAACTACCACATTTCTTATCTTTTTTTGACTAATGAGAGAAAGACTAATGTTCATGTAAACACAATTATTTACGGAGTCAAAACAAATTCTTCACTTTCAAACTCAAATTTGAGATACATAATAGAGATTAGAGAAACACGACTTTATGTTAAACAATCATTTTTTCTTCATATAATCAAAATTTAATATTTATTCCAAATAACTAAAAAATCACATTTTCATCTATGAGTTTGTTTATTGTCTACCTAAAACCCCAAAAATTATAATTACATGAATTTAAATTTGTTAAAAACAAAACAATTTGATTGCATTCAACACCATTTCAAAATGTACAAATTACTTGCCGTAAAATACACGCATAGGACGAGGGAAATTACCTAGTAGAAAATTTAAAAGTAAAAAGATTACTTTCCATTAGAAGCCTAATTAATGCATTTCTTATTTTCATTTGACTAATGAGAGAGAGAGAAAAATGTTCAATGTAATCTCATTCAACATAACTTCAAAAAAATTAGAAATGACTTGCCGTAAAATACACGCATAGGACGCGGGAAATTACCTAGTACAAAATTTAAAAATTAGAAGCCTAATTAATGCATTTATTATCTTCATTTGACTAATGAGAGAGAGACTAATGTTCAACATCACTTCAAAAAGTAGAAATAACTTACCGTAAAATACACGCATAGCGCGCGGGAAATTACCTAGTTAAAAAAGTTTAAATTTAAAAGTGAAAGATTACTTTCCATTAGAAGCTTAACAAATGCAACTTCTTATCTTCATTTGACTAATGAGAGAGCGACTAATGTTGATTTAAAAATATCCAACAAAACCACTAATGCTCTCATGTACACACAATTATTTACATCGTCAAAACAAAATTTATCTCTCAACAAGAGTTTGTGACTTTTGATCTCTCTTCCTGGTTTCGTTTCGTTGTGGCCTGTAATCCGACCCGAGGCTTTGACTCCCTTTTGACACAATCACTCTCAGGTTTTTATTCTCTCGTCATGTTCCAATAACAATGAGTTTGTTCTCTCTCTTTTTGTCTTGTTTTCGTGAGTTCTTCTATAAGAAAATTGTTTTCTTTGATCTTATGTGTCATCATAGATGAGCCATGTTTGAATTTATATTGTCGATTTCTTCTTTCTGATATAGTTCTCTCAAAAACAAAAGATTTCGATAATTCTTAAGATAATTTATATGGGTCTGCCTACCATTTCGTTTGACTCTTTTGCTGGTTGTTTGAACATCATGGTCGGTTTTGTCGTCAATGTAGGATATAAAGCTTCGTCAAGTTGAGAAATTCTATGTCAAACTAAAGCCATTCAAATTTTGAATATATATTGGTGCAGGTTAATTTAAGTGAATCTTTCAATGGCTAGCACCATGATGAGTGTTTATGACCATGGAACTTGGGTGGAGGATGGAGCTCGGGTTCAGTGCAAGTATTGCGAAAAGAGAATGACTGACTTTGGTCGTCTCAAGTATCATTTGGGAAATGTCTGTAAAGACGTTACCCCATGCTCACAAGTTCCAGGACCTACTAAAGAGGCGTTTTTTAACATGGTTATGGACCAAAGATATCCTGATCATCGTAAGCGTGGAAGACCCAGCAGAGGTTTTACTGCTTCTGAGATAGCTGCTGAAGCTGACAAACAAGCCCAAATGCTCGTTGCTCGGTTCTTTTATGAACACGGTGTCGACTCCTCAGCTGTGGATTCGACAAGTTTCAAAGAGATGATGATGATGATGACTACAGTAGAAGAAGATGGTGGTGGTGGTGAGAAGATCCCTGACCCTCGTGATTTAAACGGCTGGATGTTTCAAGAAGCATTGAAGAAAGTTCAAGATCGGGTGAAGGATATTAAAGATTCATGGGAGATCACCGGGTGCAGCATCCTCTTGGATACATGGATCGGCCCGAAAGGCCGTGATCTGGTTTCTTTCGTTGTAGACTGTCCAGCTGGGGCAGTGTATCTGAAATCCTCTGATGTTTCTGATATAAAAACCGATGTCACTGCCTTAACATCGCTGGTAAATGGGATCGTTGAGGAAGTTGGAGTGCGTAACGTGACTCAAATCATTGCATGTTCCACCTCTGGTTGGGTTGGTGAACTAGGTAAGCGACTTGCGGGTCAAGTTTTCTGGTCTGTGAGTCTTTCTCATTGCCTAGAGCTTATGCTGGTGGAGATTGGGAAAATGTATTCCTTTGAAGACATACTTGACAAGGTCAATATCATTCGGGAACTGATCAATAGCAATCGCTCGTTTCTGTATTTCTTCAAAGAGAACAGTTATAGAGTCGACGTAACTGCATCCTCCTCAGAGTGCGAGTTTGTTACGCCGTATCTAACTCTAGAGAACATTTTCAGGGTGAAGATGGCAGGGTTGTTTGCTACTCCTGAATGGAAGAAAGAAGAAGGCATAGAAATTTCCACTTTGGTGAATGATTACTCATTTTGGGAATCTCTCGAAAGAGTTGTGAGAAGTACATCTACTCTGGTTCATGTATTGTTGGGGTTTTCAAGTGTCATCAAGAAGCATGTTGGATATACCTATGAACTTATAGAGAGCATCAAGAAGAGCGTCGCGTGGAATTCCAAGAACGAGAAACAGTTTTACCAGCCGGTATGGGATGTGATAGATGATGTGTGGCACAAGCACCTTCGCAGTCCTCTTCATGCTGCTGGTTATTTTCTGAATCCGATGGCTTACTACTCCGATGATTTCCGTACTTATCAAGATGTATACACTGGTCTTGCCTTCTCTCTGGTTCATGTGGTAAAAGAACCTCACCTTCAAGTGAAGATTGCCACACAGCTTGATGAGTATAGACTCGGTAGAAATTGCTTTAAGAAAGCCAGTCAAGCTGATCAGATCAATGAAGTCTCTCCAGGTCAGTGAACTTTCTTGAATAATTTTGATTTAGAATAGTTTTATTTTAAGACTTTTATGTTTTTGAATCTCTTTGTAGTTAATTGGTGGACTCAAAAGGCGAGCCAGTATCCCGAGCTGCAGAGTTTCGCTGTTAAGATTCTGAGCCAGACATGTGAAGGTGCATCAAAGTACAAGCTGAAGAGAAGCTTGGCAGAGAAGCTGTTGCTCACTGAAGGAATGAACCACAGTGAACGAAAGCATCTGGAAGAGTTGGCTTTTGTACATTACAATCTCCAACTACAAAGCTGCAAAGCCAAAGTAAGTGAAGAGCAGTGAAGATTTGTGTTGCAGATGTGACTCCATTGATTGATCACAAACTTTAGACAATCATTGGATCAGAGGACTTTTTACCCAAATAAGTTTCATGTTTCTGTATTCTTGCAAAAATATGAGTTCGTTTAGAATAAAGAACAATCAAGAGATTGTGTTGCAAATGATTTCAGCTTTTGGTCAAGTTTTGTGATTTATATATCCAAATCTTATCTTTTTATCACATTCTGAAATTTGACTATGATCAACTATTTATTTATCTGTAAATAAACAATGATTCCTATAGTCTAATAAGTTCCAAAGTGAAAAGATTTAAGACAAAAACTCGTGGTGATTACACAACACAAAAGTATAGCACCATGATTTTCTGGGAAAGTGATACTTTACTCGTTGGTTTTCAAATTTGGAATATAAAATTGTAAAAAAATCTTGAAGTATCAAAATGTCAACAAAGAAAACAAAACTCAGAAAAAGGAATCAGGCACCAGTCCACTAAGCTCTGACTAGAAAGCGACAAAAAACATGTCTTAGTTGTTGTATAAACATGTGATAATGGGATGCTTCAAGGTTTGGTTTTAAAATGAGTTTGGTTTTTTTTTGCTTCTCTCCTTTTTAGATTTTAAAATCACTTTTTTACTTTGTCATTTTTTGAGGAAAAAGACGTCAAAATCTAAGTGCCCGTGTAAATTGAAACTAGTGTTACAGATTCTCCATTGTTCTGTTCCACAGTATCTTTGTCTTGTACTCTGCCCAATTCTCTAACTCGTTATTTTAATTCACAATAATAAGAAAAATAGAGTCTTCTTTTTGTAGTTAAGCATTAAATGCTGACACATATTTGAGAAGTTTTTGAATTTCAAATTGAGAAACTTTTTCTAAGTTTGGAAAATAAATAAGAGGGTTCTCTGCTCTTGTACTTCTCTATCTAATAAGGCAGAGAGATAGATTTTTTTTTGGGGGAGAATCTAGCAGAAGAAGCCTAGGGTTTGGTTTCTTGAGTCACATAGATCTTCTTCTCTCTTGGATTCTTGAATGCTCACTTTCAGTCATTGGAAAAGCTAGAAAAAGGTTCGCTTTTGTCCCCACTTCTCTTTTCTCTTCTCCTTAGTTTCGAATTTTGGTTACAGAAAATTGACTCTCTCTTTTATTCAAAGTGTAAATCTTTTTTTGACCATTGATTTTGGTATATTCTTTTGTTGAAGCCAATTAGAAAGATTTGTTAGTTCTGAGACCAATTGATCTGTCTTTTAGGGATATGGTCTTTAGCTTTCTTCTTTCTCTATGTCTACTCTTTTCAATGGAAGTTAAAATTGCATCATTTTTTGTATGATTGAATACTTTTTTTTGTAAGCAACAGCATATTCCAAGCTCAATATCTTATCTTTCAGTCAAATTACCACAAGAGAAAGAGAAATTCGACCTTCTGATTACACAAATTCTTTAAAACTCCATCAAATCTTGAATTGCATGTTAAAAAATTGCATCTTTGTTTAAGCTGGTCCTTGTGTTAATCTCGAACGAATAACTGATTAACCTGTCAAAACCTTTCAGTGTGAAATTTTGACCATGTGACTGGTTTTGCTGTCTGGTCGTTTTTGAAACGGACATGTTGCTGTGCTTATTTTGTGTAATTATATTTAGATTTGTCCTTATTAGATGTTCACAGGTGTAACAGTGTCTTCTCGTTTTTGTACTTTGAGTCCATGTGCTGAGAAAAGCTATTGTCAACCTCCAAAATTTGTTTAATGTCTTGTGCTTAGTAGACAACAGCATTGGTCTTTTCCTCTAAATGTTATCTTTATCTCTTTATTATGTGAATATGATTTGTGCAGGGACTATGTAATTTAACTCTTTTGTACTTAAGAGAAGAGGCTGAAGTACATTTGTTGGAGGAGTTCATCATTTGGTTTTATGGTAATAACTGCCAAACTCCAGAGCCTTAAGATGTATGACTCTCAAGTTTTGAAATCTAAGTAAGGATTTACCGATTCTTCTTCTTTTTTCAACTTCCTGATTTTGTCAGCATCTCCCTTACTAGTTGACTGAATTTTCATCAGATACAATCCATTTCTCAGACGTTCGCGTTCTGGAAAGAAATTCCAGGGCACGATAACCATGTCAGAGGTATGAACATTACATTGAATTTATTTTCATTTCAGAAACTAACTGTTGAAGTTCTTGAAAAACATTAAGAGCTTGCTTGCTTAATTTTCACAGGGCATAGAAACTTGCGAAGAATCTACGAGTGGCGAATCTTTTCCATACAGATTTCAACTTGAAGAGGATGTGAGTTTCTGAACTCAATAATAGCAGTGATGTTAATGTGAAATGTTTATAGTTCTGAAAGAAGGTTTATGTTGCAGGTAAAAAGATTGCAACTGCAACTCCAACAAGAAATAGATTTGCATACATTTCTAGAGAGTGTCATGGAGAAAGATCCTTGGGAGCTATCTTATTCTTCTAGTGTTCCACATCCTGTATGTTCCCTCAACTCATGCTATTGTGATTACATTTTAAAACCACCCTTTTGTTTTCACTGATGATTCTGAAAATTGGGCAGGCTCAGGAACTTCTTTCCAATATAGTTACGCTAGAGACTGCAGTCACAAAGCTCGAGCAAGAAATGATGTCACTGAATTTCCAACTTAGCCAAGAGAGAAACGAGAGGAGACTCGCGGAATACCATTTGACACATTCGGCTTCTCCACTAGTATGTATCTCCTTAATTCATCACTGATTTTTTTTTTTTTTTTTTGTAATCTGTGTCAGTGTATAACTATGTCTTAGTTATGCAGAATTCTTCTTCTTCCCTGAGATATTTGAATCAGTCAGATTCTGAATTACATCAATCAGCAGAAGACAGTCCATGTCAAGACCAAACAGCCCAAAACCAAGAATCTTCATCTGAATCATCTCCAGCAGAGTCAACTGTTGAGGTATTAACTGATATTCTTCTTTCTTTTGTACCCTTAGGATGGTTTGTTTAAAAGAAGAGATACAGTTTACATGAAAGAAGAAATGTATCTGACATTTTTGCATACTAAAACAGCAAACACTTGACCCAAGTAATGACTTTCTTGAAAAGAGGCTAATGAGAAAGACAATTGCGAGGAAGCTACCTCGAGGAATGCCACCAAAGCACCTGTGGGATCACCCTAATCTATTGTCTGAAGAAATGGTAAGATGTATGAAGAATATCTTCATGTCTCTTGCTGATCCAACAGCAACTTCAAAAGCATCTTCAAACGAGAGCCACCTCTCACCAGTATCACCTCGCGGGCATCTATCTAGCTCAGCGTCCTGGTGGCCTTCAACAGAACGGTCAATGATCTCCTCATGGGTGCAAAGCCCACAAATAGATATCCAAAATAACGCCAACGTTTTGGCCACGGGAGATGTCTTTGATCCTTATAGAGTTCGTGGGAAGTTAAGCTGGGCGGAGATTGGAAACTATAGTTTGGCATCCGAGGTTTCTTGGATGTCTGTTGGGAAGAAACAGCTGGAATATGCTTCCGGGGCGTTGAGGAAGTTCAGGTAATGGAGTTTCCTTTTTTGTGTTTCTATCCGATTGAACTGTAAGACTCAAATTACATGACCATGGTTGATTCTGTGAACAGGACACTGGTTGAGCAATTGGCTAGAGTAAATCCTATTCATTTGAGTTGCAACGAGAAGCTAGCTTTCTGGATTAACCTTTATAATGCGTTGATCATGCATGTAAGTTCCTTTTTTCCCCTATACTTATCAAGAACCATTCTGAATGAAATGAAAGCTTATGAGAGTTATGGTCGTTTATGTGAACAAAGGCTTATTTGGCTTATGGCGTCCCAAAAAGCGACCTGAAGCTTTTCTCGTTGATGCAAAAGGTTATATCACTTGACAGAAGTTCTGTTTTGTTCTTCTCATTTCTTTGTTGCCTTATTTGATTCCTTTGTGCTGGCTTCACAGGCGGCCTATACAGTTGGAGGGCACTCATATACTGCGGCGACAATGGAATATGTGATACTGAAGATGAAACCGCCTATGCACAGGCCACAAATTGTATGAGCTTTGAACCCAACTTCATCTGTGGGGCTCTTTCGTTCTCTTTCAGAATCAGTTAAAACAATTTACTCTGCTTTCTGATGCAGGCTCTGCTTCTTGCCATCCACAAGATGAAAGTATCAGAAGAACAGCGCAGGGCAAGCATTGATACACATGAACCTCTTCTAGGCTTTGCTCTAAGCTGTGGAATGTACTCTTCACCTGCGGTAACTAACTAAGTAACATACTGCGTTCCCAAAAGTCATAACCAGTCATTTCCTTAACACGAAGAGGTGTTGCAGGTGAGGATCTACACAGCAAAAGGAGTGAAAGAAGAGCTGCTAGAAGCACAAAGGGACTTCATACAAGCATCAGTAGGGCTGAGCAGCAAAGGGAAGCTCTTATTACCCAAAATGCTCCATTGTTACGCCAAGAGTTTGGTGGAGGATTCGAACTTGGGGGTCTGGATATCGAGGTACCTTCCTCCACATCAAGCAGCTTTTGTGGAGCAATGCATCTCTCAGAGAAGACAAAGCCTTCTCGCTTCTCGGAACTGCGGAATACTCCCCTTCGATTCTCGTTTCAGATACCTGTTTCTCCCCGATGACAACGTCTCGTTGTAATGACATTTTGAAAACTCTGTTCCGTTTGTAAAAAGCTTTAACCGACTTCATAAGAACCAACAGTGGGAGGAGGCTGTTTCATGATCATGATTACTATTATAGCTTTCAGCTTTATAGTGTACATGTTATTCAGGGATATGCGTATTAATTTTGATCTCAATGTCTTATCGAAAAGGCTTCCAAGATACTTGATAACACTGTTTATGAATCCGGACCACCCAGCAGTTTTGCAAATTTAAAGAACTTTGAATTTTCATAATTTTGTTCAGAAAGACATAAATTAGGCTTTGTAATTTGAGACAAGTCATCTATTCAAGTGTGAGAAGTCTCAACATATTTTGATCATATCGACGTTTTTGTAGCTTGTGTTGCTGATCAGATTTCTACAACTAAAATCTTTACCGCATAAATTTTAAAGTAACCATGGTCGACCACAGCCAATCAGCTCCTTAGTCTTTTGACATGTTCTCGAGATATTTCTGCAGCTTTTTCCTGAACCGAGGATTCTTTTGTTTATGTCTCTTCCTACACAACTACAATAGGTCCCGAAACTTCAGACTTAGCCAAAGTATGATGTCGTTTCACCTTCTGTGAGCTCCTCTCACGGTTGTATGCTTCAACCTACACCATGAAAACAAAGCACAACAAAATCGAATCCTTAAATCAAAAGAAATCAATCCAAAAAGGAAACGCTCCGGACAACGAAACCGTACTGCTTCTCTAATTATCTTAGTTGTTGCAGCAGCTCTTGAGGAAGCAAGACGCAGGCAATGAAGGATTACACTCTGGTTCACACCTTCTTCTCCCGGTTTTTGGATTGCGCATATATCGCCATTGGCATTGACTGTCACAGTCATTCTCCCACACATAACAGCTTCTTCAACATAAGTTGGGTCCATCACCTGCATAAGAATACAACACACTTCTAATCTCAGAAGCAAACAAAAAAAGTAAACTAAATTATCAATAAACGAAACACAATTCTTTTACCAAGATACTGCCTTTATTAAAAAATCCAAACGTGAAGGCTATTGGGAGATGATGTATTATCAATGGAAGTGGTTCCCTTTCCTGCAAAAGAAACCAAATATAGTACAAACAGTTGAAGTTGAGAACTTCCTCCTCTCTAGTTATTAAGTTCATCAACTAAACTGAAAAATATTAATTACTAACTTCGGGTGGATGTATGATCACTTCTTGACTGTTCTCCCCTCCTACAGTGCAATCAGGTCTCCTGAATGTCAAGAGTGCAGCTAAAGCAGCAATATTTGCAGCATCAACCAAGTTCCTGTAAGAGGAGTGAGCAATAAAAGATCATTCTTACAACAAGAACCTTGGATAAACATGAAGAAGAAATGCAGCCAATTAAACCTACCCTCCGTTGTCCAAAATGTGAAGATCAATGCGAACAGACCAGACCAGCTTTCCGGCTAGAACACAGAGCGACTCTGTATCTACTGCACGGCTTTCTCTGCAACCATCAACACAAAGACCAATCAATCCAGCCACAACATTCAAAAGTTTTCATTTGTAGCATCAATAGAGATTAATCTAAAAGAGAGGTTTTTACCTTAGAGCACGGTCTATAATACGGCCCAGCTCAACAGCAGATTCACCAGGATGACCTGGCTCAAACGATGGATCAGCCATTGGAGAAAACTCCGTGAAGATAGAGAAGGAGCCTTCATTAGGTCTGTCTTTGTAAGGTTGTACTAGCTGAGCAGTCACAAAAGCCATTACATGAGTCTGACCCAGTTGAACTTCTGAGCTACCAGATTCCCTATTAAAAAAGCTCACACAGATTAAAATCAATCTTCAGTTAACAACATTACAAAACCAGAGATCAAAAGTACAAGGAAGGAAAGAAAAGCATGCTGGTACTCATTCTTACACCCAAATGCGTTATCAAGTGAAAACCAGATCATAAATCAATCACATGAGAAAGCCAATTACATTCAAAAACTGAAGCTTTAAAGCTAAACAATATCAATATATAGGAGAAGAACTTACTTGCCAAACTTAATAGTAAGCTTGCGGTAATCATAAAGGCCACGACCATCGACTCTGAGCTCAGATTGCAACGCAGATTCCACGAATTTACTCTCATTCACAGTCAACCTCCACATATTATTCAACCTCCCCTCCATTGTTTGCTAGTGAGCTACTACCACAAACTGATGAGAAACAAAACAAGATAAAAATCAAAACTTTAAGAATATAAAAAGCCTAGAATCAAAATTAGCAGCTTTCAGAGGGAGCTAAACAACTAACCTTCCGTTAGCCTCTCAACGAGTAGCAGCGGGAAAGAGAAAGCTAGGGTTTTGTGGCGCCAGGATTTTGGCAGCGAATTTTCAATTTAACCCCTCGTCTTTTCAGTATTTGTCTTAGGCACCAATTTCCATTTATCTCTTTTTGTATATATTTTATTTTCTTTTAATAAATTCTGCTATTAAATTTGAATTAAGTTTGAGAATTACCAAAAAGAAAGAAAGTAATAAATAATCACTGATAGAAATCACAAAATCTTTGACTAGTTCATTTTCTATTTAACGTATCTATGATTGGTCTATAGCGAATATTCTGGTTTTTAAAAAGGTATTTTAATAAATACACTATCAAATACCGGATTTTTCTATCAATTAATAATTACAAAATCAAAATTTTCAAAAATATATGAAATCGGAAAGCGGTTAATAGAAGAGTCCTTCTATATATTCCGTCGTCGTCGTCGTCGTCAAATCAAGCTTCTTCTTTGGCATCTTCTTCTGGTTCCTTTCCAATCGTAAGTTTACTCTTTAATCTTATACATTACATCATTTTCACTTATACTCTCTCGCCTCTTCTAGGTCTAGAAGAATCTTACTATTTTTGTTCATTTCTCTGTCGAAAAATCTCAACTTTATGATCCTAATCGATGGTTTTTCGTTAGTTTTAGGTTGTGTAAAATGGGTTCTAGTGATTTAATCAGCAATCTGCCTGATGAGATTCTCGGCAAAGTCTTGTCATTTCTTTACTCATATCGTGTTGCTGTTTCCACATCGGTTCTTTCCAAGAGATGGAGGAATCTGTATTTGCTTATAGACGGACTTTATTTGAATGACGCACAAGGCGATCCTCAACACTTCTGTGATTTCGTGGAAGACACGCTTGAACTCTTGAGCGATTCCACCACCCTCAAGAGTTTCTCTCTGTATTGTGCATTTACGCATGACTCTTCTGAGATGGGCCAATGTATTGACACTGTCCTCGAGCGCGGCTTCTTGGAACTTAACTTGTTGTTCGAAGATACGCATTGTATGGACGTTGAGTCCTTCACTAGCAACACACTGGTTAAGCTCTCATTATGCGATTTTTACCTTGAGTTTGAACCTCCTCCTGGGGGCGTGTTTTTCCCAAAGCTCAAAAAACTTTCTCTAGTTCAAGTGGAGTTTACAAGTCATGAGATTTACGATGCTTTCATCTCTGGCTGCCCTGTGCTTGAGGAATTCTTCCTACATAATCATGATGATTACATCAATTTCCCGGCTTGGAATGGGACCGTGGAGAGTCTTTCCATCAAACGACTGACCATCTCTTATCATTGGCCCCATTACCCTAAGGGTCACAAGGGTTTTTGTTTGTTTGATACACCCAATCTTGTGTACCTTGACTATTCTAGTTATGCCGCAGAAGGTTATGAGGTTAAATTGGGTTCCCTTGTAGAAGCTACACTCGATATTCACTCATGGGAGCGACTTCCAGATGACTATTATTATTATGAGGATGGTGGTACAGTGGATATTGTTGGTGATGTTACTAATCTGGTTGCAGGGATAAGCAATGTTAAAACCCTTCACTTGTCCGCTGATTCTCTTGAGGTTAGTCTTCTTCTTCTATTGGTTTATTCAATTTGAAGTGCAAGCTAGTTAGCAGAGTCTCATTTTGTGTATATTTTTGCTTTGGTTGTGACAATAAATCCAGGTATTTCACTCGTGCTGTAAATCAATCCCGGTGTTTCCCAACCTAGTTACTTTATCTTTTGAGAGTGACAAAGAAAGAGGCTGGCAAGCAGTGCCACTTCTCCTCAACAGCTCTCCAAATCTAGAAACTTTAGTCATCAAGGTATCATCAATGTCGTTCGATCAACACACACTTGTGTTTCTTTGCTAAAGTTATTTTTGCCATGAATTTGCTTGTGCCTTACTCTTTTCTTTGCTTTAATATTGTACATGAATCTCCTTTTGCTTTCAGGGTCTTGTGCATGAAGTTACAGAAAAATGTGGGGACGCCTGCGCTTGCATCCCTAAGAGGGATAAGAGGAAGAGGAAGAGGACGAAGACGGAAAAGGGAGTATGCTGTTTATCGACATGTCAAGTGAAGGTGCTAAATATTTCAGGGTATCAAGGTAGTTGTGGAGAGCTGAAACAGATGAGGCATTTCTTGGGAAATTTGAAATGTCTTGAAACTGTCAAGGTTGATGTTGAAGTGGATCAAGGCAAGGATGTTAAAAGGTACATGAGAATCACCAATGCTCTTATGAAGCTTCCCAGAGTTTCATCAAACTGTCAGATCCATGTCTAGTGAATTTTCTTTACTCTTGTAGAATCACCATGGAAAGTCTAGTACTTTAGCTTTGCAGTGTTTTTTTGTTAATTTCATTGGCTTTCGCCGTAGTAAGATCATTTCTATATACAGTATTTTGAGTTCTTTGCCTAATGACTCCAAAATGCTTCTGGGTCTTGGTTTCGTTCAATTGGATATACTCTACTATTCTAGTTGAGTAAAGATTGAAAACTTGCATTTTTAGTCTAATATATATAATGATTGAAAATCAGGAATTTATTAGCTTCTAGCTTTGCCAAAAATACTACATATACAATACGAAGGGATCAAAGAGTAAATTAAGATCCAATTCAGTAGTCGAATTCAATAGGATTCAATGAACAGAATCACCAAAAATTGAATCAAAATCACAGTTCACATATACACATGTCTATACCTTAGAATACATGTAAGAAAAAATATCTATGTACCTCCTCGTCGAACCTAAATTAGCAGTTGTGGTCTGCTCATTTTCCCATGAGCTCTCCTAAACTAGCTTCTTGAATCTCCAAATTAATCAACCAAAAAATATCTCATTCTTTCTTGATTCACCTGCCATTTGCATCGTTACTTCTGGCACGAACCCTTGACCCCATAGATTGAGAAGATAACATGTCTCTGTTAATCAGTCAGGAGTGGAGGTTGTTGCATCAGCAGCTCTCTGCCGCACCATCTCCATCACCGCTGCTCTGCGTCTTGAATCTGCCTGTTGCTGCTTTCTACTAAAATGAGCTCTCAACTCTCTGCAAACAAAAACATGTCAGATCATTATTAAACACCAACTTCTTGAACTAATCTATTCTGATCATGGAAAATTTGCTTTCTAAGTAGTTAGTTTACGTACCTGCATTTGGGGACTTTGCATTGGGGATCTCTGCAGTTTCGAGAGTGCATTCGGAAGAGGGCCCACATTTTCTTACAATGGCTGCAACCTCTGGTCTTGCAGGCAAGACCATGCCTAATGAGACCCTTAATCGCGCGACACCTTGGATACTGGCACTGTGCAGTGCAGCATGCCATTACGTGTAGCAGCAGCTCTCTTAACTGCAGTACCAACAAGCCAAACCGTAGTTAGCAATAAGGAAAAGAGAAGCCAAGGGATGCAAACTCGATTTTCTAAACATAGGTAAACCGACACTTATCTAGCTACAAAATATTTTGAAAGGAATTTTGGTAAATCCTACAAGGAGTTGAGCCTATCTATCTTTCCAGCTTTGATTTAGTGAATAATTATGTATGCATATGGACGTCAATTCTGTGATCAAAGCTAAAACCAATGAAAGAAAAGGAATACCTGGGCAGTCTGAATTTGATTAGTTTGTGTGTTCTGTACAACAGAATCTGTCGCAGATGGACGGCCAATGAGGCTATGTGGATGGTTGATACCTTTTGAGTAGCAAGCATTGCAAACTTCATAGTCAGGGCAAACTTCGCAACGCAAACCTTGAGCAGTTTCAAGTTCTTGCTGGCAGATGGCACATGCCGTTGCAAATGCAGGGACGGTTGGGTTGTGAAGATGATAGAGAATCATCATAGAAGAATGTTTTGCACGTCTTAGTGTGTCATACTGATAGTGATTACCTTGGCAAAGACTCAGGAAAGCTTGCCTAGTATCAAAGAACTCGCTCTCGAGGATGGCATCATTGTCCTTAATTTCAGTAGGAATGTCGTCAATGGCAACCTGCAGAGACCAAAACCTTGTCATTTTCCAACCCAACGAGGAAAACGAAAAAAATTAGAGCCCTATCGCGGTAGAAACTTACAGGATAGAGTACATGCTTCTCCTTCTGATTGACGGGATGTTTTTCCTTTTCCACTCGGTTCTCTTCCACTTCATGACACCTGTGGTAAAAGAAAGCTTGAGAGATACAGCCAAAGAATGTATACATACTTCACAGGCACACCTGTCAAACTAACCTAACAAATTCAGAATACACCAAGTGCTTAAAAGCTAACACTGTCTAGCTCTCATTTTAAAACTAGACAGCCCCTCCCGCAATCGTACTAGAATACTGCTTTTTAGTTCAGTGAAGAAATTTCTTTTTGCTGGGTATTTCAAGAGACTATTGGAAATTCTGAATTTATATCGCATCCAAATATAGTTGATTTAAATAAACTATACAAGTATCATATAAACAAAGTGAGCCGATAAGTGTAACTTACTTGTCACAAATCTGAAAATTCTTACACTGGTTGCACACCCAACGATTTCCAGATACCATGAGAGTGCAACAATGCTTACAACAATGTTGCAAATGAACCATGATGAAATCTTCCTTCATTGGGAGGATGATCTCACCCAGCTATAGAGTAACAATCAAAAGTTAGGGGGTTGATATTATCACTTTCTTCAACAAAGGCATGAAGAAAAGGCTAGATTATCAGTGAAACAATGTTAACAAATAAAGAGAAAACTTAAAGGAAAAGAAGTTACTTTATGCATCAGCAGGAGATCCTTCGAGGCATTAACAGAAAGGTCCAACTGACCTACTGCTTTTAGAGCCCTTTTCGATATGACCTTTTTGGGCATTAGTTTTCTATTTGACTTTTTGCCATCCTCTTCTTGGCTCATTTGATCTATTAAATCCTCAGCAGCACCTGGCCAGTAGTCGCCATCAAAATATGGCAACCTTGCTGCTGTTACCTTAGCTCTACATTCACCAGACTGGACGAAAAAATGGTCATAGAAGTTTGTACACTCAACGACCACTTTTTCCTTAGAAGCTTTCTTTAGCATTGCTAGATACCTGAAAAGGAAGGAGTATTATGCATCATTATATGCAATATTCTCTCTTACACGTGAAAAACAAGTATTACAAGAAAATATTTATTCCATACCATTCCCTTAGTTTGTCAGTCTTTGGCGTTTTCTGAATTTCAGGATGGCAATATAGAATATAATCTTCACCCTTAAGAGGGGGGCATGCCCATATATAGCAGCTTGAAAACCCACGTTTCTTACAGTAATCAAGGTAACCAATCTGCAATCCGAAAAACCCATTGTTAATAAGAATTGGGAAGCAACACAGGTGCCTGAGAGCAACCAGGATCAAAAGAAAAGCGGCTTACCAGAATTTCATGGTATACGAACGTACGGAGGGCCTCTCCAGATACTGTTTTAACGTCAGGTCTGAAGTACTTAACTGAGTCCAGATAGGAAAGGTATACCCGGCGCTGATTGGGAGACGCAGAATCTGTTCCAAATTCCTGGACATACATGCCAAATAAGCATACTTCAACACCTTCAATCTTCTGAAACAACAGAATGGCCTGAAAATATATATATATAGATTTGTTAGTAAGGAAGTTGATAGTCAACAGGCATCATGTAGTAGAAGGTAGAAAACAGAAAGAAGGAAAAAAAAGAACCAAGCATACACATACCTTAGACTTATAAGGGAATTCTGATGAGTAATTATCTTCTCGGAAAATGTCAAGGAAACGTGGCTTTACTTCTAATATTTTGTCGACAGATGCCACAACTCTGATAACAAGCGAGTCAGCTCCCGGGACCTGATATATCAACAAAGAAGGAGATTTGATCGTATCTTATTAGCCCTAGCCTTAGCTTTATTAAAGGAAAGAGCATTATAAGAAACAAGGCATCAAGCATGTAGGTGAATTTTCTAACAATAAACTAGGTTTGTATCTTTCTGTATGCCATTCTCCAGTGTGTAAACCTCATAAGTCATCTCCAAAAAATCAACATAATATGGTTAAATGTGGCAGAAAACACAGCCAGCGGTCACGACAGAGATATACAGTGGGAAATAAGCCCAAGATTTATTGGAAAAGTTAATAATCACCTCCTCGTAGCTTTTTCCTTGAAGTCTAGCCCTCTCTTGTCTTTCCTGCTTCAATTTCTTGAACAACCGCTGTTCTAAATGGTTGCTAAGAGTACTGGCTGGCAAACTTTTAGCACCCAGAATAACACTTTGTGATACCGGTTTCCTTTCTCCTTGTTCCACTTCTTGTATATAGCAATTAGGGCAAGTGTACTCGGCTTGCCCATGATTCCTACGGCCGTTGAACAAAGCACAAATTTGATGCTGCCATGCTTGACATTTATCACATTGCACCCACTGCACAGAATTAATGGTTCAGAAAAAAAGAGTAGAGCAGCTAATATATAATCCCTATAAAACAATTGCAGAACTTCAATAACTGAAGAGGCGTACCGATTCTTCAACCTCTTCATCATTTTTCTTTTTCTCAAACCTTGACTTCGGTACAGAAGCACCATCAACAGAAACAGTGTTTGCACGCGCTTCGTTGTAACAAGGAATACAGACATAATGCCGTGACTCACCAGCCACTACCGTATAGTGCATAGCGTTTCTCTTGACACGTGCCCCACAAGGTGTGCAGTAAATAGGTGTTGGCTCAAATGCAAGCCTCTCAACAGCACATAACTGGCAAGAATTCTCAGACATGGAGAGTCCCATTGCTTTATTTTTTTCTGCCTTGGTTTTACTCTGAAATAAAATTACAAAGAAAGAATAACTGGCATTAACAGCTGTTGACGGCCATGTGCAACTAAGTTTTTTCATAAACAAAAAGGTACGCAGAAAGAGATAGAAAGATTCAAACAACACCAAATAGACCTAATAAGGAAAGAGGAAACTGCCAGGATAAATTGAATATCTTTCTAGGTCGCCCAATCTTTCATCTTAAACAAGATTTGCATCTAAAACTTTGTTAGCTTACCTGGCCTACCCACTGACGAAGACCGCGGATATGCTCCTCTACTTGCTCTGGAGTGAACAACTCAATCAGTGAGACTCCTTTGATCTTTGACTTTCCGCTATTAGACGCAGATACAACGCCCAAAGACTGTTCCGCATTCTCTTCTTTGGGTGCGCTTATTTCAGTCATACGCTTTGGTTTTTCTTGTTTTGATAAACGAACAGTTTCACCATCTAATGCAGATTCTCCACTATGTCTCCCCATGGGAGTATCTTTGTAAACAGGCTTCTCCAGCTCACGGGAAGCTGGAACAAGCCTTCTTGAAGAATCAGAACTACCTGCATTCATAGGCACATTTGATCTGACAGGTTTGCAAACATCACTTTGTAGCCTATCTTTCTCTTGCAAACCCATTGAAAAATGAGCTTGACTAACACCAGCAGATATTGTCACTGAGATGCCCTGTGTGTCAGGATAAGCAAATTGGGAGGGTTTCTCTACTTTCTGGCGCTTCGGAGAAGGTTGCAAATCATCAACAACAAATGGAGCTTCAGAGTCTTTTTCACTAGAAGTACGCATAGACTCGAAGGATTCCTTGGGTCCATGGTTTAAACTAGCTGGGCTAGGCTCAGCTCTTTTGAGGAAGGTAAATTTTTCTTTTTGTTTCTCCTTGAAGTTTTTGACAAAAACACAGACTGGACATGCTTCATTCCCGCAGTGCTTGTAATGATGAATCAATTGTCGGGTTTGACGACAATATTGATATGCGCAAGCAGGAGCCTTGCAGTAATTGATATGTTTCAACAGCGTTTTGGCTGTAAAACAATACTTGCTTTCACAGTTATCTTCTGCAGCATTGCATTTTCGTACATGTAGCAGGAACAAAAGCCACCGCCTCTGATTTTTGTAACTTAGACCACAATCTCCATTCAGCTGTTTACTCAAGGCATTGTTTCCTACTGGGAGATGTGGAACCTCCAAGGTGCCTCTAGGAGCAACAGTTTGGCAGTTTGTAGACTCTCTTACAGACGAACTATTATTAGTACCTTCATGCTGCATATGAAATCTTACCCCAAGATGCTCTCTCTCTTCATTAGAACTTTGTAATATTGGTGTCAAGTTCTGCGAAGATGAATGCCACTGACCCAGACCTGATACTGGCTGCACTCCAGCTGAGAGGTTGCTCGAATCTTTCCATTGTGATACCTGCTGTGTCTGATGAGTTTGTGGTGGGAAAGATGGAGACATCTTTAGCTGGCTACTAGAAAGGGGTGCACTCTGAGCACCAACATACTCGTCCTTCACAGCATTATGCTTGTATTGGTTTTGCGGCTTGGATGGTTCTCCTTTATTTATAGCCTGCATCTGAAAAGCTTCGTTGTAGTATTCCACGCGAGGTTCATTCTTAACTTGACTAACTAAATTTGAAGCTAGCTGAGATTGACGATAGCCATCATTGTTCAGTAAGAGCTCTTGCTGCTGGTATTGACCATGATGACCTTGTTGGTTGAATTGACGTTCTAATGGTCGACGACTCACCTGAGCCAAATTTTCTTTGGAATTGGAAGAAGATTGGAAATTCCCATTCTCGAACTGATGATGTAGTTGAGGCTTTAGCAATGGATTGTTTTGCAGGCTTGACTGACTACCGAATGAAGCATCAACTCTCCGCATAGAATTCAGGCTCATGGAATTCATATCCACAGCAGTTTCCATTGAGCCCGATGATGTTAGACCTCCATAGAGATTCCCAGACCCAAAAGTACCAGAGTTACTCATTGAGTATCCTTCACATGATGAAAACAACTTTGAATTAGCATACCACTATGAGTTACATACTCGTCAGAAGGATAACGCGAAGGAAGACGAACAAGAGAGCATTGATATTTAAACTGCATTAGATAAAAGGAAAATTAGAGAGATTTACTGTTCACATGTGACACCTGCAACTGATCGACAGGCTGCTGCAAGGGTTGGGATAACGTTGAATAATGCGTAGAGGTGAGGACCCCTTCAGAACTCCTGGGCCCATTAGCAAGGTTTACATTGTTCCCGCTCATCCCTACACCAGCATTTAGCGGAATATTGGTCATCCCAGATGTATTCTGGTGAATATTTGACCTGAAACCACCTCCCAACTGGTGATCAAGGTTGTAAAGCATACGGTCATTTGAACCAGTAGGACGTTGCTTCTGCAGCTGAGATGGATTTCCAAAGTCAGACCCAGCAGCCAGAAGCTTGCCACCATCTCCAGAATATTCTTCATTTCGATGAGACTGATATACATCAGCATTAGCACTATTGTCAAATCCAGGAGTAGGAATCATCTGGCCAACCGTAGATAATTGCTGGCGACTATTATTTATTGAACCTGTCGAAATATAGTGTATGAATAAAAGAATCGGGACAGACTTTTTGACTCTTTGTAGTGTCAAACTCAAAGGTATACAGTAGAATCTAACATCAAATCTGACTAATACTACCTCTGTTCATGTGATTAGTTTGCAATAGTCTTCCGGTTTCGATTGTTGCATCTGATAAGTTATTACTACTATTGAATGTGCTTGTATCCACCATAGGGGTGGCCGTATAACTTTGATTCCATCCATGTGAAACCCCAGGTGTCTGAACCATCGTACTGACCGAGCTTGAAGGATTAGCACGGCGTTGACTAAGAAGTTGTTTCAGATTAGATTCAATGCGAACGTCGAAACTTCGGAAATCTAAGTAATCCTCCTGCCAAAAGAAATTACCATCAAGAACAATGACCACCTGTGCAACACTAAAGCTTCCCAAGTACTACTTAGCTGGGATATATATAACAAACTGTAAGCAATGAGAAGATCGAAATGGGAAGAACCTTTGACTTAGCCGTTCTCAACATTGCACTCTCTAACCGTTTTGCAACCTCAATTAACTTTGCCTTGGAGGCATCATCAGTCTTTGAAGGCTGCCTCTGCTGTAACCAAGCGTAGCTGGAGAGAATGAGGAATAATGCATAACAATCAAATAAATAAGAGTGTTTCCCATTTACATAAACTTTACAAAACAAGAGATCACCTCAACAATCAAATAAATAAGAGTATTGTTAATGCAGTAGCATCACAAATTCCCTTAAAAGTAAAGACCATAAGACTTGCCAGGAAATCAGGAATCCAAGAGATTGTCAATGAGAGAAGAAATTAAACTACGTAAGCAACTAGAACCAGCAAAAAGTATTTCAGTGGTACATGCACTATAACATAACCACATACACAATGGAACATACAACAAGTAAGAGTCAAGCATAAGCAAGTAAAGTGAAAACAGAGAAACAATCTTACATTCTGTTGAGCATATCCTGTCGTAATAAGAGATTATCACGAGATATGCCATTGACCATATTAGGCTGAGAAGAAACACTAGAAGCAGAAGCAGCAACAGAATTCTGCATCTGTCCTGGCTGAAGAACAGTCCTATTCTGCCCCTGAGCCATTCTCAATTTGATTCAAACACTTGCAACAGAAGAATGTGTACGGAGCTAAATGCCCCGCCAAAGAACGATCATCCACAATAAGCTTCACAGTCTACAATTAAAAAAAAAAAAAAGACACAGATTTGAGCTCGCAGATGCAGTAAATAAGCAGAGAGAAATACAGAACAAATACACACAAGACGTGAATTACACCAAGTTAAAAATTGAAACTTTTATTCAAAGTATCCATTGCCCGGATTCGCGAAACCATCCAACTAAATCAAATTGGGGGAAAATTGGTAATTTCAACACAAACCCTAGCTCGAGATCGAAACCAATTAACGGATGGACCAATACAATTGAAAAAAAAAAAAACCTAAACCTGAAATTTGGGGGAAATCAGCAATTCCAATCCGAAAAGGGCAATTCGCAATAACACGACGGAGAATAAGATCAAAGCCGGAAAAATCGATGCCGAAAAAGGAAACAAACGGCGAGAGACAAAAGAAGGACGACGACGGAGAAGGGGAAAGGTCGGTGCGCGTAGGATAATGACGGGGTTAAACAAAATATCCTTTTTTGGTGCGAAAAGCCGATATTTATTTTTTTACCGACCAATTCATAAATTCATGATTTATGGCAAAATATATAAACAGAATAAGAAAGGAAAAGGAAATATTAAAATCCAACGGACAGAACACAACACAACACCCGGAGCTTTTTACCCAATCAAATAAATATTCAGACCGAAGAAGCCTTTAAATTTATTTTTTCTCTCTCTTCCACAAAGTCAATCACATAGAAGAAAAAAAAAAAAGCAGAAAAGCCAAGTGGAAATTACTTATTATGGTATGCGTGACTTTCCCATTGAGAGGAAATTTTCAAGATTTTTTCCTTTTCTATTTTGATAATAATAGGGAAATCTACTTTAGTAATTTTGGATTATTTCTTTAGAGACGACGACCTGCCTTTTCTGATTATAACGTAAATAAAAATCAGTTGCACTAAAAAAAAAAACATATAAAATCTTATCAAAAGAGATTATAAATTTAATGATTTTTTGTTTTCTTATTATTTTAAAAGTTTTATAAAATCATATCAAGTTAAACAAATATATGATCTTTAACAAAAAACAAAAAACAAATATATGATTGGATTGCTATTACTCATAGCAATTTCTTCCGATGACTTCTCTTTTGGCTATGTTATTATTATATACGTGATCCATATGATGGTATAACAGTTTACATAAGAGGGTTGAATAAATGTTTTTAATCATTAATATGATTCTTATACATAGTGATTCCATGCAGGGCTTGGGATGCCAATGTTGGTCAATTGGCTCTCTGAGCTTCCTTCTCCATAACTCTCTGATTTTTCGACCTTTTTTGTGAGTTGACTTAGCAAAGTTCGGAGAATCATTTGATCAGGGGAAGCATTAAACAACGAACTGGAGTTTTTGGAGACTAAACCGGATTGGTTGGTTTGGTTCTCTGACAAATTATTGGAGAAGCAGGGTACATGCTGATTGATGATGTGATGATCGAAGTTAATGTAAGAGTCCATGAATGCAGTAGCTGTTTCATTAGAGCAGCTTTTTGTGTTGTCGTCTCTATCAGCTCCGTTGCTGTTCTTGTGGAAAACTCTACATAATACCCACTCTTCCTGTTTTAATTTGTCCCAATAAAACAAATTTGTCAAAATTATGGTTAAGAGTAGATATGTACACCAAGTCAAATATCATTTTGAATCAGTCGCAAATAAATCTTTGTAAAATCGTCAGCAAAATCCTACAAAGACATTTAACATTCAGGTTGAATGTGAAAGAAAGATAAAGTCAAAACTTTTGCCTTAAGTCATGGGATAATAATAATCATAATATGATTGCGACATCTCCAGCCGTTTGCTTGATACATGCTTAATTTGATATTTATATCCAAAACACACATACTATGTTTTAAAACATAAATAACTGAACCTCTGAGTGTATCATGATCATATGAACCTCAAAACATCTAAGAAAGAGTATAATTAATTAGCCAATATACGTATAATGTAATACTACCTTGGTTCCAATATAAATGTTGTTTTGATTTTTCTATGCAACTTAAAAATAAATCAATTGTTCTATTATATATCGAAAAAGAATTTTGACTTTTGAATTTCAACTATTTTCACATTTCTTGTTAATACTACGTAAAAGAAAATTATATATTTTATGTAAGTTAGAGTAAATTCCAAAACCCAAAAAAACATTTGATTAGAAGAGTGAATAATACCTTGAGAGAATTAGAAGAGTGGTGAAGAAGTGTTCCTTGGAGACGAAACTCATGCATGACCCAATCGGTTTTACGACCTTTAGGGGCTCGACCTCGGTAAAACACAAGTGTCTTTCTCATACCCACAAGACTACCATTTCTTTGGATTGCTCTATCTTTTCCGGTGGCTTTCCAATAACCGGTGGCCGTAGCCCGGTTTGTTCTGTGGCCTGTTGTGTATTTCCGATCTTTTTGGCTGTAAAAATACCATTCTTTCCCTCCCACTCTCGCCGTTTCTGAAAATGACCTTTTTATATACTATCGAACTTAACTATTGATAACAAGTTAGTTAGGCGTGGAATGTTTTTCTTGTCTGTTAATGGCGTTGAATTTTCTTTCTTATTAGTATGTCACATACATTAAATCATTAATGGATTTTAGTTTTAAATTAAGGGAGGGGGTATTTTCTCCAATATATTTTGGAAACTTGATGATAAGATCAATATAAAAAGAGAATTCTCTTCAGAATTGTCTTTATCTTAATGACATATTCAATAATAGCCAAATGATTTCTATCCGTATCATATCCTAACCAACCAGGTTCCTAATTACCAAGCATCGAATAGGCATTCAACACGTCTGCAAGATTAGGATGATTTGTTCTTTCATTATGTAAACTGACAGTATCATTTTAGTCTTAAAATAAACGTAATATATGCGTCTAATGATGAATGTGAAACTAAGCATTAATAATTAAGCAGTTAAATTGGTCTTTTCACGATAAATTAGTAAGAAACAAAATACTAATTTGCAGGTGGCTCTCAAGTATAATTTTTTTTTTTTCTCAATCATCTTGTACTTGATATATAGAAGAAACAATAAACAGATCAAGATCAGGTTGGAAACAGGAATATGGATATAATAGCGATCGAATGGTTTAAACTATATGTTATAAGGTTCGATATTATTTATGAATAATTTAAATGAATCCTTGAGTAAGAGAGATAGAGAAAACAAGCAAAATTACTTACGAGGAATGTCCCAAGGCTCGCACTTGTTGAGATCGACGTCGATCAAGACAACTGGTTGATAGAGGCTGCGAACGGTTCTTCTCATCAAGTAGTCGCAGACGAGCTCGTCGTCTCTAGGATGGAACCTAAAACCAGGAGGTAGGTTAGCCTCAACCATACTTATACTGCCCTTCTTCTCTTCTTTTTCCTCCATTTCTATTAATATCTGAAGATTTGTTTACTATGATACGTTAATATAATTGCGTGAAGATGGGGGAGAGAGAGATGGAGAGGGATCCGGATATCGGGAGTTTTGTGAACGAGAGGAAAGAAGAACGGTGGTATAAATAATTAGCAAGCCATAAAGTCAACTTCAATATATGTAATGTAATCCTCTATGTAAATATAACATTTTTTCTTTCTTTCTAACCACTATTTCTTTTAAATGCCAAAATAAATTTATAGGTCTTGAAGGATGTAGCTTTCAGTTTAAGTGTTTTTTTTTTCTAAGTCTAAAAATTCATTGAATCTTCCAATTTTTTTAAAAAAATTCCCCCTGAAATTTAGGAAAATTAATTATCACCTTAAGTTTTTCTATTATCTGAATAAAAGAAAAACTAGTTAACTTTGGTTTTAGAAAAACCAACTACCAAAACTAAAACTCAAGATTCTAACAAAAACTATAAATGGCTGGATGATGGTTAGGTCAGTTTATGCTCTCTATTTGTAATTAACTGAGACTTGTTTTTGTCTGTTAGAAAATAAAAAAGAGAAGCAGTGTACAAATTAACAGGTGCCATAGTTGTTTTTGTTCTGAACATTAAATATTTAGAAGCTGCGCGAAAATTAATTGTGTTGCCACAAAAAACAGTAAATATTTGTCTGAAGTCTGAACAAGCAAAAGTTCAGAAGTAATAACAAGTCGGACCATTTATAGTTTTAAGACTGAAGTTACGTTTCGTTATGGGCCATGACTTATGACATTGAGTTACCTGGTGCTGTCATTTGTATTTAGTTGAGGTGAATCGGTAAATCTATGGAAGCGATATCGTACCAACTTAATTCTGGGAGACAAAAACTTATCTTTGACTTGCCTTTTAATGCTACCTTTTTTATTTTGGAGGAAGACAAAAAAAAAGTTCTTTCATTTTGTTTAATGTACTTTGAGATAAATGTGTCTATTCTATTGGATTTGATGTAACATAAATCTTTGGGGAATGTGGGTGTGAGGCACACAGTCCATACAAATTGCTGCAAAATTATATACACTGATATTTAACAAAACTTTTACATTGGAAATTCCAAAGTACATTCATCAATATTCATCTCAAAAACCATTGAAACGGACCGGAGTCTAGAGTTTGACAAAAACAGAGAGACTTGCAAAGTCACAAAAAAACGAAACAAATAAACCATGCATGCTACAAGGGCATTGCTAATAATACCGATCAAAGACATACAAATAGATTAGGTGGATCAAAATATCATAAGATGTACATTCAAAAGTCAAGAATAAATCGTAACTAAAATATCTGACAGTGATATTTAAGTCATCATCACTTCAGTGAATCATCGAAACTTTACGTCAAATGATACAAATAAATCATACAAATGTGTGAAATGGGTTTAAAAGTTGATATAATTTCCCATGATATTTTCTTAAATACAAAAATTTCTTACCAGATGTAACAGATTTTAACGGCCGTGTACTTGTGAATGATCAGACTAGCTTATTTGTATTTGGTCACCATAAACAAATGGACTCGATTAAGTAAAATATATTTTCATATTAAATGCAATCTAATATATTTCCTATCAAAAATGGTCAACAATTTTGCGAATATCTAATACTCAATTCGCATCTCCCTGTTAGGGATGAAATATTAATCGATATGGTTATTTTCAATCCGACCCGACCCGACCCAACCTGAATCTTTACCCGAAACAAGGGGATCAAGTAAGAAACACGTGTCTGCTTTAGATGTGAGAATCTAAAGCTGAGCTGTATAAATTGCTTGTCTCTGTCGTCGCCACTTCTCTACAAACCCTAAGAGACCGCCAAAAAAAAAACACACACTCTCTCTCTCTCTCTCTCGATATCGACGGTAAATGGCGTCGGGTTGCGTTAAAAATGTTGGTACTTCACCGAGTCACTCATGGACGAGCTCCAAAATGTCATTGACCCGTGAATCTCAACCGTTGGCTCCACAGTTGGAAAACGAAGATCATGTGGACGACTTTGAGTTTCTTCTCGAAGATCCCGTCACAATGCTATCCGCCGACGAGCTTTTCTCCGACGGAAAGCTAGTCCCGCTTAAGTTTTCCGGCGTGACTAATTCTGAAGAGAAGCCTATAACGTCGGTGGTTCATACTGCGGTGAAACCATGCCGAAGATTGGAAATGGAGATCTCCGGCGTCGTCGATCCGTATCTCTTCTCTCCGAGAGCTCCTCGTTGCACCGTGAGATGGCGTGAGCTTTTAGGTCTTAAGAGACTCGCCAAAACGCAAGAAGAAACGTCGTCGTCTTCATCGCGCTTGTCTTCATCTTCTCCAAACCCCAAAACGGCATCGTTTAGGCATTTTCTCAACCGGAGTTCCAAATCCACCGCTCAACCACCGTCTCACCCGCCGCCGGGAAAAGACTCAGACATCTTGGAATCGTCTTCAACGTCGATCTCCTCTTCACGTCTCTCTCTCTCGTCGTCTTCGTCCTCCGGTCACGAGCTAGACGACCTTCCAAGACTATCTTTAGATCTCGACAACAAACCCGGAACACCAAACCCGTTCGCTCGGTCACGTGCTCACCACCACCACCACTTGCGTAACCAGAACCAACCAAGAAAGCCACGACGTCACGCACCGGCTGATGAATTGACAGAGAGTAGTATTGAGACAAGGGCAATGACGGTGACGGCGGATAGTCCTAGACTCAATGCTTCAGGGAAGATCGTGTTTCATGGACTCGAGAGAAGCTCAAGCAGCCCCGGTAACTTCACCGGAGGACCAAGAATGAAGCTTCACCATGGAATGCCGAGATCTCACTCCGCTAATGTCAGAATCACTCCTGTTCTCAATGTTCCTGTCTCCTCTCTTCGTAGCGGACCCAAATCAGGTCTCTTCTTCGGCCAGCTATTCGCTTCTTCTTCTTCTTCTTCTTCGTCGTCATTGGCTTCGTCGTCTGGAAACAGAGCACAGTTGCAGAGCAATAACATCAAGAACCGTACCAATCGAAGCAGACTTGAACCGACAAGCGAACTCTAAGAACCGAACCGGATTCTAATTGTACCGACTTTATTAGGGGCTAAAATTTACGCTTTTAGTTTCATTGGGGTTGTTTCGTTAGATAAGATTACCAGAATGTAAATAAGGTGAAGTATTTGATTTTCCTTGAGGTTCTTCGTAGAGCAGCGGGTTGTTCGATAACAAAGTCAGTCATTAATATTACTGTAGCAAGATGAGAAGTGGTTCCCATGTTCAGAGATTGATTCCAAAGATATTAACCACATGCTTTGATAATATAAACAAGTTTTGACTCATTAGAACAGTGTACTTTTATCATTTGTATTTACACTTTTGGGAGCGACAGCTTTTGTTCCTATTTTATTTTAGTTTTCTACGAAAAATAAAATATTAAGTAATGATTTTGCATGTTAGAGACAATCCAAAATGCAAATCCTCTCCGTATCGGCTTAGTTCATCTACTTCATCGAGTTTAATTATTTGAATAGTGTAAACTTAGTGTAATAATTTGATGATAAAGAGACAGCTTTACCATGTTGGCCCAGATTAAGATTTACTACTATAAATTTTGTGGATATGTAACTTCAAGCAGCTTTGAATAAATAATTGAATTTGTTTATAAGCAATGAAAGTGAGGGACATAACATTAAAATAAACGAAAAAAACAAACTCGGCGAAAAAAAAAAAAAAAAAAAAAAACGAAAAAAACAAACTGAAGGGTAAAATGGGGAATGGTCAAAGCGTGAAGAAAGATGTCAGTCATATGAGCTGCAATTTTTTCGAGTAAATGAAGTTTGGCTCCAATAATTTCATCTTTTCAAAATGTACATCACAAATAAAAGTTGCTGGTCGTTCTCGAACACTGTGTTTTCAATCCCATCCGTTGGATGCTTCCTTCGTCCTCACCTCAGTCGAGTGACCACAATAATATATAAGTACATAACACACATCACAGAAAAGAACAAGGTTACAAGTTCACGTTTTCTTTTTTTTGGTTTTAATGTGGAGCTACAAGCTCTTGTTTGTCATTTGTTTTGAATGGTTGCACGTATAGAAGAAACGGATTAACTTGCTTGTTAATTACACCATTTTGTTGTGGGGACAATAACAATTTAGACCATTCTCTACGTATAAGCATGTAATTTGATGTCTTTGTTTTTTTCTTTCTAATTCAATATGCCATAAAACAAAACAGAGTCCGAAAACAAATTCCGCGATGGTCTTTTTGACCGGTCTTGTATTTATGGGGACCCATCGTCCTCTTGCCAATTATTTGGATTTGGAACGTACAACACTACAACATATAAAAACAGTGTTAAACACTGATTACTACACTTTTGTTTTTCAACCACATATTACTACAATTTACTCACCATTTTCAAAGGATGTTCTCACGAGTCGCCTTCAATCCAAATGGTGTAAAATAATTGAATTGGCTCGATATTTATGCCTCAACGAGTTAAAAAGTAACACTGATTTTATGAAATTTTTAGTTTACTTAAGATATGTACAACTGATCAATTTACATAAATCTATCTATCGTTGTTGTGAATAATAAAAATTGGAACGAATCGTCCTTATTACGTGTTTTTTTTTTTACATATTCACAACAATGATAGATAGATTTATGTAAATTGAGTTGAGTTGTCCTTATAAGACATTCTAGCAGTACATATCGAATTTAAATCAGCTAGAACAAATATACTCGCGGATTCATTTGAATCCTGAAACAAATGTGAAAAGGTGCTATGAAACTTTTTGAAAAATTAATAATATATTTTTACCAAACAAAAGCAATAATAAGGATAGAAAAGCAAGAGTAAGGTGGGGAAAAATGAAGACGAGAACGTGATACTTCCCAGTCTTGCGCCCTCTGATAGATTCTCTATCTCTTATTAACTTATTTGATTCTCACTTCATTCATATGTCTCTTTGCTATTTTCTATATATATTTCCGCATTTATATATATTTATCCATATTTATTGTTTATATCGGAGTAACGAGCCACGACAAATGGCCTAAGTAGAAAAGGCCGACAAGAAAGGAGGAATTAGTTAGAAATAGATACCCAGTTTAGTACGTCAAAATGGACATTATAACATGTTATAGTTTTCACTTTTCATAGGACAAAGACAAATACCATAATCCATAGATATAATCTAATTATAAAAACCCTATAAACCTAAGGTAAGCAACGTCTTGTTGTTTCTGCTAGACTGATTAACATGTTACATGTTCAATCATGCATGAAACCTAAACTCTCGGATTTGTTGTGTGATTAAAATGTAAAATCGAACAATATGCTAATCAATTTTTTGGGCACTTAAGAAGGCATATATACTAGCTAGTTTGTTTTAAGGATTCGTTCTCTATATTCAAACTTTCATATGTTTCTCGTTATTGGAGAGAGCATGAAAGCGAGAGAAAAATATGTAAGAATTATGACGGAAAGTGGACATCATTTTCACGTTGAATATGAAACAGTACAAAATATAAGTGGTTTTAATATAATTCTTGTTTTTTAGTCGTTTTATGAGATTCGGGAAAATTACGTTATTCATTAATAATGCTCGTGACAACACCACCCACTCTATATGAATTGAAACAATGCAGGTCCTTATCCTAATTTGGCAACAATTGTTATATAGTGTGAGAGTGATAAAGATCCACAGCTAGGATGCTATGTATATCTAATGCAGAAAAATAGTAATAATTCCATGGCATGCATTAAATCAGGTTGGTGGTAGCCCCTCTCGTTTGACCGATATTATATGATAAGTTTTGTTATGAGCATGGAACATCATCTCTCTCTCTCTCTCTCGTCTCTCTATCTTACATTGGCATTTAGTGAATGTGAATGGAACAAGGGGACATACATATATTGGCTGCAGAAAAAAGAGAGGGCAGTTTGAGCTGGGTTCTTAGCTGTTTGTTACAGTGAACCAAATGCGACATATTTAATAGTACTATTACTTTACAATAAAAAGAGCACAGAGAGCAGCAAAAATACAAAAGAAAACAAAAAGAAGACAAGTAGTATATCAGTCAGTATATGTATATGTGATTTGTAATGGGCAATAATGAGGATGTAAATGAGTTATATTCACTGTTAAAGTCAAAACTGGAAGTATGTGTTGATGATGGGTAAGAAGAAGAAGCAGCACTTGTTTTTCTTGTCTTCTTCTCACAATCTCGCTGTGTACCACATCTTTGTACTTTCTTATTCTTCTTCTTCTTCTTCTCTAATCTCTCCCATAATTATTCCTCTTTCACTTTCTTAATCTTATCTAAAATAGTTATATGGGCCTTCAATTTTTAGGCCCATTTAAAATATCAGGGCCTTATCAGAATTTAGCAAGAAAAAACGGAAAACCCTAGCTATATATTTTGGAGACTCTCGTCCGTAAGTTGAGAGAACGGCGAACGAAGCGACGATTGCACCATGAGAGCCAAGGTTTGTTCATTTCCTCTGTAATCTGCTTTTTTATTTCTCTATGTATGATTTGTTGTTTCTTAGATACTTAGATTTGCTTACTGTTCTTATTTTTTATGCTGCTCTATAGATTACCTTGAAATGATTACTGGGTATTGCTTGGTAGATACAAAATTAGGAGTGAAATAATTAGTGATCTCTTGTTTTGTTAAAGCGATCTACTCAATTTCTTATAGCGTTGTGCTTAGATAAGAATATAAGACTATTGGTTCTTTCGTGAATTTCACTTCAACATTTGTATACTATTCATAGAAGTTTGTAGAAGATCATAAATTCCAATTCTTGATACTTTCGTTGATTTTGATTGAACATTTTTTTGACAGTGGAAGAAGAAGCGTATGAGGAGACTAAAGAGGAAGCGCCGAAAGATGAGACAGCGATCCAAGTAGTCCATTCCATTGTGGATGTGTCTCAAAATCTATCTTATGTAATACCTTTCTAGTTTCTTGACTTTTTTAAGCAGCTTCTTGAATCAGTTTTGAACCTTTTGTGATTTTTTTGCATTTGATCTTGAACAATTATCCCAGTTTGTGTTCAGCATTTGGTTCACTCCTTTATCTACTAGATGCAGTTCTGGCAAAACAGAGATTTGTTTTTGAATGTTTCATTAGTTAAGTCTAATATGTTGTGTTGATTTAATGTTAGAGATTGAAGTTATCGTTAGCTCTTAGAACATGCTCTAGTCCGTCTTATTTAGACAGCAACAGTTGAACAAAGTAAAACCGATACCAACTCCAACTGTGAAATCAACGGGGACTATCGTCTGTACGTGTTCCTTTGATATCTTTGATGTCACGTTGCATCTGTGTTTGATCGCCTGATGCTGACTGATCTTTTCCCTTATCGATACGTTGAGCGCTCGAGAATAGCTCTACAGGCTCGGACTCTGCGATCTTGCCTCCCTCTAATGGTGTCCCGTGTTTGTAGCTTACACGGATTGGTTCGTCTTCCGATAGCTTCGCTTGAGCCGTTGCGTACTTTATGTCGTCCTTGTTCTTTGCCATTTTTAGGGTTTAAGGAATCATGAGGGGACATGAGACATCGTATATAAGGTGAGGCAGGTTCGACGTGTCCCTTTCCGGGACTTTCGTGCTGGCTTCTTTCTGCTTCTTCGTTTCTCTTTTCTTGACACGTTCTCTCTATGTTACAATGCCAACACATTCATTTAATTTTCTTTGTATGCAAGTAAATATACTTTGGTGGATAAGATGAAAAATTGTACAGAAATTATATGTGGGGATGTACCTGAAGGAAATGTAATCTTGAAGTTTATGAATCAACTAAAATAAATTAGCTGCAAGACCCTAATTATAAATTTCATTGTTACCAATTGAGAGACGTAGCACCTACCTTCTCGCTCCTTTTATAATACCCCTTTCTCTCTTTCTGAGTATGTTTCAAGTATCCTCTTGAAACAGCAAAAATAAAAGAGAGATAGAGGTAGAGGTAGAGGTAGAGAGAGAGCTAAAAAAAGTTTGAAACAATGATAAAGAAGATGAGGTTGATGATGATGCTCAGGAGATGCAAGAGCGTGTCCACACAATTGGGTCGTTCATATTCTTACACAAGTCTCAGATCCAAATCGGCCAGGAGAGATCCACAAGACCATCTCCATGACGTCAACCAAAGTCCTACACCGTCTATGTACCAGACAGTGTTGGTTGGACGTACGAAGAAACCTTACTTGATCAGTAAGCAACACCTGAAGCACCCTCTGCTCAACGCTCTCGTTGAGAAGCAACAGAGATACGAAGAAGACGATAATGAAGATGGAAGTTGTATAATCACGGTGAAATGTGAGGTCGTTTTGTTCGACCATCTTCTGTGGATGCTCGAGAACGGTGACCAGAGTCACATATTGGAGTCTCTAGATGACTTTGCTCATCTCTATCTCTCCCCTTGATTAGGTTTAAACTTGTTTTTTTTTTTGTTTTTCATTACAAGTTTCACTTGCTTATCGTTTTTCGTATTAAACTTTTAATCCTTGTTTTATTCCCCTGAAATGTATAATAGTCAGTCTACCGACAGGCGACAGGTTAGTGAGTTCTGTTGGTGAATAACAAGACATCTCACCAAAGTGTGTTTATTCAATTTCAATGGTTGTTTATACGTTTTTCTTCCAAATTATGACATTGAAATGATATGTTATCTTGTGGGTACTTAATGTTATAGAAGCGCAAAGAAATCAAACGATCAATAAACAGGGCTACTGTATATTGGGCCTAAATGAAGTCCAAAGCCTGAAGAAAACAACTAAACACAAAGTTGCCATCAACAAGATCTTAATTGAACCAGAAATTATAAGGTTTCTGACATCAAACCACTAACCCATAATTAAATTAAACCAAAAGCGCTTTTAGTTCCTACAAAAAGTTGCAAACTTTACTCATAAAATATAAATTTGATTTTCCAAGCTTAAAAAAAGAAAAAGGTCTAAACTTTACTCTTCCATGCTCCATTGAACTAACAGGAACTTATGGCTGTGGTTCCTTTACTGCTTCAACTACGATTTCCACAGTTGCGAAGATATCACATCCTTCGAATTCAAGTTTTGGGTATCGAGTAATTTATCGGTGAGAATTCAAGTCTTGAGATTCTCCGGTACTGTTAGCGTTCGTCTCTCGGATCAAATTTTCGAATTACTCTTCCTTAGTTTCTCTGATTACTTGTGTAGATGTGATTACCCATCAAGCCGAAACAAAAAAGTGTGATTTTGTGATTACTCTGGCGTAACAATGCATCAGTATGGGTCAACGGGTCAACACTGCGAGTTCACGGCGGCGTCTTACTTCTCTTGGCCGACTTCAAGCAGGCTTAACAACGCCGCTGAGGAAAGAGCTAACTATTTCTCAAACTTGCAGAAAGAGGAGGAGGATGATGAGGAGGTTTCTCCTGAACCAGCTTCCACAGAGCCTAAAGGGCAACGAGCCACTACTTTGCTTGAGCTCATGACTATAAGAGCTTTCCACAGCAAGATCTTGCGTTGTTATAGTCTTGGAACAGCTATAGGGTTCAGGATCCGGAGAGGGGTTCTTACTGATATCCCGGCGATTATTGTGTTTGTGTCTCGGAAAGTGCACAAGCAATGGCTAAGCCCTCTTCAGTGTCTTCCTACTGCTCTTGAGGTATATTGAATTCAAAACTTTGATTACTGGGATTGGAATGGACGTTGTGTGATTGGTGAATGTGTGATTTGGGGTTTGAAAATCAGGGAGCAGGAGGGATATGGTGTGATGTGGATGTGGTGGAGTTTTCTTATTTTGGAGAACCTGATCATCAGCCCACACCTAAACAAACATTCACTACTGACATTGTTGATCATCTCCAAGGTTCTGACCCCTTCATTGGATCAGGCTCTCAGGTATAATCACTCATTGTATCTGGTGTAATGAAAATGATTGCAAAGTCGATAACTTTGTGTTGTGTAATTACTGCTAAACTCAATCAGGTGGCAAGCCAAGAGACTTGTGGGACTTTGGGGGCAATAGTGAGGAGTCAGACTGGAAGTAGACAAGTTGGTTTTGTGACTAACCGCCATGTTGCTGTCAACCTAGATTACCCGAGCCAGAAGATGTTTCATCCTCTCCCTCCTGCCCTCGGTCCCGGTGTCTATCTTGGAGCAGTTGAGAGAGCCACTTCCTTCATCACAGACGATCTCTGGTTTGGCATTTTTGCTGGCACCAATCCAGGTTTAGAAATATCATAGTTTTTGAGTTTTAGCATCGAAGAAGTAGCAATCTCCCGCAATAACTTTAACTTATTTTGCAGAGACGTTTGTGAGAGCAGATGGTGCATTCATCCCCTTTGCAGACGACTATGACTTGTCACGAGTTACAACGTCTGTCAAAGGTGGAGTTGGAGAGATTGGTGAGGTCAAAGCCATAGAGTTGCAGTCTCCAGTTGGCAGTTTAGTGGGTAAACAGGTGGTGAAAGTCGGAAGAAGCTCTGGTTTGACTACAGGAACTGTGCTGGCTTACGCACTGGAGTACAATGACGAGAAAGGAGTCTGCTTCCTCACTGATTTTCTTGTTGTTGGGGAGAACCATCGCAGTCCATTTGATCTTGAGGGAGACAGCGGAAGCCTCATAGTGATGAAAGGAGAGGAGAAGGCAAGACCCATTGGGATCATATGGGGAGGCACTGGAAGTCGCGGGAGGCTGAAACTGAAGGTGGGGGAGTGTCCAGAGAGCTGGACCACTGGTGTAGATCTGGGCAGGCTTCTTACACATCTTCAGCTTGATCTCATCACCACCGATGAAGGGTTAAAAGGTAATACTTGTTGTTTTTGTTGTTGTTGTTCAGAGACTTGAGCATATAAAAGAACAAGATTTTATACTTGTTGCTGTTGTTGTACTTGTTCAGCGGCAGTGCAAGAACAACGAACGGCCTCAACAACGGGGATGAGCTCAATGGTTGCCGACTCATCACCTCCGTATGTGAATCTCAAGAAAGAGAAGAGAAGCCCAGAAGAAAAGTTAGAGGCATCATTAGGACCTCTTCAGGTCCAACACATTGATCTTGAAGAGAGAATAGAAACAAAAGGAGGTGCTCCAAGTGTGGAACACCAGTTCATGCCAACCTTCAGCGGTCAATGTTCCGCATCTGCTTGGCCTGAGACTGCTAAAGAGGATCTAGTTGCCGGCCTTACAAATGGTAGCTGCGATGGGGATTTATGTGTTGGACTGCGTTTAGGGGACGATGGAGCTAAACGCAGACGCACTCAAGTGACCAAGGAAAGAATGAGACCAGCGGAATAGATCAAAAAGCTAACGACCTTTAAAGTTTGTCTTGCTCTGTGCAACACTTACATTGAGAGATTTGGATTGGATTTGTTTGTCAATCGAACTTGAGCATAGCCAAATTTAGCTTCAGTTGGATTCGGTTACCATTCTCGTTTATTCTGTTTGTCCAATCCCATTTCTCAGCATTCAATGTATCATTGATGTCCCAAAGTGAAATGAAAGTTGAAATAAAAATTGGGTCATTATGTAAGAAATAGAATTATGATTGAGTGGCTTCAAATAGTTTTTGAAATTGAAGAACAGAGTCGCAGATTCTTGAAAGCTTTGATTTTTTTTTTTAAACCTCTTGACATATCAAATCCCACAGAGAGAGGTTGGTTAAAAGCTTTAATCTTTGGTCTTACTTTTATCGTTCCCTGCGCTTAAATCTGGTGAAGCATACTTGTCCTAAAGGAGACACCTTAATTTGGTCTCTTAGGCGACGGTCAATTTTGATTCCTCTTTTATTTCTTGCTGATTCGCCTCCATGGCTTCTCTTTGATTCGCCTCTAGGTTTCTGTCTTACTTATCGTCTCGTGATCGAAAGTTTCTGTCTTTTTTTCTGGGAGTATCTTGCACCAAAGAGGGTTCTGATTCCATTCCATCGCTTCATTGCAATCGATTCTGTGTCTGCAACTCTGATACACACAAATTCTTCAATTTCTCTGTTTGCTGTGAAAATGATTGATTGATGAGTATGAGGCGTTACAAGATTTACTTCTTCAATTAATCTCCTTGTTGATGCTACATCGCTCCGGTAGAGATTATATAGGAGAGTCACATGAGTTCTTCTGCTTAGAGACGCTTCCATCTTCAACAATGTTCAACCTTTAAGCTTGTACCAATTGCTGATTGCTTTTAGGTGTTTTTTTCGGAATTCGGTATATAGTTTGATGGCAGGAAATGGAATGCATACACTGGGTCGTGTCAAGGTTTGTGATTTAGCTCCCAGTGAAGGTCTACCTTCTGATTCTTACAAGTTAGCAGTGACTACATTGTCTCAGTCTCTGGCACAGTACTCTGCAGCCATCATTCAGTTTCCTGCTAGCGATGGAGCCCTCCTTAGATCCGGTCTTGATTCTGCTCGGCTCTATTTTCACCAGAGAGATTCATATCCAGCCACTAATAATATGATCCACACAAATGATTCACAAGAATGGTGCAAGACTTCTGGCTACTATGCAGATCCTCAGTCGTGGCAAGAGAGTTACGAGTATAGACCCGGTTTGACCCCTACTGAGCCAACCAATTCTATGGAGTTCCCTCCAGCTGGTTTGCCTGATATCTTTGCTTTACTAGGAAAAGCTGCTCGTGTAGTTCTTGATGCCATTGGTTTCTATTTGAATTTGAGAAGCTGTCCATTTACTGAGATTCTCGATAATGTCCCTTTGAGGAATGGTGAGATATCGTCCTCTGTGTTATCTGTTTGCTGTTATGCTAGGCCGTCATTTCATGGAGCACAGCACCATAGCTTAACTGAAGACGAGCAGCTTATCCTGTATGCAGACCATGATCACCAACTTGACAAGAGTCTGATCTCATTTGTGAAATCAGATAAGGCGGGGTTCCACATCAGGGACATGCACGGTCAATGGATTTTAGTTGATGTGGATCTTGGTCCTCAAGAGGCTGTTGTGTACCCGGGGCTAGCTCTTTACCAGGCTACAGCTGGGTATGTGAGTCCCGCAGTGCACAGAACCGATTTAAACAGTCTGCAAGGAAGTATAGAAGGGAGGTTTTCCTTGGCCTTCAAACTGATGCCAAAATCAATGACCAATCTGAGTTGCTCGGAGATGAGAGCAGCAGGTCATGGAGTTGAAGCTCAGTTTCAGCTCCCGGTTTCAGTCGATGACTTCATGCAGAGATCTCACTCAAATGATGAACTCTTTAACAGACAGACTTTACAAAGCTTCAGCGTCCCTCAATCCCAGGATGGTATACAAGTTTACATTTTTCAGTCTTAATGCTTAATTGCCATCTTTGTTCTTTCATAGCATTTAAAAGGATTCGTTTCGAAGAAAATTGTAGTTCATAGTTCATGTGGTGTTAAGTTGCTCCTTAGAAGTGTTGATTAACAGTAGGTCCTTCCTTTGCTACAGGATCAATGAAACAGCTGAAAAAGCGGAGGAAGAGCGATTCTAGATGCAAACCACTACCACCTTCAAAGCGGCTGAGGTTAGAAGCACAGAGAGTTCTCAAGGAACGAGTTCAGGAAATTGCAGATAAAAAAGGAATCAAACTAAGATTCTGCAATCTCAAGGAGTGTGAGAATAACCACAATGTAATGAACAGCCCTTGTGCAAATATAAGAAGGGAGATCGGGTGGCCACACGGAGTTCCATTTGTTCATCCTCACGACCTACCCAATAAAGCTAAAATCGGTTTCCTTGAGACATATGAGCCAGGATGGTCTGAAACACATGACATGGAGCTCAGTCTATCTGAAACCGCTCAGGGAAACCAACATGTGACTAACTGTAACCAATCATTCACCCAATAACATTCCTTTTCCTTTCGCTGAGCTTGATCTTGAGGTTACGAGTTCATCTTCCATTGCAGGAGATGCGAAGATGAGAGTTCTAGTTTTGGTCTCTTCTTTGCCATGACAGTTCAGGTCAGGTTTCAGTGTCAATGGTTGCACATGCTGTGTATGACAGCGAGACGAGATAGAGCTGTCTGAATGACTCTTAATATTTGACTCAGTGTACATTGTTTCTTTGTATAATATACAAGTAAAGAATGTTCCAGGATTCTCATCTACGCACAAAAGCCATCCTATATGGTCATTCAGTGATTTTGATAAATAAGATTTGAGTTCTTTTGATGTGATATCGACTGAATAATATTCTAAGTACATGAATTTTGTTGCTGTGAAAAGCAAATTAGATAAGAGTCTTGGTCAGTGTGTGTTCCATAACATGAAAAATCATCCTAAAGCATACATTACATAAATCCGGAACACAATTTGGTCTAACTCTATCCAACAAACAAACTAGAAATATGTCCTGAGATCTCTTGATGTTGTTGGACCATCAACCCTTCACGCCAAGAGCTGTGTAAACCATCAGAGCATTGCGTGGACAAACAAAAATTAAAAATCGACAGCCTTCTTGTGCCATGACTCTAGCCAGTGAAGAGAATCAACAAATTTCTTCTTTCAAACTGTTACTTTTTTGTGTTTTGGAACAGACTGTCTCATCATATCAGCTCCTTGGTGGTGACTGATCCTCAAAGGGAAGTTCAATTTGCATAGCATTCCCGTAAAAGTCTTCCAAGTTATAGAATGTCCTTTGCGGAGGTAAGAATAAATGGATCACAACATCACCTGAAAGTATATCAATCGACATATAACTGTCATTATTCAACTGACACATTGGAGTAGAGGCAGGACAACAGTGCAAGAAGAAACTCACCAAAATCTAACAATGTCCACGAATTTGGCTTTACATCTCCGTTAGCAACCTTACCATACTTCTTCTCAGCCAGGTCTCTCATCCTGGATCTGCATCCGCGGTTCATGACGAGAAAGTAAGTTTGATGTTTTTGCAAGTGCAAGTGGAATAGATAAACCATTCTAAATAGAGATCTCTACCCGATTGCATCGATTTGAGGGCGGGAAAACGCAGTGGCAATGATGAAAAACCGAGTCCAGTAAACAAGAGGCTTCACAAAGAGGACCTTAATGTCTCCAGCTTTCACATCACTCGCAACTTTAGCCAATTCAACAGCAACTGCAACAAATGGATAACAACATCAATATCAATATTTCATTCTCCATTAGTAAAGCCAAATAAGTCGGAAATACACTGCAAATGAATAAGGCTTTGGCTTACATGCTAAACTTTCTGCGTCATCATCAACCTCGGCTGTTGGAGACTTTACATCATTGCTCCTAAAAACAACCTTCCCATATTTGTTGAACAAGTCGTCAAACATCTCATCGGTATCTTCACTCACATTCTGCAAAACGCAGTGTTTTTACTCATCTTCCAAATCATAACAGAGTCAAACCAACTATACTCAGCACTTGTAGCAAATATTAAGGATGTGAAAATAAAATTCGAAACTCCAGCCATAAAAGTTGTAATCTTTCTTAGCAATCAACCAACTTAAGCATTACTTAATCAGGTAATTCAAACCAAATTACTTCCTAGAACAAACACAATTACTATGGAAATTGCAAGACAAAAACGAACGACAAGAGTTTGATCGTACCGAGAGAAACCCATCTTCCGCTTCCTTTCCCACAGCGAGTCTCCGTGATTTACTGAGAGAAGTCAAAATTTTGCTTCTGGATAGTCGCCAACAGCAATTATACGCTCTGTTGTTGAGGCATGACAATGAAGAAGAAGTCTTTCTGGGTATTAGAGACGATGATATATCTGGTAATCGAAAATCTCCGGAAAGTAGAGCTCCGGCGACGGTGAGACCAGTGGAAGATGCCATTAATCTCGCTGGTAAGCAGAGTTCGGCAGTTTCGAAACTCTAATCGTCGTCGTTGAGAAGCGGATAAGATACAGTTCTAAAACCCTTCGCTTTTTTCTGATCAAGTATTTAACTTGATGATTAAATATTTGTCTTAATTAATAATACACACATTGTATCATGGGCTTATTTCTTATTTTCGGTTTGGGCCTAAAATGGGCCTGTTTCAAGGATCCATATCAGAGAACAAACATGCAGTCAACTAACTTCTAATTCCATAGCTGAATGTTCTCTATCACTAAGTGTAGTGTTTAGATATTTTTCTAGATTTTCAAAAATTGAGCTAACTTGATTGGTTGGTTTTATCAGGCAAGATTGTTGAGAATGGAATAAATGAGATATGAAATTATCGAACAGATAAGACTAGAAATGGGGGTGGACCACTAAAAGCATACTTACTAGAGTTCCCAAATTGGCATTGATCATTAATCATATATAAAAAAAAAATGTCGCATTCTATGATGAGTACATAACACAGAGGGCCAAAAAACTCAAATGTCACAGTCTCACATAGGTCATAATCCCACGGAATCAATCGATATAATTTATGAAAAAGAGAGGTAGCTAGTAGCCTACACAGACACACACATGTCTCTGCCTGCATATATACTTTTATAAATAATTTATATGAAGCAAACAAGTTTGGTTGGGGAAGTGTGATGAATTGGACAAGTTTGTGTAATTATAGAGCTAGAGAGGGACATTGCAAATAATACAACCGCACATCTACCTTCCTGTCAACATTTTTATTATTAATATCTCGATCCACCTTTTTTTTTTTGGTTTTTGGGGTACCATTTATTTTTCTGTTCATTACAATTCTGACATTTTCTTTTGTTATATCACATCTATTCATAACACACAAATTTTCAAAGATATTGACATAAATCCACGGAAAAATGTGGTGCAATGGAATTGGATAGGAAGAGCCATTCATTTTTTTTGCCGACCCCTTTTTTCTAGCTCTCTACACATTTTCATGCATTCTCTTTTAAAGTTGACAGTGAATTCACGTCTTCTCATGGTCTCACATTTCCTTTTTTTTTTAATTTTTGAATATTATATAATGAAATATCCATATTTTTTATTGAGAAAAGAGAAAGACCTATCGATTTCACTTGTTTTCTGTTTATATGTGTAGTGGGTGGGAGGGTGAGGTTGATTCCTTATCTTCACCCAAAGATTTTATATGTTAATCAATCTTGGCAGCTAATTAACACACTAGTTAATTAATTTAAATATGACAACTTAGTCAAAATTGGAGCTATCGACAGGGGATAAATACGATTCATATCAAACATGGAAAGAGAGATTAGTTGTGGCATCTGATTCCAAAATGAAACGTTAACTTGGGGATAGGTCACAAGGATTAGGTGAATGTATATGAGTGAGTAAACATATAATAGAGGTCTTTCTTTTATTTTATACGTTAATAAATTGTTTTATGAGTCCTCGATAATTACGGCTCCTCCGTCTCGATCTACAAATTGCCTTGGATCCACGTAACGTGTAAGACTTGAAAATTCGTATGAGTTTTTGCTGCTCTACTCAATTATCATCACTTTATCAGATAGATTAGGTGGGTCCACATGGTGGTGCATGAAATCAAGTGCAACGGTCAAAAAAAAATCGTGTGGAATATTTTTATATGGAGAGAAGGTAAAATAGAATTAAATGAGAAGTTTTGTAACAAGGAGGTGCGAGAAGGAGTGGAAATTAAAGTCTTTTGTTTAGTGTGTTTCCGATAGAAGTAATGAGATGTTTGAATGTTGACAATGAGCCTGATTGATCTATATATCAATTTCCCTTCCCTCGTCAAAATCTTCCATTTAATTAAATTAATACCCGCATAAATTCCATCTTTGAATACCACCGTTGCTTTTAATTCTTGTAATAATATACTTTGACAAATTTGATTATCAATTCCCTTGTATAATAATTGGTTGTTGTCAAGTTACATTGGTTTGTTAGATAAGGCTTAAATTGTTTTCTCTAAAACATTGGATATACTTCACATCCGCAAAATAATTTGAGGTTCGATCACACAAGATGGATTAAACTATATATCTGTGGAAGTTTGTTTTAAACAGATGCGTTCTGAAATCTAAACTCGAGAGAGGAATCCATCCATCATGGAAGTAGTAAAAAAGCAACACACATTATTGAGGGTTAGGGATTATAATGACACATTGCTCCACTTTTTCCAATACATGTGATGCCATCTCGAGCCGTATCCAATTCTTTGCTCAACCAACTTTTCTGATGCATTGCTTTCACGTATTTTACGTATATCGATATATCTATATACTACCATACATATATGAAATGTCCATATTCTCTACTTTAATATATACACAACTACTTTAACATGTATGGCATATATGACGTCTATCAAGCAAATATATGGTAGATGACCTTACGAAACATTACAAAATATATTATGAATATAGGGATGATGAAAACGAGATTCCCTCGAGAAAAGAATAATAAAGTTTGTTATGTACACAAAATGTTAGAGGTGCGATTATGTGTTTGTGTGACACATTGAGATTCTCTCATTATGGTGAGCGGTTGAGATGATGTGGGAAAATAATAGATCAACGACTTTTTAAGTTTCAACTAAAGAAAAAGAAAGAAAAGAAACTACTTTTATCAACTCAATGGAGTCATGCCTTTGCCCTCAAAAGCAGGCACGCCAAAACCATCACCTACATTTATATTCTTACTTCTTCGTTTATTTTCTGGCAAACCAAAAATCAATTTTAGTACTATTTGATATTTCTTTCATGATTTCCTCACTGCACACCTTCTGTTAAAGTTGAAGAAATCAAATCATACGTTGAAATATGCACGGAAGTACATTGTCAAGAAAATAAAATAAAGTCATATAAGAATATTATCCAAGAAAGTCTTATTTTTCTTAAGTTTGATGATGCCTTTGCAATAGTTACAAAAATTCAATGGATAGAAGTTAAAAGTACTTACAGCTCGAAAATGAATTATTCAGTGTTAATCAGGAGAAAGAAACTTAAACCTTAATCTAAGCTAAAAAAATTGAGATGATGAGCATGTGGATAGCATTAGACCACTTTTGTTGCCCCAAAGTTCAAGTAGCTCAGACGTGAGACTCATTCAAATGATCTTTTATATTCCGATGGTTATGCAAATTTTATAGTTTAATCCCACGGGATATCTCGACTAATTGTGATTCTTTAATCATAGATTTTACTATTTTAGAATGAGCCTCGACTTTTGCTATTAGGCAACTTGTATTTTGTTTTTATTTATATATTTGAGTTGTCAGCGAAAATAAAGAAATGATAATTGTACGATGTCAGATCGACCCAAACAATAAAAAAATGTATATATAATACAACCAAGCGTTAATATAGTGATAAAGATAATGTCTGAAAAGCAGATGATGCAAAAGGCATGCTCATCTTAATGCGTTTGCTATGCTAACCTCGTGATTCTATGCCTCTCTTCGTGCTCTAGCATTTCCAAGATAACTTAGTTTATCTGGCGGTGGCTTTTGTATATAAATATGATAGTGTCCGACTAATATTATTTAACTTCAAAGTGTAATAATTTGACATTATAGTTTGATTATATTTGATGGTCAAAGAAACAAGGTGTACACATGCATTAACAAAGCCAAGCTGTAACCTTCTATAAATAGTTATGAAAATTATAGGTTGAAAATTAGGTAAAGGGATCACAACTGTTATTTCCGCCACCAGGGTTCGAGGCACGGCCACTGACAGGTTTACATAGGGAAATTGTCAGCCTCGTGGGATTAGTCCTTGGGCCTGGAAAGCCTTTAAAAGACCCGCGGTTATTCAAAAAAAAAAATAATAAATAAATAAGGTACGTACGTAGCAAAAAAAAAGCGAAATACCTAATGTTAACATGAATTGAAACTTTTGTTGATCTTAGTTATAACATAAATCTTATGAAAACATTAATGTTGACAAAGAAAAACATATGTAGCTTTGACATACGGTGCAAGCAAGCATTATTATCATAATGTCTGTATTATGTTACTACAATATATTTTCGAGTAAAAGCAACTAGATTCCTAAAAATTAATAATCATGCTTAGACGGATAAACACAAAATTTATCAAATAAAGTATTACTACAAAACATAGGTAAAAAAAAATGTGGAGAACCACTACATTACCCAACTTAAATTATCCACCTTGACGAAGTGTAGGACAAAGCTAACACTTCCTTCTGAATTCTGATAAGAAAAATAGAGAAAAACATTTATAAACGAGTAACGAAACAAAAAGTTTGACAAAATAAGGTTAAAAACAAAATAAAGAACGTCATCAGTCAAAATTTTTATTAGAGATTGTAAGTATACGCCAAACTAACAAGAGACTAATTTAGTTTTCTATTAATGTGGTAATGACACTAGTCGTAATAAGGAAGAGAGGTATGTGTGGACACGTGGCGCGATGTTAGTTCAACAGACGTGGCAACGAGAACCGTGAAAAAGTAACTGACAAAAAACCTAAATTTTTTAAAAATTATAAAATACAGTAAAATACAAAAATTAGAAAAGAGGTAAAGAAGCAGCGGTGGGTACACCGTACCTTTCTCAACGGCTTGCAATATTTTTTTAATTTTTTAATTTCTCGTTTTAAATTAAAAATATATAGGGGGAATACTGCCAAGCTGGCAGTACACACGTGCCCATGCGACCCTCGTATCCCGGCAACTCCATCACACGTGGACCATAAGGCCCCAGACCCTTAAGATTTTGTCTGTATTGCCACGTGGCATTGTCAGTGACCGTCTCTGCCTCTTATTTACGGATTCTCCCCGTTGGAATCTTACGCCCTTTGTCCTCGTCTCTCCCCAACGGATAAGCCAAGCCTCTCCTCTTTTTTTTTTTTTTTAATGTTAATAAAATCATTTGTTGATTCAGAAATTCAAATCTCCCAATTCACTACAGAAGATAGATATATTTGATAATGGCATGTATATTTGTGATTTGATTTTATTTAAAAGGATATGGCAATTAATAATTTAAGATAGTCACAAGACTTAGAAGTCTTGTCACATGAGCCACCTCTATTGTAGTACCATTATTTTTTTGGCCGTTTATACATTCGCATTTACATATGTTTACAATGAATCTTTGACACGGTGTAAGTAAGTTACTTACACCAAACATTTTTGTTACCAATAAGATCTATTAATTGTCAGGTTTGACCAACCAAAAATTAAAGACGAAGCAGAAAAGAGAAGAGTTAGGCGAAAAAAGAGAGAAATAGGAAGTTTAAAGTAAAAAAAAAACCAGAGAAAGTAAAAGAGCAGATATAGAAATTATGATTTTGACCGTAACCTCTGAACCAAAGATTTTACAGCTGTCCTTGTCAAACTTTTTTTCTCATGAAGAAACGCTGAAAAAGGCAACTACTTTAATGGTCACTGGTCAGCCGGATAACCGAAGAATCCTCATGCTTAATTGTTTTATAAAAAAATTATTAAAAAAAAACTGATAGTAGAAAACAACAAAATGCCAATTAAATAAATAAATAAAATAAAACATCACATCTTCCTCTCTGTTCTCTATAAATTGGCAGACAAGAGTGTGTTGGGTTCTGCTTCGATATTTGTTTTTTAGTTTCTCCCTCTATCTCTCTGCGAAAACCGTAATTAAAACCCCCACAACACAACCTCTTCAACATAACTTCTTCTTCTTCCATCTTTCGTTGCATTCACGTTTTTAGAGGTTCTCTGAATCACCCCCATTAAAATAGCTTTGAACGAGTTTTCATTATAGTCAACAAACGATGGCCGTTGAAGCTCACCATCTTAATCCTCTGTTTTCTTCCAACAGGTACAAAATTTCTTATTATCTCCTCTGTTTTCTTTTTTCTCTGTTCTTTTCAATATCTTACCTCGAAGGTGTTTTTTTTTTCTTACAGAGAAATGATTCATCCCGTTGAAGCAAACGGCTTAGTCTATAACACCCAGATGAGATACGGCACCGTTCCGACATTTAACCCTACCGTAGAATGTCAAACTTCTCTCTTTAATCCAATCTACAACATCTCACCAGTTGATGGTTTGGTTCATCAATCCATGAAACCAACGATACAATCCGTTGATAGTTCTGTCACATTCAACAGCGAGAATAACAACGTCGACTTTCTTTGTCCTGTGTCGTCGAGAAAACGTTCCAGAGAAGAATCCGTTGTTTTAAATCCTTCCGCTTATATGCAAAGCCAGAAAAATCCCACCGATCCTCTCATGTTCCTTGGCCAAGACTTGTCTTCTAACGTCCAACAACATCATTTCGATATCGATCGTTTGATCTCTAATCACGTGAGTTCTTAACTAATTTGTTGAAGTATAATATTTGTTAATTTTTTCTAGTTTACATAAATTGATGGTTTCTTCGACAATTCATTATCAGGTTGAGAGAATGAGAATGGAAATTGAAGAGAAGAGAAAAACACAAGGTAGGAGGATAGTGGAAGCCGTGGAACAAGGTTTGATGAAGACACTAAGAGCCAAAGACGAAGAGATAAATCACATAGGGAAACTAAACCTATTTCTAGAAGAGAAGGTTAAGTCTTTGTGCGTAGAGAATCAGATATGGCGTGACGTGGCACAGTCTAATGAAGCCACCGTAAACGCCCTCCGTTCCAATTTACAAGAAGTTCTCGCTGCGGTAGAGCGTAACCGGTGGGAGGAGCCGCCCACGGTGGCTGACGACGCGCAGTCTTGTTGCGGTAGCAACGACGAAGGCGATAGCGAGGAAGAGCGGTGGAAGTTAGCGGGAGAGGCGCAGGATACGAAAAAGATGCGTAGGGTAGGGATGAGTATGTGTAGAAGCTGTGGGAAAGGAGAAGCAAGTGTGTTACTGTTACCGTGCAGACACATGTGTCTATGTACTGTGTGTGGTTCTTCACTCAACACTTGTCCCATTTGTAAATCTCCAAAGACCGCTAGTCTACATGTTAATCTTTCCTCTTAGTCTAACCAATACCAGTAAAATTGTATATGTCCGAAAAAAAAGTAAATAGTAGAAAAAAAATTCTTGGTTGAAAAAAAACTGTTCATTCTTTTTTTCTCTCGTCTTCGGGTTGTGATGATGATGATGGAACACGAATCTTTGACATATGTGTCAGATCTTTAAATTTCGTAAGGGGTTCACGAGGGACCTCTGTTGCTAAAAATCGTGGGTTAGGTTTATACCCACTTTCAATGTCATTTCCCATCTATGTATGAAATTTCACCAAAAAAGTGGAAAAGTTTTGTGTGTGGTTCAACTACTAGTCTTTTAACATAGTAGTAGTAGGGGTATAACGTCACTTTTCACAAGCTTGGATTTTCTTTAACATAAACTTTTGTCGAATCGTTATTATTTTTTTGTGTTTTTCTAGAAAATGTTATATTCGATACAAAAATTAAAGTAAGTGGTCGAAATCGTGGGTTATGCGTGACAGACCATTAAACCAAAAGCAAAAATAAAAAGCCATATCAACTTTTCCTCTATACCCGAGAGAGAACTGATGCTGCTAAAAGACTTAAGGAGTGGGTTGGTGCAAGTTAGCCATTAGCAGATTTTAAGCGCAAGTTAGCCATTAGCAGATTTTAAGCGCAAGTTAGCCATTAGCAGATTTTAAGCGCAAGTTAGAATAGAGACACAACAAGGTTTGACTAGCCGTTAGAACTGGCGCGTGGAGAAATAACGGTGGTGGCAAAAGCTGACGTGGAGAGCGCGCGCAAATGTCGCTGGGTAAAAAGAGTGGGTCTCATCATGTGAGTTTCCAAACTTACCCTTGTTGTATCCCAAAGTAAAACTCGGAAGTCCACCAAAATCTCGTCTTGTGTTCTGTCTGTTCCACTTCTTCCGGGGTTTTTATTTCCCAAAACGGCTCTCTTTACCAAATTATTCTTAAAAAAGTTTTATTAATATTGCTTTGTCATATTTGAAGTAATAATAAAAGCATATCTTCCTTTTGGACCAAAATATTCAAAAGATAAGATGTACTGGTAGATTCGCTCTAGTCTTATCATTAAACCCAACAAAAAAAAAAAAGTAGATTCGCACATTGGTAAAAAATTGATAACATAGGGTTAAAAAAGGTTTGGATATGAAGTAATACGAAGGCCCATGAACTGATAGATATGGCTTTAGGTGAGGAAGAATGGAATTAAGAGAATCGAGGCGCGTCTAGAACACGCCTGAGTTGTCCCTTTCATATCAAAGAAATGCGAATTTTTAATTTTAATATTTAAGTATTTGACTGCCTCCATTCCACCCAACACAATCACCACCTTCCTTTCGTATTAAACAATAATAATACTATATAGTATATCTAAATTAAAATACTCTTCTTCTTGTTGTTGTTCTAAAATATTGCAATGTCAAATATTTGTTGTTAATCATTCAATGATGTATCTATAATGCTATCATGCAATCAACCATGTCATCATTAAGTAACCGGTTATTAGAGATTGCATTTGAAGGAAGTTTGACTGAATTAGAATAATGGAGTACTAATGGTAATTAATTACGCGTTTAGAGTGAATGAGGGTTCGAGGAATCAGGGACCGGTTTTTTATTTTCGAAGCATGTGAAATGCAGTTGGTTCACGTTCTCTTTCACGCCACTTTTTTAATAGTAATAGTTTATCATGATTTATTTATTTGTCCTTTTTGTTTAGATCTTTTTGAATGCAGAGTTCTTGATATATAGAAATAAATACTGAAACATTTATATCGATGGAAAGAGTATCGTATAAAATTCACCGCTAAAATAACACTTTATCATTGATGATGTCGTATATATAGTACATAATAATTTGGGCACGACTCTGAACTTATCGTGGAATGGTCCCGGGGTGGATTCATCAACATTCACATTATTATTGCCGTCTCTTCACGCTACTTTTGTAGTTTTGTGCCATTAACTCCATTTGTTATCAATAAAAGAAAGATATCTATCTATACGGACGTTGCAATTGTGATCATCAAGTCACGTCAAACTATTACTCCTCGATCTCTTCTACTATTATTTTTAAAAATCTCAGCAGTACTGGCAATGACCTTCTATTATTTTTATATATCGACAACACAAGGAAAATGATATACTAAAATAATTAATGACTTTGCTTTTCTCTAAGGGCATACACAACGGCGAACCCTTTGGCCGAGTGTATGTATTAAAAAACTCAAAACAAATACAAAAAGTGAAAAAAAGTTGAAACTCGAGTGTAGCAGTACACCCGGGTATGAAACATTAAAAAAAAGAAAAAAATTTCCTGTCTCTACCTCTCTCTTATCTCTCTCTCTCTGTAACTTTTGCATTATTTTTTCCTTTTTTTTAATTACATACACCCGCTGGTCGAGTGCTGCAATGTGTATGGTCTAACACATGTTAGTTAGATGCCAAATATCATCTCCTTTCTCCACTATCTTCTGATTAGTTCATGTATATGCGACACCTAACCAATACGCAACTATGCACCAATAATGATAGATCATGTATAACACACTTGGTATTACGATTTCGTAGGTAACTAAGTAGACTTGCGAATGGTAATCAAAGGAAGAGAAAAGAAATGGTAAAAAGAACATTGTCGGTAGAGAAAGAAGCTATTTTATCTAGGGAACAAATCTTAAAAGTGGAGTCCACAAGAAAAATAAAAGACAGAAAAGCCAAAAATTGGCATTTAAAAACATTAAAACATTACACAAGCACATCCACATCGCACCGCCGGGCCCACAATTTGCTTTCCTATTTTCTTCAAAAAAAAACCAATATTTGGGCCGTAATGGGCCCACTGGAGGGGACCGTTTCTTCTTTACTTTCCCCTTCTCGAACACGTGAATTTGATTCCACACACTTGGAACTTTCCTCAACTTCCCATTAGAATATCAAAACAAAATTATCCCATCTTACACGTTATCGTATTTAAACATCTTAATTTTATAAAATACAGTTCAAAGAACGTATGTTTCCAGGTGATATGCTGATAAAATTTCACGCATAGTTTATATAGATCACATAGTTGATTAGTTGTTATATTATAAAGAACGTATTACTTTCTTTTCTTTGGTTATTTGACTCTTTAAAATGACTATTGGATGTGTTTTGGAACGGGAAAAATGTCGTTTAATAGCCGAACTTTCAAAAAATGGCCGTTTAATACGTGAACTTCTTATATGGCCATTTAAACATGAAGTAAACGTTGACCGGCCAATTTAAACATAAAGTATTCGTTGACCAGGCCAAAAACTACACGCCGTTATATGTCGTTAACAGATCCGATAACAGCCGTTTAACTCTCGTTAACGATTCCGTTATTGCCTAAACGACGTCGTTTTGGGCTTAATCTAAACCCCGAAAATCCCCAAATTGATTTTCAAATCCCTAATTCTGAAAAATCCCCAAAATTAGAACTTTAAGGCCGATTTTCGAGGCGAAGCAGAGAGTGTTGTGGATGCTGGAGTTGAAGCTCGAGGCGAATCTGAGATTGTTGTCGGAGACGGAGTTCAAGCTCCACCGGCGGAAGCGTTTCAGAGCCAGGTGGCAGAGATGGAATTCTAGTTCAACCGAATATCGGAGACAAAGCTCGTGGCCGGCGTCAAAAACGAAGAAAAAGACGTCGATTTGAGGATTTAGGGATTTCGATTAAGCCTAAAACGACGTCGTTTTAGGTAATAACAGAATCGTTAACGGTTATTATCGGATCTGTTAACGACAGATAACGACGTGTGGTTTTTGGCCTGGTCAACGAATACTTCATGTTTAAATTGGCCGGTCAACGTTTACTTCATGTTTAAATTGGCCATATAAGAAGTTCACGTATTAAACGGCCATTTTTTGAAAGTTCGGCTATTAAACGACATTTTTCCCGTTTTGGAACCGACTTTCACATTTAATTATAACTATTATTCAAATACGATAATTAAGAAAGTGGGCTACATCGTCATGAAAGAGCTAATTAACCTTCTTCTATGTTGTCTGAGTCACCTTCACCATCTTGATAGAGTCATTGAACAATTAATTTTTTTTTTAATTTCCTCAAATAAGCTATCACAAAAGTCAAAAATACAGTGGCACATTATACACTCCAAACAATATAGTAAACACCAATAGTACTAGAAGAAAATTTGTTAGATTTCCGAGTGGGGTCACGATGTAAAGTTTTTATTCATGTTTTGTTGATTTTATCATTCTTTCAATTTATTTTTGAATGGAAATCATGTAAGTCATCTTTTGCTTTCCATGTATTAAGATGAATGAATATGATTCTCTTTTATATAAAGAGTAATTATATATTCCACAACTTGATTTGTATGTTATCTTAAAAAAAAAGAGAGAAATTTCCAAGGGAAAGACGGCACTAGAAAAGTTATACGAATTAATGTCATCATGATTTCAAAATTGATTGATTTGTGGGTCGGTTTTCATTTGTTCTGTAGCCTAGTTAACCTCTAACAATCAACGTCCCCACTACATTAGTTATATATACAAAATATGTATTAAAGAAATCAAATATGCTTTTCAGAAATCTTGGATGAGACCTCATATTCATAAAGAATGGTGTACCATGTCAACCATGGAACAACGATGATATTGATGGCCCTCTCTTCTTTATCTTTTCTTCTTTCTCACAACTCTCTACTAAATATTCTACCTTTCATACCAAAGTGGAACCCAACTTTCGGTTTTTATCAAAGTCGTCCATAGTCTTTGACGCAGTCGAGAAATTAGTTTATTGTGATTAAGATGTTGATTTTTTTTTTATTTCAGTTGAAAATTGTTCCTTATTGCCATGTTTGTGATTGTGTATGTATACATATAGTAATAGTATTATCATGTTGGATTGAAAGTCAAAACTCAAACACAGACTAAACAAAATGTAAAAGCAATGATCAATGATATATAATTTGTATCACTTAAAAAAAAAAAAAAAAAAAAATTTGTATCACTTAATTTGCTAAAGCTACAGTATATAATGTCTTAATATTTTCTTGTTGGTCAGATCTTGGAGCCATCATATACTAACAAGTAACAATTATAAACATTATAGTGACATATCTAAATGTGCTTTAGGTTGGACGACACAAAGATGAATTTGGGAAAGAGAGGTGAGAGGATGTCAAGGGTTTAAAGTAAAAGGAATAGCCTATACCATTGTTGCCCACTTGACCTAATCCTTTTTTTCTGATTTAATTTTGGGAAATTTAATATTGTACCTATGCAAATATCATCCTCTCACCCACTAAATGGTACAAAATACCAAAACACCATGTGGTTTAGATGAGAGATATAATTAGAAGTTTATGTTTCCATCGAGACAAAAAACAATATATGGTTGAGACATGACTTTGATATATTGGATAGAAACAAGACATGAAACAATTACAAGTAAAGACTGTACTTTTCGTATGGATGAAAAAAGGTGAGGAAATAGTTTGGTTATTGTCCACATTAGGAACCAACCACTCAAAAATAAAAATCATAACTATTAATATCGTGTATAGTTCTTTAGTGGGGGCAAGTGTGAAAGTATCATACAATATGGAATTCTAATGTCGATAGATTTAGAAATAATTGGAGTCTTCATTTCAAACAATTATCATAACATAACCCCTTTTTTGTAACCATATGAATTTTGAAAACAAGAGTAAAGCAATGCAATGATGGTATGAAGAAAAATAAATGCACAAGACAGAGAATATGGCAAAGCTACAAAAAAAAGTGATGGAAAAGAAAAAACCAAGATGTGCGTCGGCTACTTTGTCAAAGGAGAAAAAATAGTAAAAAGAGAGAGACTTGAGGTCGAAGCTGATCACTAATTAAAAAGATGGCAAGTGAACTCATTGTTATCTTATACACTTGGAATATTCTTTTATTTGTTTATTGAAACAAAACAACGAAGATCACTATAGATTATGATGATTTATACAATTTTAACATTCCAATAAGAATTTATTTATTTTTGTCAAAGTAATAGTATTGATGATGATGATTATAGTGGTGCATAATTAGGAAGATGAATGATGTGAAGTGATAGATGAATGGTGTCCTTAGTGTCCAGCAGGCCAAGACAACAACGCAACACGATTACTTAATTGAATCAAGAGAGCAAATAAGGGACCCCATCAACCACAAAAATGGACCATTAAGATTGAGTCCCTACAAAATCAAGATGCCTAAGTTGGATGATTGCGACACAGTTTTAATTTTCATCTGCAGAATCCAATCAATAGTATCTTTGTTCACATATTTTAAATTTAACATATTAACAAGTGAGTGGGAAATTAGTGCTGATCTAACTTCGCAAGGCAATGATAAACTTGCAAACTTTATAACATGTATTTTCGCCTACTGTATTTCTTAAAACTCAAACAGTCACATGCCACTTTTCTTGATCTCCACTATGTGGAGGCGATGACATGTTCTAGTTGAGCTGAAAAGTTTGGTTTAAAGATAGATATCTAAGACATAAAATGAGCACATCTTGAAATCAAAGAAATAAAGACAAATTTGTAAATGAGCCAAAAAAAGGGAAGATAAAATGAGTTGGGGCACACAATACCAGTAAGCCCAATAAACATTATGTAAACATCCTTATGGTTGAGTTAACATGGAAAGAGAGTTTTGAAAACAAGCTCCTCCTAATTGTTGAAGAAGAAAATGGTTAAATTCAAAAAAACCAAGACGACACGTTTGTGCAAGGAGCCCTTGAATACAATGACTTACAGGTAAATGAAACTTCTTGTTCAGTTTCTCAAACTAGAACTGTGTATAAGCCTAATTAGCAAAAATGCTTTATGGATTAAAAAATGTCCCAGAGCATAGTATGGACGATTTTCTTAAGCAATGAAGAAGTATGGATTTAGCCAGAGTAATGCAGACATTGTACATGCATTTTTCTTCAAGTGCATTGGAGGTAAAGATCAGATAACTATTAATGTATGCTGATGAAATGAGTATAACAGTTAATGGCTGTAGCCGCAGAGAACGTAGTTGGTTTACACTAATCCCTATCATTGAAAAATTAAAATTGAACTGATCTAGCCCAACCATAGCAACAGTGTTACCACAAGGAACATCCTCCATCCACTGTCTCTTGCTTCTTACCCATCCAAATGACAGTCCTCTGCACACTCTTGACATACAGATCTTTCTTTTCACCAGGGACATAGTTGGGACTCATGATCCTGACTTTCATACCAGTAGAAACTGTACCAGAAAAGACACGACCGAAGGCAAAGAACCTACCCTTGTCAGATGCAGGAATCATCTTAGAGACGTAGAGCATCAAAGGACCTTCTGGATCACAGTTTCTGATAGCTGCAGCATACTTATCATCAAGGGGACCTTCATACAAGTTCTCAACACGGTACCTCTGCGCAGTGTAGGGTGATGGTAAGTGAAAGATCATCATTTCAAGCAGAGCAGTACTCGCAGGGAGCCATGCCTGCATGACACGCTTCATCAAAGGTTTACCCATCAACTCTTTCTCATCGGGCTTCATCTGAATACCAAGCTTCTCCAACATCGGCCACAGCTTATCCTTCTGGTCATTCATACAAGTGTTGATCATCATCCGAATGGGTTCATAACAGAGCTGAACAAACCCACGCTTGCAGGTGGCTGAGCCAGTGTTTTTAGTGGTCCATTTTCTGGTTTCAGAATCAAAGAAGTTCTCACCCCACAGCCTCTCCATCATTTTAGATTCAGAACAACCAAACTTGGAAGCATACATCTTAGCAAAATTGGTAAGAGTGAAAGCCCATCCATGGAGACCAGCAGAGAAAGCCACTGTCCCCTTTTCAGGGTAAACCTGAACATCACCAAGGAGAGGATCCTCATACGTAGCCATGATGACATTAGCATTCTCAATGACCCTCTGGAAATTCTGATAAGCCTCTTCACCATCAACCTTAAGCTCAAGGAAACACCTGTCCATTTTGTTGACAGTCAAAACAGGCCTTATCCTTTCTCCAAGAGATTGCCTGAGCACAGTCTCAGTCTGCACACAAACGCCTTCAATGCAGTCAACAACCACAAGATCACCATCAGTAATACGGAGAGCAGCAGTGACCTCTGATGAAAAGTCAACGTGTCTAGGAGAGTCAATGAGGTTGATCAGGTACTCATTGCCATCTCTAGCTCCAGTGAAACTCTTCAAAGACTCATTAGTCATCTCATAGTAGAGAGAGATACCAGTGGACTTGATGGTGATGCCACGTTCTGCTTCATCAGCACGCGTATCAGTCATACGAACATCACCAGCAGATTCTTGAGCAATAATACCAGCAGCAGCAACAAGCGAATCCGTAAGAGTAGATTTCCCTGATAAAAAAAAGATTTATGTTGATATATCAACATTAATAAGACATAAAAACAGAGCAATATGAGGATAAAAGATTCATATACAACGAACAATTTAAGAAGAAAAAAAAGATGAGAGAAATACCATGATCGACATGGGCAATAACAGACATGTTACGGATGTTGTGTTTACGATCCATAATTTTCCGTTGCTCTTCAACTGTGAACTTCACCTGCAAGAAAAAAAAATAAAAAAATCCGTTTATATAATTGTCACACGAATGAAAAAAAAAGTATTACCACGCCGATTATAAAATAAATAAGAAGAAGGCTTTACCATTGTCACTTGCTTTGTTTCTCACGAAAGCTAAATTCTCTGCAGAAAAAAAAAAAGAAACGTGTTTTAGAAGAAAAAAACGAAACATATAAACATAATTCGCAAGAAAAAAAAGGAAACATATAATTCGCAATCAAAGCTTGAATCCATAGATGAATCAAGAAAAAGAGTAACAACAGAAGATAGATTTTTTACCAAAAAAAAAAAAAAACAGAAGATAGATTAGAAGAAAAGAGTCAAATTCAACCAAAAAAACGTGACACCTACACAAGAAACCAACCTGGGGGAAAAAGTAGCACGAGACAGTAGAAGAGGAAAAGTAGACAGAGCGTTATGTATTTATAGGTAATTAATGGGGTTGCTTACATTATAATAATCTAGGGTTTTACCTAAATGGGCTGACTTAATTTTTGTGGTAACCTAAATGGGCTGCCGACCCTCGTAGAAGAATAGTAGTAATTAGTAAATCCAAGAGTTCTGAATTCGTGAGCCAAATTATATTGGGCTTTTCAATGCGAGACAGAGCCCAATATGGGACTCAACAGATTCGTAAGCCCAATAGCTAAGTAGTTTCTGTGAGGTTTTTTGGCTGCTGGGACTCACGGATTTGAAGTTTTGAACTGTCATCACAGGTACAAATTAAAGCAATAAAGGGATACCAAGACAAATTACGACAATACATATATATACTAGTAATTAATCAAGTGCATTCATACATGTGTACATGAATAGAAAGCTGATAATACAAAACGTCCAAGTAATATATTACTAGTAAGTTTTTTTTTTTTTGAAAAAATATATTACTAGTAAGTTAACTAGTTTAAAGATCTAACTAAGAGAAGAAGGTGGGAAAGCAAATTCCACAACCGATCGAAGCTCGTCCCAATTCTCGTAGGTTTCTTGGTGAATGTTATCGTTGGAGAAATGTTGAAACGAATTATCAACGTGTGTGGTGTCCATGAGAATTGGCTGGTTTTGATGTTGATAAGGCGTTTGTTGAAGCTGGAAAACGCTTCTTTCGTAGTTCCCTTTGCCTTCCATTACGTTCATCACGTTGGTACTACTACTACTTTCATTGTCTCCAAAATTGATATAAGCTTCTTGGTAATTAGATTGTTGTTGCTTCACACGTTTGCCATTTGCTAATTCTCTCCAGTCCGGAGTGTATTTTCGACTCGACACATTTCTCTTGAATATCCGACATAACGTCCATACTTCCTGCAACCATATAATAAGAGCCAACGATGAGCGTTCTTTCCCAAACCCAAAAAAGCTTATAGTGGCCAAACCATACATGATCATGATCAAGCAAGCGATAACAAACTTACTGCATGTAGCAAGGACGTTGGAGTAGGGTTAGAGTGTGTAGGGCCACCGGGGATAGTGTCATTGGCTGTGGGGAGACGAAACTCGTGCATCATCCAATCCGTCTTGCTTCCTTTCCCGGCGCTTCCTAGGTAATAAACGAGTGTCTTCTTTAGACCAATCACGGCTTTGTTGGATCCATCGGAATAGATAGGCTTGTCTATCCCTGTGGCTTTCCAGAAACCGGAACCAGTCACTCGGTTCGGTCTTATGCTGTTTCTATATTTCCTTCCTCTCTTGCAGAAGAAGTAGCTTTCCTTCTCCATATGCCTCGACCCTTCAAACAAAATTTACATTTGATCATCAGTTTATAACAATAATTTATGTGTTAATTTTACGTCACAAACATGCATACATGACTTTACTTTTCTTTTTCTCATAGAAGTAAGACCTAATGTATTTTTTCTATTTATGTGTTTGCTTGGTTTAGACTGCAAGCAAAGAAAAACAAGAGTGAGTAAAACAAACTTACTTGGAAGATCCCACGGATCGAATTTATAGATATCGATTTGACTAACAATCTCATCGATTTTGCTTGGTTTTTTTAGAAGTACTTTCTTTGAGAGATAATACCCTACAAGCTCCTCGTCCGTTGGATGAAACCTAAACCCTGGGAGCTTTAACACTTCCTCATCTTCTGATTCTCTTGTGTTGTCACGTGATTCTATCATCTTTTCCATGGCTTTGATTTTTCTTTGTCCTCCCTTTTGCTCTTTGGACTCACATATAAGAATCTTCTTGATATTATATAAAGAGAGTTTATGTCGTGTGTCTATCTTTGATAAGGTCGATTTGGTCAAGTCATTTCTGTTGACTTAGTGATCCTTTGTAATCAATGATCCGACCCGGTAAAAGTCTTTCGGGCTTGAGTTTTTAGAATGAGTCTTTTCTTTTCGCATCAATACGTGGACCCTATTAATATGACGCTTTTACCTTTCATATTATTAGGACGCAAAGGAAAACGCCAAGGAGAGGACTGACTTTTGACACCACTATTTATTTTTTTGTGTTTCCTCTTCCAAATGTCTGACGAGGATTCAATGTTACAAACATTAATTTCTTCTAGGCCCATCATTAATTGTTTGCATATTATATTCTTGGTCACCACAAAACATCTACTAATCATCATGACGTTAAACGCATAAATCCGACTTTGTGCTCGTAAAGGTAAGATTTGTATTGCTTCGTTTGGATTTTAACTTGGAGTCTTGGAGAGATCAACAAAAGAAAAAGAAAAAATATGAATATTGTTACAGTTTTCTATTTGGTAGTTTCTCCGTAATTGATAATGACAGAGCCACCTAATAAAAACCGAATATTACCCTTCAGTTCCTTTCTCACTTCTCCAAAATATTTCACTGGTTACTGTAGTTATTAGTTAAGCTTAGTTTTTGGACAAGTAATTGGTCTTTTAACTCGTCTCTTGTCACTTTATTTTAATATAGTTGCAACTGATAACTACAGCTACGGGATGGTTCATATATAAACCGTCGTTAGTAGCCAACCAATCCCGTGAAGCTTATTCAAAGTTCTATTTATTTAGGGAAGAAAAAGGAATCAAATGTTTTTCTTATAAGAAAACTGGAATTATTTAGATTCCACCATGGAAATTTGTTGGATATTCCCCACTACAATTTACAACCAGAAATTTCTGAAATTCTAGGACTAGGTGGGCTAATTTTTAAATTTACATTACACTCTATTTAATTGGTCAAATTTGTTTACAGTTTCAAATATATTCATACCTTATCTTTCTATAACAACATTAATTTCTATATAGTATTTGGACGATCACGTACAACTACAATCAAAAATCACATTTTCGCATAAATTTCAAGTTATAACTAGATCCAATTAATAATTGAAACTTTGAAACTAATTAACAAAACCATACTTTCGAAGATTGGCATACTGGATTTATTCGTTTATGTTGATCTTATACATCTTCACTAGGATTGATATCTCAACAGTTAATTATTTTACGTACATATATATCCATTAATTATATCATAACTTAAAATTGTTATGGACGATAATTTTGATTTCATATGATGAAATCGTCGGTGATCCCAGACTGCTTGTCTCTGGACAATGAATGAACCTTATCCCCCACCATCCCACTGGGCTTAGGTTTTTGCAACATGCCTTACTTTTTTTTCTGGAGAAGCGACATGACTTACTATACCACATTTTTTCTTTCTTTCAAATATGAGAAAACTCCAGTGGTAATTGTTGTAACTCTATTTGCAAAAACCACGAGGCGAAATTTCGATCCGAGGAGCGTGCTTAAAGCTGTGGAAATATGCTGTCAGTGGAAACACTAATTGTTACCATAATTATTATATTCAGAATTAAACCGCAATTAATTTCCACTGCACTAAAGAGTAGTTTCCCATTAATACACTGCTCATTGTCAAAACTCACTCTACGAAAAAACGTTATTCAAGCAATGTTGGTTCTGACTTTTTTTGTCCAAATGTTTACCACATTTTTAGATAAGTCTAAATTAAAAGTCACTGATTCTATTGGTATTTAGAAGAAAATCCTACAAATTGTTCTAGTCTCCAATATGATAAAGATGTACAGGTTTAGACTTTTTTTTTATTTAATTTTTTTAGTTTTCGGTGAAGGAATCATTCTCCAGCACAGACATTTACCTATCAAATTTCATTGGAATGTTAAAAAGTACTAATACTCTCTTTATCTCATGTTATAAGATATTTTAACATTTTTTATTGTTTCATTTTATTAGATATCTTACATGTTTCTATATAAATTTAAACGCATTTCATATTTTATGATCATTTTTATTCTATATTATCATTAGTTTGATTGTTTTTAAGTAAAATATTAAATGATTTTGTAAAAAAAAAATTTCTTAATATGTGTGTTTCTAGCCAAATTTTTTTTTTTGTAAAATTGGATGTACAGAGAAAATATTAACTAATCTAGTTCTGATGTAAAATAGAATTAACAAACATAGGGAAGCCATGAAAACAAGAGTGATTTAATACCATGAATTCGGTTTATAAAATTATTTGAAAGGTGGACCAAAACGAAAATGAATATAACTTCCCCTATTTATTGTTTGTTTCAATTTGTTGGTCAATTCGTAGCGGCTGGTCAAGTCAAAGGATAATTCAACCAGAGTCATCAATGGTTGACCCCAAGTTGTTCTTGTTGGACATCTTCCTCTCCATCTATTATAAACTTTTTTCGGCACTTAAAAAAACTCACGATTATTAATTTGCATGGAGGAGAAAAATATTATCGGGGAAAAGTAAATCATAACACCTATATTCATTTTATGCATACGTATATAACATATTTAGTCATATATATACTTCAAGAGTTTGGTCTACTCTCTCCAAATTATAAGAAACATTGGAATTTGTAACTATAAGAATATATGCGATGGGACGCCAAACGCAAACGCAAGAGAGGAAAAAATTTCTTGTAGCGATTCCATATTTAAACACCTTATTTATATAGAATTATTCGAATTTGTGGCGAGATAACGAGTTTTAAATGGGCGTGAGTGGAAAAAATTAGACTTTACAAAAAGTAAAAAAGGAGAACTGAAGAAGGATGCGATGGCACGAGCTTTGAAAATCCATAAATATCTTACGTCATACTGTTTGATGTACACGATTCATGTCATAACCAGAAAGTCCAGAATCCCTACCGCTTACGTCACATGGACTTTCTTCAAAGTTTCATGTTTTTAATAGTTAAACGGCGTCGTTTCAATATATTTTTTTGTTTCTTTCTTCTTATAGTCAACGGAAAATTATGTACGACCTAGAAATATAGTATGCCATGAATCCAATAAGTCTAAATCGTAAATATAGTATGCCATGAAAACGAGATGAAAAATGGAATTAACTTTCAAAATGTGGGGAAAAGTCCTCATATATATAAATTGGAAATCCTTGGAGAAATTGGCAAAAAGATAATCATCATTGCAGTAAAAAAAAACCATCAGGTAGGTCAGACTCTGGGACTTTGAAATTTTGGTACAATAACCCAATCATTCAACCTAATATGTATAAAATTTCATAAAGTAGCATCAAGTTTAAGAATGCACACGAAGAAGGCAACTTTTATTAATTTAGAAATTGTACGAAAATAAAAACATTGGGATCGAACAAGGATAAAAAGTTACATCAAAAAGAAAACAAAACAAAAAAGGAAAACAACAACTCATTGTAAAGTGGGAACTGAGGATAGAAAAAGAACAAGGATAAAATGGAAACTGTGTCGCTTAGTTGTGGTTGATTAGTACGTGGCAACTGCTGATAGTATCACTCGGCACGTGCGAAGTCGAGAGATTTTTTGCCGTCGTGTGGTTGGCCGAAGAAGTTGTTCATGTAGTCTTGAAACAAAAACTCCTTGTAACGAGCCACTCCGTCGCGTTTCACAACTTCCGGCAACGGACCGATCTTCTCGGAGGGATAAGGTGCCGTGAAAATGGGTACAGAGACTCTTGATCCGATGTTTGTGGTTCGAACTCTATGCTCCGCACTTTTGTACTTCCCATTGCTCAAAATCTGTTGAGATATTTATATATTTGTATTACAATTTCAAAAATAAATATGGATACAACATATATAGTATATAAAATATATATATATATATATACAGTCCATTCATTGTAAATTCGCTTAAACAAGTTACCTGCAAAGTGTCGCCGATGTTGATGACCAAAGCTCCATGGACAGGAGGGATCTCGGCCCATTCACCATTGTCTAGTTTAACGTAGAGACCACCAATGCCGTCTTGTAATAAAACGGTCAACATTCCCATGTCGGAGTGACGGCCGACGCCGATGGTCAGCTCCGGGCTCGGACAAGTGGGGTAGTAGTTCATGTTGACCATCTTGGTTCCCATCAAACCATTCATTTTCTCTTCTTCTAGTGTCACTCCAACATTCTTCATCAGAATGTTAACTACATTTTTCACCATTTCCATTGATGATTTTAGGAACTCAAGTGCCACCTCCCTGTCAAACATATATATTATATGTTATGTTTTATGAGTTTATATATTAATACCAATTGAAACAAAATATGCATGATGTATTTATATGAATATAAATTTAGTCCATATATATACCTGCATGGTTGAGGCCAGTGTTGAAGAGCCTCACTGTCATTGGTGTAAAGCATGCTCACATAATCCTTCCATTCAATCGCCTTCTCCTTATCTGGCACAAAGCTCGTTCCGTACTTAACCAGCTTGGTTGGACTCACTTCTTTCAGATACATCGCTTTTTCCTCAGGAGCTTGTGCAAAAAACTCATGAGCCGACGATTTTAGCAATTCCAGCAGCTCCACCGAAACACCATGGTTCACCACCTGCCATTTTCATTTCTTCCTCAAATCATATAGTCTTATCTCATTAAACATGCATTTGTCAGAGATTGGTAAAATATACTCAATCTAATTATAAGCAGTTACTTAATTTTTTGTAGATATCTAACGTCAGTTTATAAGTAGTATTCAGGTCAAATCACGCGCATGTATAGCTCGTTCGTGCACCAAGCTAAATGGTATTACCTGGAAGAAGCCAAGTGTCTCGGCAGCTTCGACAATCTGCTTGGCCACCTCCTTGTGTTGTGGGCCGTCTAGCTTGGAAAGATCGATTGGCTGGGTAGCCTCACACGTAAGGGCTTTTTGGGTCGGGATTCGCTCAGAGAGAGGCTGGACGAAGGGCTGTGGAACACTAGAGAGGCCTGAGTCTATCATTCCTTTCACGCCGTTACCTTCTTTGACCACGAAATTGAACAATGTGGTTTGGTCCTCGAAATTGATAGCCATTGTCTCCACACTTCTGCTTGAAAATGGTTGTATGTTTGTTTCTTTTTTTGTTTGGTTGAATTGAAAACTGAATGTTGAGAAGTAACAAATTGAAGCGGGTATAAATAGTAACGAAAATAGAGAAGTTGACGTACCTGAGATATTGTTTTAAATGTAATTATATATTGATTATAATGTGGGAAGGTTATAATCACTTGGTACTTCCACAGAACTAGTCGTCGATTTGTCTAATCAAAAGCGTGCATAATGCCAAGATTTCGGTTTAATTTTCTGTAGTACGTAATGTATCGAAAGAAGAGTTTAATTTTAATATATCTCAACTACCTACATATCTTCTCATTTACCAACCCCCTCTATATAAAAATTTTATGCATGGTAATACAAATAAAAGTAAACGTTGAATTCAAAAAAATAAAAGTAAACGTTGAATTAATTCATTTTCTGGGTATAAAAAACTTGAACCATTAACAGCTATATTAGAGCATCTCCAATGGTTGAGAGTCCCTTATGGGCTCTCACCAATTGTTTAATATAAATTTTGTCAAATTGTTAGATGAGAGCTTATGTTTTTTTTTAAAAAAAATTTCATAGTCCAATGGTAGTTTCTCTTTAGCGGGGTTCTTAGGAAAATAAAAAATAAAAAAATTATTATATTTCATAAAATTTAATAATTATTGCAATTCCTAACATATTAAACATACATTATTTTCAAACATGTAAAAATAGATATTCAAATAAAAAACTGGAATAACGATCACATTTTGGGAGATGAAGAAAAAGAAAATATGGAGAGAAGTCATGGTTTTGTGGTTGATGTAATTTAAGTTTTGTTCTAGTTTGTGTGAGATATGAAGAAATCATTCACATAAGAAGATGCTTTGTATATATACAAATAAAAATTTGGGTTACATTTGTCTCTTAAAATGACACTCTCTCAAAAGATAACATCAGAAAATGGTTTTATCCCATGTCACCTAGCTTCTGCAACTACATAAACGTATAAAACCACTCATCAACAATCCATTCTTTCCTTCAATAAACCATCAAAACAAAACATAGCTTTTCTTTAATCACCTAATCAGTCCTTAATTGCAATATAAAACCATCAACAACACATCGTTTAAGTCATTATTTGCAGTATATAACCACTAAAGCACATATTTTACTATCATATCACTCCTTAATTGTAGTATTTAACCATTTAAAAGCACATATTTAACTAACCATGTAAGAATAAACAGAGTTTAGAACATTGCTTCATTTAGGCATTTCAACAAACATGTTATGTGCAGCTACCAAAAGCTCACGTCAATAGCAAAATCAGCTCTTGGAAACCAAATGTGATTCAAATTACAACAATTTCAGACGCAAACTATACTAAACAACACAAAAGATCCCGAAATTTCCAGAAAAGAGAAGAGAAAGCAATTGCCACAATTCATTTAATAAATAAGATCCCAAAAATTGATATAAAAAGCTTTCAACTTTCAGTGATTCAATGATTCTGCTTATTGAATGCAAACAAATACGAAATTTAAAGATTGAGTAACCTGTTCCATAGCAGCCTGAGCGGCGGTCATGAGCTTAGTGGCGAGACCGAGCTTGCAATGGGTATGAAGAGCGGCGAGATAAGTAACATAGCTGATGATTTTTAATTTCACACTTAAAAATAATTCCAATCAACGGAATCGGAGAAATCTCCGGTTTGATCGCCATCGCCAGAGACAGAGAGTCGGGAAAAAATTTGCGAAGGAGGAGAAGGACACAGCGTGTTCTTTTTTTTTCTGGGTCAAAAAGCTTCAGCCAATCAAGGCTTGACACGTGTGCGGTTCTCTCTAGTTCCCAAAACTCTCTCAAGAGAGCTGACACATAATTTAAAGCAGAGAACACCACTCTAAATCAACTAAAACCCCCCATTGGAGATGCTCTTAGAATAAACAACTCTTACAGTAGGGTTTTTCTAGCTAGTATCTTACAAGAGAACATTTTGTGGTGTGCGTCTTGCCATTAAACACAAAGCCGCACAATTATAACAATTGTAAAACATTTAAGTAGGTATACAAATATATCTTGAAGTGTGTATATACGTATACGTAAGCAAGTTATATTTGTAGCTCTTTACCAAAAAAGTTATACATGAAAACCATTTAAAATTCTAGTAGACTTTCAGTTTTTGGCTTCTAAAATACTACTAACAATCCACGCTTGAAACTAGTACTTAACGCTTGGCTATCGTGAGCCATGCCCCTCTCCAACTTATCATCATCTTCGTAATCAAATTAGTCTCTTTCAAAGTCAACGCCTTGGGCTATGTTTAGGTATTATGGGCCTAAAATTGAAAGCCCAGTATGCCGTGAGCTAGAGTTTACAGCCCACCAAGGTGGATGATAGCAGATTTTTTTTTTGGAAAAAAAAAGTATCACGTTTGTATAAGGGAGACAAATTTGGTAATTCAAAAAAAAAGAGTATACGTTTGTATTAGGTATTATGTTCTCAATTCTCGGATTATTGCAACTCTGATTTACTCGTTTAAAAGCGGATGACTATGCCTATGTCCCTTATACAAACGTGATACTTTTTTTTTTTGAATTACCAAATTTGTGTTACTTTAATATATGAGTTGACGACGAATCAGTGATTTTTTTTTTCTTTTTCAAGATTAAAAAGAACTAAAAATTTACGAATATTAAAATTTACTACGTAAGAAAATACTAGTAAGTAATAAAGATAGGCAATTATATGTTTTGAACTAAATTTTGCAGTATCACCTTTGTTTCGAGGTGTATCTAAAATGAAAAAGTATATGTAAAAGAAAATGGAAAATATATTTAGAAAGATGGGAGAGGGCTGTCTTGTCTGGAAGAAAAACTTGTGAAAGAGACAATGGAAGTGAAATCTCATATTTGGGTAACAAGATCGCTCGCTGTTGTTACACAGTTGCATGCAATAAGAAGCCTAACTAAAAAAAAAAAAAAAAAAAAAAAAAAGAAAAAAAAATAAGAAGCCTAACTAGTAACTACGTCCCTATTTTGATTAGCTTCCTACTTTAACTCTGTTAATCATTTTCATGATTGGATTTTGAAGTGTTTTTAAATTACATAAAAAAACGGAAAAAGGGTCAGATTTTCCCAGTTCAGTGGGAAAGGTCAACCCCATATAGACTAGTAATTTATAATATTTCTATAAAGATTCTGTCGGACCCTGTCTTGTGGCCATCGTCGCATTATCTTATTTTCCAAAATCCCCACGAACCACACATGTACAGTATGTTTACTTTTAGATATGTGACAATATTTTTTTTTATTTCGACCATGTTAAATTCAATTGCTGCATGATTAGAAAACACGTGGCTCTGTTGATCTCTCAACGTAGACTCCTTTTTTTTTGGCTGCAACATCACTTTGATTAGCTGCTTAAACCTATGTTTGATGATTCCCCTAATTAAACTACCTCGTCTCATTATAAAATTAAATAAACAATCAACCAATCTTCTTACCAAAATTGCACAGATAAGAAAGTAGCTGCACTTTCTCTTATCTTAGAAAGACTTCGATACTAATTTCGGTTCCTGCAATCCAAAAATGTATAAAATATAAAATTTGATCCTTAAAAATGCTCGAAAAGAACATTATTGTTGACTTACATATATATTAGATTTGAAATGAAAAAAAACTTATAAGAATAAATTGTCCCAATCTGCTATCATTTTCCAAACAAATATATGGGGATATTAATTAGAAATGCAAAGAAAACACAAATACTATATTGAGGCCAGGACTTGGAAATAGACATATATTAGCTCTCCCTCCCATTGAAGGGGTAAGATGTTGATTGTAGCTTTCGTTTTCAACATGCATAGAGAGCGACCTTCACTGCTCTAACGGTAACACAGGCTTTATAAAAATTTGGAAAATCCAACACCGAATCTTTGTAACATTTTAGTGAAGTGGACAAAAGCATTTTGTATGACTTATTTTCAACGCATCACACAACATGTGAAGGTCGCAATTCCTCCAAAATATATTGTACCATTTATATGTAATTCGTAATTTCATTAATTAATGCGTCTTTCAAGTACAAAATTGCAACATTATATCAGCCTAACTAAGTGCTTAACCAGCGTGAATACTTGTATCTCATAACTGTATTATACTAATTAAATAGTATGAGTATACTTGTATCAATTGATTTTTAGAAAATTGAATTAATTCCTATTGCCTTTTGCCTGTTCAAGTTGACCAGTTATATATAGAAGACAAAAAAAAAAAGTTTGAGATAGTGGGAATTCACCGGAATTATTGAAAATATGGGTAAACACTGATATCTTTCTTGATATTAAGAAGACTAACAAACGGAAAGATAACAATTAATGATTACTTGATGTAATCTTTGTATCTTGTTTTGACTTAAGCATATGCGATAGATTGTGTCGTATATATGTGCCCAAAGTTAAGAAGCAGGGTCAACACATTTCAATGACATAAATAAATAAATTTCTATGATACATCCAATTCGTGAGACATTATATATGGATCCGGTTGAGACCCATACGTCCTCTATACTAGTAGTAATAAGTTGTCGGGCCAACAATGAACTGAAGAGATTGTTTGTTGTTGCCCACTTCCCCATAAACTATCTAACTAGTTCAACATGTCATGTTAAATTGTTAATTGTTAGGATTTAAATCATAAATGTTTTCAAAAATGATCAAAAGCAAGTAGTTAAAATGATCATAAAGCACATGATTTATAGTGATTTATCTTGAATATAAAAGTTACAACTATTTTCTAGGCTTTTAGAAACTAATACTAATTATGCGTTTAGAAACTAAAAATATATACTTATATCAATTTGTTGTTAGGTACACAAGTTTCATGTATTTATCACTAGAAGTGTGTTGAGAAGAAAAAAGTGGGAAAGTAAAAGCAAATGAGAGGGCTTCAGCCTTCAACATCACATATATTCGTCAAAGCAGAAAATAAAGGGGACAACTTCAGAGAATATATAATTTGCAGATTTTGAAGCCTTATTATGTTTGTTATAAGAATTATATGTCTTAAAAAGTGATTGGAACTTGGTTCCGTATCATGTCTTTCATCTCCACTCTCTCTATATTTTCATGCAATAATAATAAACCCTATAATGAATAATTGGATTCTTTAGCTCCTTACCTATCATTGCAAGAATTTGTGTACAACTTATCATGTTTCTGTGTTTTGTTACGACCAATTAATCGGCATTATTCTTTATATCCATTCATATGTAAGCATCGAAAGAAAGAAAAGAAAGGGCGCCACAAGCTATGTTACGTTAAGTCATTCGTCTTATGATTAAACTTGCATCATATATTCCTTAATACACAATTGTTCCATGAATCCACTAGTTAATTAATCTCTTATCGACTCACCCAATTTATTCGCATATCGTAAAAAGATGTTGTTTGCCTTAAATAATCTCAACAAACTTTTTACCCCTCTTAGAATCGTCTTTTTGGTTTCCACATTATATAAACTTTAATTGACTGTAAAAGGTAAAAGTAGATCAACATAACTTTTTTTTTTAAGAACATAAATAAATCCAGAAACCATAAAAACTTGCTCTTGTATTGAGATTGCCTGCATTGGCTGAAATTATTCTCACGTCATAATTAGATATGATGATTAGGTGAAGTTCTTTTATTTATTCACTAGACAGAATCTTCATGTTCAATAACCCCAAGAATAATTAAGTACAATATGATAAATCTACCATAAAATAAATAAGCTGCTTAGTAAAACTAAACTAACTGATGAAAATTTAATAGCCAGCGACATTAATTGATTCGGAAGTAAATGAGATAGGTAATGACATCAGAAGCTCCAAGTGTTTGGATGATGAGCATCTCCAGGAGCGTCAAATTCACAAGGAAAAGGAATTAGATTAGACATTGCTTCGTGAAGCCATCCGTCATCGTGTTCCATCTGCTTAAAATTGGGATGCATTAGTAAATTAGATCTACAAATTGTAGTAACAATGGCATATAATATACTGTCTTGGAATAATTAAATAATACCTGGATTAGGTAGTCGTCTGATCCTGAAAACATGTCTTCTTCTTTTTCAGAATGGTTGTTGTGATTCTTAGACATGTGAGATTGTTCTTCACATGTGTCATTGTTTCTAGCAAATCGGCCGCGAACACGAACACGTCGGTCGGCTAGGGTTTTACGACACACATACTGCATATATACATATATCATAATTTTAAAACTCTATTTTCATAATTCATGAACATTAAAAAAACGAATAATTAACTAAATTAAATAATAATGAGTGTATGTATACCTTGATGGTCTTATTGAAGTTGCGTTGGTTCTTCTTCTTCAAGTACCTCATGATTCTGTCTTTACGTTCTTCCACCGAATAGCGTCCCACTTTTGTGTTTGGCTCAGCCTGTATCCCTCCTTCACTATTTCCCTGCTTCGTACAAATATTTATTTTATTTTGTTTAATTTCTTGCATATATATTACATGGCTCTCATATTAATTATAAGATTTTGAAACGTGCATATGTACCCAAGATTGCTCTCCTGTGGCCGGACGGAACAAGGGCTTGATCTCCGGTGAAAAGCCGTAGTATTCTTGATGATCCCCACCATGAAAGTATTGTGTGGCATTATTCACACTCATTTTCTGGTAGTAGTTGTTGTATTCAGGCACAGAGACGTCAGAAATACCAAAAACTTGGGGCACAAAGATGGATTCTGGATTAGAAGAGGTATTGAAGGAGCCATAACAGTCGTCGAGGTAGCTGGATAACGAAGAGTCCACGTCAGGACATGAAGAAGAGCCGTGAAACTGCGAAGAAGTCTCACCGGAAAATGTTGTGAAATCAGCGTAGAACTGAGGAAGAGATGATGCCATTTTGTAAGTTTGGGGTTGTTTGGGAGGAAATGAGAGTGTGTGCAAGTGTGTTTATATATAGGAAACGTAGAGAGGAGTTTTTGTATGAGATGTTACAAGTTGTTGGGTTCGGGCAGGCTGACCGTAACACAAATTGGGCTGACCGAAAACACCAGACTTACAGTTAGTGAGACTCTCTGCTCTGTTAATAACTTCTCATTACACTCTCTTTTCATGCTGTCAAAGCCATTTTCTTAACTTACCATTTTAATTATTACCAGCTCATTCTTCCTTTTATGTTCTAACTGTTTCTATTTTGGTTTATTTCTCACTTTTCTTTCTACATTCATCCACCTATATCTTTCTTTGGGATTTGCCATTATGCATGTTTTATCTCCCTTAAGAACATTTTCTTTGTAAAATTTCAACTACGGTAAAATGAAAGTTCAAATAGCTTAATTAATCGAATTTAATAATTGATGTATAGTCGATACTAAGATACATCTGTCGAATTGTGATAGGTTAGATAATAGAGCACAGCCGAATAATTAGATATCTAATTTAAGCCACACCAATTGTCCTCAGTGCTAATGTTCTTGTCTAGTCTTTTTTTCATTAAACAGAAAAAAGAGAATTTATAAGAAATGAGAATAAATGTTTTCGCGTTATTTCAAAGGGCCGTACACAAATACACACGCTATGAAAACTACGTAAAGAGAAACCCTACGCCTAGCCCCAGAATCTTAACACATGTTCTTCCAATTGTTGGCATTATTAATTAGTCCAAGTACAAAACAGCCCTCATGACTTGAATCCACCAATAAATATTTAAGCAAATTGTCTATGAACTTAGATTTGTGTCTATTTTTACCCCCTACTTCCTCAGTCTAATTAATATTCCCTGGTTATCATAATAATACGTTTTCATGACAACCATGCATGCGTATTTTGCAAGATTTGATATCTGAACTCTGGTCGCCAATTATGCTTTTAATTTTTCGCCCGGGATTATAAACTAAAGAACGTATAATCTCCGGGGAGTATGAAGATTCTTGCCACATTTAAGCTGTATATGATTCAAATCTTTTAACCGTATGACAAAATTTTCAACCACTGAATCACAACGAATCAGGTTTGTTTAATTACTTTTAACTACTCCCTCCGTATTTTAATAATTGTCGTTTTAGAATTTTTATTTTTTTGAATTGGATGTCGTTTTCAAATTTCTATGCAAAATTTATTACTTTTTAATGTTTTATGACATCATAAAACATTAAAAAGTAAGAAATTTTGCATTGAAATTTGAAAACGATTTCTAATTTTTAAAAAAATAAAATCCTAAAACGACACTTATTAAAATACGGAGGGAGTATGAATTAATAAGAATGGAAATTTGTGACAATGCTGAAAAAATAAAAAAATCAAATATGATTCTTGGAGACATAGGAGATCATAAGTGTAGATCGATATCAAATACGGAAGGCTGCCTCCAAACATGTTCAGTGAGATAGGAGATTCGAAGAAAGATGATGGATGGGTCATGACATGACTGAATATGCATTCAAAGATTAAAGGGAGACATGTTTTTCTTTCTTTTATCTTGTTTTCAGTGAAATAGTACTAGTTCATAATATTAGATTCTCTTTCCATGATCTGCTTAACTTCAAACTCGTCCCATGGACTAGACAATGAAATATTTTTTGAGAAAAAAGAAGATCTTCAAAATATCTCAAACTATATACATTACAAAAATTATTGTAGTAAAATCAACAAGAGAATTTGGGTATTAGTTCTCATAAACAAATTGATTTTCATAAATGTATAGGAATAGAATATCATTTCATTTTAAAAACTACTATCCGATCTTATCCTATTTGTGGATTTAATTATGCTCTAAAAAAAAATCTCATCAGCATTCCACAGGAATAGTAAATTATCAATATCTAAAAATCTGCGTCGGGTTGCCTTCAAAGTACTGATACCTTTTTTAATTGAATTGTTTATAGTTAATAGTTTTGAGTTTTTGTTGGCTTTTAAGTTCGTTCAAACTCAAAAAGTTGTTCTTAGGAAATCTTGCTTTCATGTGTTCTGTTAAGCTAAAGCGAAACTGATATCTTAGTTCGATCTTTGTTTGTTATCTGAAAAGATTCCTACCTTTAATTTTCGTACACTGAAAAGAAGCATTCATTTTTTCCTCAAACAAAGACTGATCTATACAGTTAATTACTCGTAAACAATAACTTATAAACTGTCTCAAAATTTCAGACTTCGCTTTTCAGAGAGTTAAAAATGAAAGAATTGGATAACGAAAAAAGAAAATAAAAAGAAAAAAAAGAAGGGTCAAAGTGCTATTGTTGCAAGTTGTGTTTGGCTATTGTTATTGGTGCATGTTGCCTGAGAAATGAATCTTAGGCATGTAGCTGTTCCCTTGAAGAACCAAATAAAGAAGCAAGAAAGTTTGTTTTTTCAACTTCTTTTACATGAAGTTTAATCCACTTTAGAAGAGTATTCTTGTTCCACAGAGTTAAAATTTCTATTGTATATTGCTGCCAAAATTTTAATTAAATAAGAAACGATAAAGAAGCTGGTAGCTAGATCTTGTGTTTAAACTTTAAAGATATGTCCTGATTTTGTTCTCAAGGTTCATGCAACCGGGTTCCAGTTGCCGCCCAAACATTTTATTCTTATTCCTAGAAAACAAAAACACCAAAGTTTCTGTTGATTATCTTCTCACAGTTCTAAGAGAAGTTGTACCAGAAACAGAGATATCAATGAAGATGAGGGAATATGTAAAAGACGTTTGTTATTTGGCTCTTGGGAGTTGGAACTGAAAACGTTTTTTTTTTAGGAACTGAAAATGTTACCTTGTTTGTTTTTTTGTTAAAGGTGTTACCTTGTTTGTTAGAAAGAAGTCTTGTAAACAAAAATCACTAGTGATATGAACCATTTTACAGTGACAAGGAAATATAGCAAGCTTGAGTTTGAATCAGAAATCACTAGCAACATGAACCATTTTAACAACAATCCATACTATGTGATATGAACAAGCCACAAAAGTGCAACAAAATTTGGCAATAATTGCGATCATAAGGAATTTGAACAGAGCAACGTTGTCACCATTTTTCCAAATTGACGACTGAGTTTACCTGTAGCTAAGTCCTGAGTTAGTTTCATGTTCAAGTGGAAGAAGATAAATTACTCTGTTTCGAAAAACAGAGTAAGGAACAAATAGATTAGTCCGGGAAATTTTGGCTTTTTACGTCTTCATACAATCTTTTCGAGAGGTTTGACACATTGACTAGGATTAATGAAGGTTATAACTTATGTCATGCAAAATACAGAAACATAGAAAAAGAATCAGCTACTTTGTTCTGATGGCATTAAGCTTTTTTACAGTAGGTGTCACTATTTTGCATTCAATCTTGAACGGATTACAAGAAGCAGCAAACCTGGATTTTAATTTGAGGGCCTAGACATAATCAAAGTCACTGATAATATATAGATAAGATAAACACTGTTGAAGAAACATAAACTATCTAGAAGCGATCAACGATCCTGAGGAGAGCTTGAGTCAACGCCAAGTAAACATCAATATGGTAACGGAAACTTGAAGGGACTTGGATGTTGAGTGTCTCGAGACTGTTGCGGCACGAGACCGGAGGATTCACCACTTTCACGCTGACGTCATACGCAGCCTTGTCGTAATCTCCGGTTATAAGGTGAGCGTCGGCCTCTCCCAGGCCACGCTTAGCCGTCGAGAAACCCAAACCGCACTGCTTCCACGCTGCTGCAGCCTTGGGATTCCGGTAGTGGTGCGAGCCCAAAGTGGAAGTGTTCTTGGTGAGGATTAGGAGCTGAGAGTTGATGCATTTGAGGATGATACGAGCCAGTCCGACTTTGTCGGCTTCATGAGAATTGGGGTCGGAGCTTAGACAGCGAAGACACAAGGTGGAATTGTCAGAGTTGTGACATTGTTGCATCATTAGCTCTTCATTAGCTCTGGAGGTTACTGATATTGTTGTTACAAGTGTGGTGAGGATAAGAATTTTTGCAAGCAAAGCCATTATTTTGTTCATGCTTATTAGTTATTACACTTTTCACTTCTTTGGTAAAGGTGAATCACACCATTTCCTTAAGAGGTGTTACGAATTTGTAACGTTCGGAGATAGAAAATGTTTTCTCTGTAATTTTCTTGGTTGCATTATGTATGTTGATGACATGTGGTTCAAGCGTTAGTTTCAAGATTAATGATAAGTTAATTACTAAACACAAATATAACGTGAGTGGTCTTCCTCACTATTTTCTTCACAAAGATTTACTTATATATGATGTAATGTAGATGATTATGACATGTAGTTTAGTGTTAATGGCTTGTACATGTGAATTGTAGACTTATTTACTTATGGGCCACATATGGGCCTAATATACCGCAGGCCAGTTTAAGTATGTGTGACGGTGTCAAGCCTAGCCGAGCCGTATTTTGATGACCGTTACGCGCTCAGGACAAATCTGTAAATTCACATAATATTTAAAAATAAAACCCAAAAGAGCCGTTACCAAAGAGCCTCAATAAAGTCGGCATCTTTTTTTCTCTGCGAATCACAACTCTACACTTCTCTCTCTCTTTCTATCTCTGTTTCTCTCTAATCACAAAGCTTCCATGGCGTCAGATCAGAGCACGAATCCACCGATCATGGAGCCAAAGACGAGACATCCTCTTCACCAGATCGCAGATACACCAACACACAAGCTTCTCTTGAAACAATGGCTAAAAGAAGAAGAGCTTATCCTCAGCCGTGTCTCTCACAAAGAATCTCAGATCGATTCTGTTCGAAGAGAAATCACTCAGCTTTACATCTTCTTCTTTCTCTTCCACTCCATTTCTCTGCTACTCCTCTTCCACGCTTCTTCTTCTTCATCTTCCTCTGCTTCTGCTTCCAATGCTTGTAAAAGATCATGGATCCCTTCACTCTGCGCTCTGCTATCTTCGTTGGGAATCATTTGGGCGGTAAGGTACAAATCGGAAGTGGAATCGCATCTTGAGAAGTTGTTGGAGAGGGAGAAAGAAGATGCGAAGCTGTTGCGTAAGTGTGTTGAAGAGTTGAAGAAGAAAGGTATCGAATTTGATTTGCTCAAGGAAGTTGATGCACTTCGTAGAGCAAAGAGTTTGAGAGTTGAGTCCAAGCCTGTGAGGAAATGGTCTGCTAGGGATTTCGTGACGCTCTTCTTCTTCTCTGTTTCTTGTTTGGTTCTTGCCATGATTAGGCTTATTCTCTGCGATTAGATTCTTGTGCTCTTTTGTTGCTATGATTTAGCAGAATTCTCTGGTTTCTGCAATTTTAGTGTTTTTTAGTTTTGTTTGAGATAATAAAGAAATGTTTGATTCATCTTTGTAGTGTTAATTTGTTTTGTCGACATTTTCAAAGAATTGAGCAAAAACAGATCCATATATATATATACTTGAAGATCCATTTCATCATCAACAAAAATTTGATCATCTTCAGAAGTTCAGAACCAGACCTGACAATAAATAATCAACATTGTTCTATTGTTTAAGACAGGTTCAATAGTTGAAAATCTGATCTAGTTTCGATATGTTTACAGATGTTATGAGTCAAGAGATAGCCATGTGGAAGAAAACAAAACTAGCTTAAGAGTTAAGACAGACTCGATAGTAATCAAGCTTGTTCGTTTGTTTAAGACAGACTCAATTCAAGAGTAGAAAAACTTATCTAATTTCCGCTATGTTTAAAATTGTTTTTAAAGTCAAAACCAGAGCTATGTGAAAGATAGAAAACTAAAAACTAGTGCATTACACAGACTTGTTTGTTTATTCATCATCTTGTGACTTAGTTTTCTTCTTCTTCTTCTTACTGTGACCATTCTCTGTTGTCAATTCTTCTCCTTCTACTACTTTGCTTTTCTTTTTCTTTTTCTTTGATTTCTCCTCTTCCTTCTCCTCCTCCTTCTCCTCTGTCTTTCTCTTCTTTTTCTTCTCTGAGGCCTCCACTGTTTTTTCTCCCTCGTCTAAAAGAAAAGAGGAAGCAACCCATCAAACAAAACCGTTTACCTCAACAGATCAGAGAGCTTTGTTGGGACATAAAGAGAGTCATATGTACCTTTCTTCTCAAGATTTTCCATCACTTCTTTCATTACGTCAACATTCTTACGTGGGGCAACACCTTTGTCATAAAAGTCAAGTCTTTCCTCCACTTGTTCCCTTAGTTTCTCACCGAAAGCTGTAGTGCTGCTATCTGCATAAGACAGCCACCATGGTTTTATAGTTAACAACAAAAACATCATCTCACTATCACAAACACATCTTTCTTATTCAGGGGATTCTCTAAATTTTTACCAGAGAAACAATCGATCCGGGAAGCTATGGAGCACTTGTTTGCAAGGAAACGAGCAATACGGCCCTTGTTTTTAGCAGATGCACGACTAATGAATGACGAATGGAATATTAGACCATATTTGGGTGTGTTTCCACGGGTTTTCAGCGCCCTGAAATTTACACCAAAGTCAGTTACTGCAGTAAAATCAAACTTGCATTACAAAAACAAAGCTTGAAATGTACCTGAAAAGTGCCTTCTCAGCACCGAGAATCTGGAGAGTTGAAGACGGGCACTTGGCAAGATTTGTCAGACTTCCTGCATGTGAAATCAATCTAGCCCCAACCATCTCTCCGATCAAGGACGCCAAATTTGGAGCAATGTCACTCATTTTAGTAACAAGGTAATCATAGAGCTTCTTCCTGTAATCGGCAAGGTCCATAACTCTCTGAGCAAAGCTTTGGACATTGATCAGATCAACCGGTGATAAATCCTGGCCTTCAAGCAGGGAAAAAAAAAGTTTTAGAACAAGAGAGAAATATATACATTGAAAAAAGTATGATTCATATCGAACAAGCTCCATCAGTTTATTACCCATAGATGCTTTTCCAGCTTCAACAACCTCTCTTGCTTTATCTTCATCACCCAGGATTTCAGTAAGCATAGGGACGTGCTCTTCAGACAACTTCGACTTGTCCACGATAATCTTTGAAACTCGGGCATAAAGGTAGTTGTCATTGACTATCTTGACAAGTTCAGGGAAGTGCCACGAGTACCATTCTCTGCAAAAACATTATATAAGCTGCTGACAACCCATTTTCTCTTACGGTAACAGACAAGACATAATCTGAACGGCAAAACAATAAGAAAACAAACCTGACTCTCATAGCAAAGGAATTGATATCCTTATCAAGTGTGTCAAGCAGGAAAATAGCTTGAATAACCATGTTATCCACACGGTTAACATTGAACTTCACCTTTGCTCTGCTGTAACTATGAGCTAGTCCAAGTTGCGCTTTTTCCAAATCACCAGGCTACATAATGAGAAAATAACATTGAGCATAAATAACCAACAAATGAACCACTGGACATTTCGGTACTCATAAATAAGATTCGCACCTTTAGGTCTTTGATGAACCTATCGAAATGCTGACGCACACCTCTAAGAAGCTCATGGACAAATTCATTACTCTGGCAGGGAATTTTTGTAGCTTCAAATATGCAAGACCCGATTTTAGGCTCAGACACTCCCAAACTAAACTTGGGCTTCTTGCCTTCCTTCACTTTCGGGAGATTCAACTCCACAAAACTTCTCAGCTCATCACTCATGTATCCTACGAGTTTCAAGGTGTAAAACCAATACAAATATCAATACTTTATCATCAAAATCTCAAGCAAAAACTAAAACAGAACAGAATAAGCTGATTCCAACAGTAGTAAGAGCTCGATTTCTAAAAACTAAGCTCTTTCCAGCATAAACTACTATAGAAAGCAAGTAATACAGTATATGAATAGACTGTTACAGGAAACTAAAGAGGGAAAAATTTGTAATTTAGTAGAGAGTTCACCTTCAGAGACGGCGTTGATTTGGTTAAGAGCATCGAGTGCAGACTGATATGGGTGAAAAGCAATGAGCTGGACGACCCGCCCAAACCGACTTAGGTCCGAGACGGAGCTCCGAACCGCCTCTGTGTTCTGTCCAATCTCATCGAGACCGTGTACCTCGAGCAATAGGTAGCCGGAGGATGATTCGGAAAGAAGAAACATCGCCATTGTAGAGAGAAGCTATAAAAACCCTAGCCGTCTTTTTAAAAATTGAATTGAAAGTCGAGTATTTATGCAGTTTCCGTTCCGGAGAAGAATCAGAGAAATTAGGGTTTTAAGGTTATTTCGCAAGGAAGATGGTGACGGCTTTGCTCTTAGATTAACTCCATGGGCCTGGCCCATTAATGCTCTCGGGCTCAACCAAAATGACTAACATGGGCCAATGGTCTTCATGTAAGGAGCTTTTATTAATATTGAGTTGTGATAACGTTTGTTATCTAAATTTTATATATATTGTAGTTCATAAAGCTCTAGAAAGACGTAAGCCATTATGATTATAGCGAGGTGATATCATCTGAGGACATTGTTATGTACGGCCTCGTTTGTGTAATGGCTATGTTTCATAAATCCAAACTTCAACGTAATAAATTTTTGTTACCACTTGATTTTAATTTGGGTAGCCACATTTAACTTCTCACTGTTACTTATTGTTTTGTGTAGAATGTCGTTGATGAAATCCTTGACCCTCTCGGGCGAGTAACTAGTCATTTGGAAGACGTTATATCTCATTGACGTCATCAAGAAGTTACTTGCTAGCATAGTCATGCCTAGAGTAATGAAGGTTGGAGGTAAATTTATTAATAATGTTTTGTATCTTTTAAAATACATTCTTCAATTCGCAAAAAAAGAAATCTACAATACAATATGACAAATTTAAATATTAAAAATCAACTTAAAATCTATTATTGTCTATATGCATATTTCACTAAAGTTAAATCTAAGTTAGTATATTTACGATGATTGTGAACGTGATTTAGCAATTATACAACATCCAAATAGATTAGGTGAAGAAAAGAAGTGAGCACAGTTATAAATTGAAGTTTAACTTGTGAACAGTTTGTACAAAAAAAA